CGCACCCCCCCCCCCCCCCCCCCCCCCCCCCCCCCCCCCCCCCCCCCCGCCCGCCCCCCCCCCCCCCCCCCCCCCACTCTCGACTGACTGTTCGGATATGGTGACCTTGCGCTCTCGAAACGGATAATGGCAATCACTTGCCTTACCCGCGGTCAAGCAGGCACTGCATGGAGTTCCGCCGGAGCACTTGATCTTCTGAGAGTGACACCTCCGACACCTAGAGACCGCGCTTGAGCTTCAGCAAACGCAAACGCAAACGCCGGGGACGGGAGAGGGCCTTGGCTCACGCGATCGAGCTCCTCTTCGCTCTCTTGGTGGGCCGCGGCGACTGGCCGCTAGACGAGGTGCCTGCGCGATCCATGTAGGCCCAATGGTCTCTGTGTAATGTAACGCGCGCCGAACTGGACTCTTCATACGCGAGCTGGGTGTTCAAAAATCCCGTCGATTTAGGAATGTCCGGGGGCAAAAGCGGGGGAAACTATGGAGAAGCCCCTAAAGAGATGACTAGTACAGCACACTAATAGCAGGACTGGCTGACGAAGGCGGCTTATCTAGTGGGTCTACGCTGGTGTGCTGCTAAGTGAAGTGACATTATGGGCACGTTATCTCCGCACGACTAGCTTGGTAAAATGCGGAGTAGCATGCGAGAGTAGCTTTATCAACACTAGCTCCACAGGAGTCGTGACTCGCGAATCTGGAACCACCCACGTGGAACACTACCAAGACCAAGATAATACACGACTGGCACGAGAATACCAGGCTCCAAGTCGCATAATACCGGCCGGCGAACAAATAATGACAACAGTATAATCAATGTGTCTTCAGTTGGGCATCTACCAATAGGTACGCAGTAGATAATAAGAAGCTTCCGCTGCCCGCCACCGAAAGACTTCGGGATTGTATTTAGCGCCGATCAACTGCGAGCACAAGCAGTTCAGACCAGTAGATCCCTCTCGAATTTTCCTCCCTCAAAATAAACCTGCAAACGTCGCGTCTGAACCACCCCTCCTCCCCAAATTGTGCCCTCACGCCAACAAAGTCGTGCAGACTCTAGAGCACGTACCTGTAGTGCGTGTCAAAGTCTCCCATCTCAGGCTTGGGGGAAATCGGGCAGCCGGCTGCCTCGGCCTCTTGAATCGCCCGCTCTCTTCGCTTGTTGACAAGGTGCATCCCGATGATGAGACTGACGACGAGAAGAAAAGCCAAAACGGCAAAACCAAGGCAGATAGTCAACCCCCTTCGGTAGAACGGCGCCGTGTCGGAGGTGAAAATCTGCCCGACGACCACCCCGGCCGTGTTTGCAAAAGTCAGCGTGAGGCCGACCATGCTGGACCGTTTGTAGAAGCCTGCGGCGTTGTCTTGCAGCCACATGATGGAGAGGGATGCTGATGGGTAGATGCCCATTGCGGTCACTATTTAATAATTAGGTCTGTTAGCTAGAGTTGTATCGACTCCCAACAGGGGGACTGGCTAGGCTGACTCACGGAAACAAGCAAAGAAGCGGACTTTCTGGCTCTTGACAGATACAAGCAGAGTCAGTCCAATGACAAGCAGCAGTGTTGGGCCCGCCATGAAAGGGCCTCGCCTGATCAGACGGTCCGAGGAAACTGCCATGATCAAGAAGAAGGCGAGCGCCGACAGGTAGATGGGAACCGTCATGAGGTTGGCAATGACCGACGTGTAGCCGAGGCCCGAGATGATGGCCGGGAGGAAGGTGGTGAAACCAAACTGCGTCAGGTTGATGGAGAACTGGTAGATGAAGAAGGCGTAGAATTTGGGATCACGGAAGACCTTGGCAACCTCGGCCCAGGAGAACTTCTCATCGTACGCCCAGTGAGGGTCCCTATCGTATCGCAATCGCACGATGCGCTTTTCCTCGGGGGTCAAGAACCACGCATCGACGGGGCTCTTGGGAAACACAAAGTAGAAGATGGGCACCAGGATGATGGTGATGGCCGCCTCGACGGCAAACAGCCATCGCCAGCCGGCAAAGCCATTGGGTCCGTTGATCTGCGTCAGGCCGTATGCCAGGAGACCGCCAAAGGCACTGGCCAGGCAGCTGAAGGTGTAGAAGAGGCACATGCGCTTGCCTCGCTCCGACTTGTTGAAGACCAGGGCAAGGTAGACTTCGCTCGCGGGGATCAGGCCTGCCTCGAAGAGCCCCATCAGCAAGCGACAGGCGTAGAGTCCCTTGTAGTCCTGGATGAAGGCTAAATTAATTGTCGCATTGTGTCAGCGGGGGGATGGTCGCATTCGCGAAAAACCATGCACATGAATGAGTCCTCGCGTACCCATTCCCAGAGTCACAAGGCCCCAACACAAGGAGCAGGCTGAGATGAGAATCTTTGGCCCCACGCTCTTGACCAATACCGAAACAGGCGCCTCGAACGGGACATAGGTGGCGTATCTGGTTTTGGTTTTTGTGTGTCAGCTGCAGCCCCTGGACTGGACTTGGATAGACTTGTAGACGTACAGCAGCGTCGTTGCAGTGCCAAATTGGTTGGCAACGAGGCCAATATCATGGGGCATGCCCGCGATTTGAGCGTTGCCCAAGTTGCTCCGGTCTAGAATAGCCATCATGTAGAGGATGCCAAGGGGGATGACGGCGAAGAACTGGATCAAAGATGGTTTGGTCAGTCCGATTCCCGTTTCCCAGACATTTCCAGGCGAAACCCAAGGCAAGCAGGTAAGCCGGCAGCACTCACGTCAAACTTGCGCAGCATCCTGCTCTCCGCCTTGGGGTCGATGACCTCCATCGTGTTGCCAAGCTCATTGTCGCCGGGCTGCAGCTCCACGTTGGTCATGTTCTCTTTGGTCATTGCAGAGTCAGGCACCGGGATGTTTGACCCCTTCTCGGGCTCTGCGATGGAGCTGGCCGGCATCGGAGCCAAGTTATACTCGGTGAAGACGAGGGAGTCGTAGCAGAGCAGAATCGCCAAGTGGATTGGATGGTGGAGACTGAATCAAGCAAGCCATATATATCTGGGAGCCACCATATACTTGATCGGTTGGTAGTGCTATCACTAATTAATTAGTCTAGACTTGTGCTCAATTTCTCAAAACACCGGACCCAGGGCTAAACTTTCGATAACCTGCCCTTGCGCCGATAGAACACCGGCATTGACAGCTGGGGACCGAGCCGGGAAAGTGGTCACGTAGTTCTTATTAGTACGTAATAGTGTGATGCCTACCGACCAGTTATCTGCCCGACTTGCCGACGGCAGTCTTATCTCCCCGCGATAAATAGTACGTATTGGCATGTGGAGCAAACAGCGTATAATTTAGCAGCGCCGATCCCGGTTGCGGGACCCGAGTGCCGACTGGAGAACTCGGCCGCTAGCGAGACATGCCGGCGATGATTCGGGAACCCCCTTCATCAAGCCGGCGTCTCTCGGCCTGGACTGCCGTGCAATATGTTGGACAGCCCGTGACTATTAAGCAACCGAAACTTCAGCTTTGACGATTCGATGCAAGGCCCAACACAGTCAGTCTTTCCAAGCCTCCCGCATCCGAAGATGCCGACCCCCGAGCAAGACGCCGCCACCGCTGCCACCATCGCCACCACCGCCACCACCATCATGGCCCCCAAAGGAGTTTTGATCGCCATTGACAGGGGTGGCACCTTCACCGACGCCTGGGCGCAGATTCCTGGGCGCGAGGAGCATGTCATCCTCAAGGTACTCTCAGAATCCCCCGACGAGTACAGCGACGCGCCGACAGAATGCATCAGACAGATCCTGGAGATTGCAACGGGCAACACGATCCCGCGAGACACCCCGTTGGACCTGGAATGTGTCGAGTCCATCCGCATGGGCACCACCGTCGCCACCAACGCACTGCTGGAGCGAAAGGGCGAGCGAGTCGCCTTCATCACCACCAAGGGGTTCCGGGACGTGCTGAGGATCGGAAACCAGGCGCGGCCCGACCTGTTTGACCTCTCCGTACAGCGTCTCGACAAGCTGTACGAGACAGTTCTGGAGGTAGATGAACGCGTCACCATCGAGGGCTGGGCCGAGGATCCGGAGCCGCAGCCCATCCATGTCAGTGCGGATCCCGACCTGCGAGAAGGGCTCACCGGGGAGGCAGTGAGAGTGCTTAAGGCTCCAGATCTCGAAGCTGTCCGTAGAGACCTGCGTGGTCTCTGGGATAAGGGCTTTCGCGATGTTGCCGTTGCCTTCATGCACTCTTACACCTTCCCGAATCATGAAAGGATCATCGCAGATCTGGCCGAGGAGATGGGGTTCAAAGTCGCCGCATCTGCCCGGCTCTTGTCCATGGCAAAACTAGTCCCGCGCAGTCAGTCGGCCGTCGCTGATGCCTATCTGTCGCCAGTCACGGCGCGCTACCTCGAGAGCTTCCGGAGAGGATTCAAGGGCCTGCTTGAGGACGACAACGGAAAGAAGCTGTTCTTGAACCAGTCGGACGGCGGTCTGACCAACTTCAAGAACTTTGCTGGCCTGCGCGGAGTCCTCAGTGGTCCTGCCGGTGGCGTCGTCGGCGTGTCTAGGACTTGTTACCATCCCGACAACGCAACACCCGTGCTGGGATTCGACAGTAAGCTCTCAGCCCCTTCCCCTTCCCCTTCCCCATCCCCTTCCCCCACTTCCCCCCTCCACATCCTTACCATCCAATGCCCCCAGACGCAGGGAACTAACAAGAGACACCAAAAAAGTGGGTGGTACCAGCACGGATGTCGCCCGTTACTCGGGCGAGCTGGAGCACGTCTTCGAGAGCACCATCGCAGAAATCGCAATCCAGACCCCCCAGCTGGACATCAACACGGTTGCCGCCGGTGGCGGCTCCATCCTGTCCTGGGAGGGCGGGCTCTTCAAGGTTGGCCCGGAGAGCGCGGGCGCCAATCCCGGACCAGCTTGCTACGGAAAAGGAGGGCCGCTCACCGTTACGGATGCCAACCTCTTCTTAGGCCGTATCATCAAAGAGTCCTTCCCCAGGCCTCTTGACACAAACGTTGTCAGAGACAAGTTTCTGGCAATGACCGCCATTGTCAACGCCGAGAAGGACGGCGTCTCCGGCCTGACGCCTGAAGAGGTGGCCTGTGGGTTCCTGTCCGTCGCCAACGCCACCATGACACGACCCATCCGGACGTTGAGTGAAGGTCGGGGCTACGAGACTGCCAACCACAACCTGGCCTGCTTCGGAGGTGCTGGTGGCCAGCATGCCGTGTTCGTGGCCCGGGATCTTGGTATCCGGCGAGCCCTTATTCCCCGGTACTCCAGCATCCTCTCCGCGTACGGAATGGCCCTCGCCGACGTGACAGTCGAGAGCCAGGAGCCCGAGTCCTTGATCTTCGGACCTGACATCATGCCGAGGTTGGAAACTCGCTTCCAGAAGCTCTGTGAGCAGGGAAACCTGGGTCTGGCTGGCCAGGGCTTTGGCAAGCAGGATATTGAGCACGACATGTATCTGAACATGCGCTATCGGGGAAGTGACACGGCCTTGATGATTCGCCGACCGGACAGGTTGGCCGATTTTGGAGCCGCCTTCACCAGCCGCCACGAACAAGAGTTTGGCTTCTCCCAGCCGCGCGACATCCTCATCGACGACATCCGCGTGCGCAGCGTTGCCAAGTCTAGCGACGTGGCCACCTCGAACCCCTTTGCTGAACTCGAGGCGCTTGAATCATCCGCTCAGCCCGAGTTCCGCGAGCAGTTCATCACCAAGGTCTACTTTGAGAACGAGGCCTGGCTCGACACGCCCGTCTACGACCTTGCCCAGCTGCCCGTCGGCGCCAGGATCCGCGGCCCGGCCATGATCATCGACAAGACACAGACCATCGTGGTTGACAGCAGGAGCGAGGCCGTCAAGCTCCCCGAGCACATCGTCCTCGAGATTCTCGATAACGAGCGCAAGTCAGCCAACACAGAGGCCATCGACCCCATCCTCCTCAGCGTGTTCAGCCACCGGCTGATGAGCGTCGCCGAACAGATGGGCAATGCCATGCAGAAGACGTCCATCTCGGTCAACATCAAGGAGCGCCTCGACTATTCGTGTGCCGTCTTCAGCGCCGAGGGAGGCCTTGTGGCCAACGCACCGCACATCCCCGGCCACCTCGGCTCCATGGCCTCCGCCATCGCCTACCAGGCCCAGCGCTACAAGCCCGGCGAGCTCAAGCCGGGGGACGTTATCCTTAGCAACCACCCAATTGCCGGCGGGACCCATCTCCCCGACATCACCTGCATCACGCCCGTGTTCGACGACGATGACCACCCGACAAAGATCCTCTTCTTCGTGGGCAACCGCGGCCACCACGCCGACATTGGCGGCATCATTCCGGGCTCGATGCCGCCCAACTCGACGGAGCTGTGGCAGGAGGGCGCGTCGTTTGAGTCCTTCAAGATGATCAACGAGGGCGTCTTCGACGAGGAGGGACTCATAGACATCCTGTACAACATCCCAGCCACTTTTCCCGGCTGCAGCGGAACCCGCACCCTCAAGGACAACATTGCCGACCTCAAAGCCGCCGTCGCGTCCAACCAACGGGGGATACAGCTAATCCGTGCACTTGTCAAGGAGTACTCTTGGCCGGTGGTCGAGTTCTACATGGAGGCCATCCAGGAGAATGCCGCCCAATCGGTTCGCGAGCTGCTCAGGGTGTTTTCAGAGCGTTTCGAGGGAGCCGACCTGGAAGCCGTGGACTACACCGACGATGGGACGCCCCTGGTGTTGCGGATATCTATCGATGCTGAGACGGGTGAGGCCGTCTTTGACTTCACGGGCACCGGCCCTGAACACCACGGCAACCTCAACTGCCCCCCTGCGTGCATGTACTCGGCGATTCTCGTAAGACCATTTCCTCCCCACTCCTCCCGACAACCACAACTTCACCAACTGACTCGGCACAGTACTGCCTCCGCTGCATGATATCCTCCGACATCCCCCTAAACCAGGGCTGTCTCCAACCCATCAAAATCGTCTGTCCCCAAGGCACGTTGCTCACCCCATCCTTCACCGCCGCAACAGTCGGCTCAACAGGCGAAACCACCAACCGCGTCATCGACCTCATCTTCAAGGCCTTCCACACAGCCGCCGCCTCGCAGGGGACCTGCAACAACCTGACGTTCGGCTACGGCGGCAAGGACCCGACCACGGGCGAGATCGTCCGGGGCTTCGGCTACTACGAGACGATCGCGGGCGGGGCCGGGGCCGGGGCGGACTGGGACGGCGAGAGCGGCGTGCACACGGGGGTGACCAACACGCGCATCGGCGACCCGGAAATCCTCGAGAGGAGATACCCCGTTGTGTTGCACGAGTTCTCGATCCGGACGGGCAGCGGGGGGAGGGGGTTGCACCCCGGCGGGGACGGGTGTGTGCGGGATATCGAGTTTCGGATCCCCGTGCAGGTGTCGATTCTGTCGGAGAGGAGGGTCAATGCGCCGTATGGCCTGGCAGGGGGGTGTGATGGGAAGCGCGGGGAGAATGTTTGGGTTAGGCGGGATCCGGTTACGGGCAGTGTCCGGAGAGTTGGTATGAGTGGGAAGTCGACTGCTAATATGAACAGGGGGGATCGCTTTGTCATTTACACTCCCGGTGGTGGCGGGTATGGACGAGATCCCATGGCGAAGGAGCCGAGGAAGCCGAGGGGCGAGTTTAAGGTGCATGAGAAGTTCGTCAGGAAGCCGGCTTTGTTCAGGGCGGCGGGAAGCCTTGCTAACCGGCAGGCTATGGCGGCGTCGAATTAGTATATCATCTCCAGATCGAGTCGGAATATAGAATGCTAGATTAGATTTCCGTATGTTAATGAATCCGTTTTTTTTTTCATCTATTGTCGCAGGAATCAGTAAATAAGCAGCACCGGGACAGCGACCGTGACAACAGCCATGAGGTCGACAATAGGGAGGGGGTGGGGGTTGAGCAGGGATAGAAAACTGTGGCAGGTGCTTTGGCGCGAGCGAGGACATCACAAGAACCACCAGTTTCCAGGGGTTTATTCGCAATACCGACATCAGGGGTAGGAGAGCCACAATACCGAACCCCCCCCCCCCCCCCAACAAATTTACCTTCCCAACAACTCTTCCGCGGCCACCGTGCAGAAAGCACGGCAGGGAGAACAGCGATGGCTGGGTACTTGATTCCGTCTTTCTCGTCAGGTTCGAAGTGTCCGGGAGCCCGGCTGCCTGGGCAACGAAGGCTCGGAGACCTAGCTTATGCAGTTGGGTGGCTCCTGGCTGCGATGGGAGCTGGGAGGGAGCACAGGGAAGCCGAGGGGCTAATTATTACATGCCGTGCCAATCGCACCCGTTGACGGTGGTGGGGTTTGGAGGAGGGAAGCCCGGAGGATTCTGGACTGGAAAAAAGGGGGAAGGTCTGGCGGGGCTCAGTGCTGCATGTATATCCGCGCCGTCGCAGCTCCTAGCCGGTGACTCATTCTTCCTCGCCTTGCAACTCCACGGTACTTCGCGGTTGCTGACAGTAATGGATTTCCTGTGCGGGTGGTCTCCCGGCTTGTTGTACAGTAATTACTATTGCCTGCAGTTGCATCTGGGCTTCAGTTGTGACAGAGTTGCTTGTGTCTGCCTTGATCGACAATCATCAGAAGGGAGACGGGATGATAACTTCGACGAGTGAACATGGACAGAGCGATGGAGACTTGCAGTGACTAGGACTGCGTCACCAGTGCCGGAATCCCGCGTAATCAATGTGGTTGGTTTCCTTCATGCGGCCTGCCATTTTGACCAGGTATTGCCGGTACCCCTCCTGCAATCATCGTTGTGACTCATTCGGCGTGAAGCGCAAGCCAGGCACATCAATATGCAAGTCTTACCTGAATCCCTGTCATCCAGCCAACGTCCACGGCAGAACCCCCTTGAATCGTCGCCGAAGAGTATTTCGTTCGTTATAGCTAATCATGTCTCAAGTTGCGAAGACGGGATGTTTGGGAAATTATAAAGTGCGCTGGTTTCGCTGATACTCGCTCTCAACAACGAGAGCATAGATCTCTCCTTATCTTACGTCTCAGAGATAACCCTGCTAGAGATTCCAGAGTTTAATTATCTTTGATACTGTAAGTAAAAACTTCAATCTTACCTTCTTTCCCTTTTCTTTCATACCAGGTTTCAATGATGAAACGACAAGCAATTCACTCGCCGTTCCGAATTTACATGTGGACATTCGTCACCGGCATTGGTTTCGCCATTTCTGACCCAATACTTGGATGAAAGCATTTATTTAAACAGTCCCTTCCCTTGAATCGCAAGTTTGCTAATCGTACATCCAGGGTCGCCGGTGTATCGTCCATAGCCAGTTAAAGATCCGAAGTGTCAGCGCCGACTTGACTGTCTATCATAGAAACCCCAGTGCTGTCCAAATACCCCTTTACACCCCTTACTTTTCCCGCTGCAGTTCGTCATGCGACGTAGATGCTTCCGCAGACGTTTCCTCAGGTGCTTCCTCTTTTGTCCCCGTGATGCCCTCCACCCGTCCCTCTACAAGTGCGGTTTCGTCAAGATGCGGGCCGGTGTAGTTCTTGCGCCCGTCAAAGACCCACTGCACAATAGCAATAACGAGAATGACGCCAAAGGCCACGACGGCGTAGTTCATGCTGGTGGCGTCAGTTGGCAGGTCAGGTGGGAAGACGAATAAGACCGTAGTAAGCAGCGTCCACAAGATCCCAATCTAACACCAACGAGTCAGATCAGTCATTGCAATAATCGGCCATGGGCGAAGTGCAAACACAACTCACCACGTTCAACGTCCAGCCCACGGCAGGAGACAGCTTGAACACACGCGTCTCGGGGAGCATCCTGCGGCCGCGCAGGCAATTGATGGCCGGCGGGATGGCGTACGTGACACCCAGCGCGACGACGCTCGCCGAGGTGATGGCGTTAAAGGCACTTGACGAGCCCAGCAGGATGCAGCCGAACACGATGACCCAGGCGGTCGTCCACACGAGCGCGTACACGGGCACGTCGAGGGTTGGATGGACCTTTGCAATGATGCGGCTCAGGGGCAGGCCGCGGTCGCGCGCGAACGCGTAGCTCATGCGGCTCGACGTGGTCATCAGGGAGGTGGTGGTGAAGAGCATGCAGACGAGCGGGAAGACGAGCAGGCACGCGGCGCCGGCCTTGTTTTGCGTCGCCTGGTACAGGATCTCGAGCAGAGGGCCGGCCGAGGACGAGATGACCGAGTCGATGTCGGTCAGCACAAAGAGCTGGCAGCTGAGGAAGACGAAGCCCGTGAACATGCCGATGCAAATGGTCATGATCATGATCCTCGGGCCCTGGACCTGCGGCCTGGGAATCTCCTCGATCATGTGGATCGTCGCGTCGAAGCCTGTGAGGGCAAACGCGCCCTGCAGCAGCCCCAGGAGCCATGCCGCGCCATCGGGCCAGCCGGTCCGGTTGATAAAGTCGCCGTACACGAACTTGCCCGATTGGTAGTTTGGCGAGGCGCAGGCCAGAACGGTTATGCTGATGATGGCGAAGCCACCAATCGACCAGAAAAGGGCGCTCTTGGTGAACAGCGGCAGCAGCCGGTTGGCGAAGGTGTTGATGAAGAAGGCCGCCAGCGCGTACGCGACATAGATGAGGAACTGATGCCACGACTGCGCGACGTAGGCCGGGTGAAAGAGCGATATCAGCCCGACAATAAGCTGGCTACCCAAGAGGCTGCCCGTTGCCGTCAAGCACACCCAAGCCGCGACGTTGATCCACCCGGTCACATAGCTGATGGACGCACTGTAGCGCTTCCAGCTGATGATGGCCGCCCAGTGGTACTGGCCGCCGGCGGTCGGGTAAGCCGACAGGAACTCGGCGAGCGATGCGGCGAGACAGAGGTTGCAGCAGCCCGCGACGATGAGACCCCAGATGATAGCACTAGGCCCGCCCGAGGGAAGCGCAAGGCTCATGCTCACCGCCAGCGCGGTCCAGCTGTTGAGGATGGCAAAGGCCAGTCCTAGCATGGAGATGGTCGAGAAGTTGCGGTGGAGCTCCTGCTTGACGCCGAGCCTTTCCAGGGCCGCGGCATCCTCGAGGTTGGTCGACAGCCGTTTTGCCGATGTCTCCTCCATGGTATTTTTTTCGTTGTCGTGATTTTATGTCTTTAAATATGCCAAGCTTTGGGTGCCGTTTGGTGGACGCTAGACTTCTGTCGATGTTATTTAGAACAAGAGAAGCTTTATTGCCAAGAGACAGGAAACCGGGGCGAAGTGTCTTGGACCCTGAGCACCCCGCAGTTGTGTACGGATTACTGGACTGCAAGTGACATCATCAATTTTGGGTTTTCAGGGGCAAATCCTACCAAAGGGGCCGACCGATAGTGGGGTTCTTGTTCCCTTCTAACCACTTCCATTGCTTAGTTCTGTCCATCCTCTTTTAAAAGAGCCCAATCAGGTTTGCAAGCCGGCGATCCTACCGTCACAGGACCAATGACGATGTCAAGTGCCGGGATTCTCGAGACTGCAACAATGAGTGCAATGCAACTCACAACGGGAGTTCGAGATGTAAACGCGGGCTGCGAGCATCGTTGCTGACACAAGCACAATTAGACTACAGAGGTGGGTGTAATTGCTTGTTGTTGCCCTCTAGTGTGATCTCTGCTATTAATTATCTAGTAATTAATAAATTAGTCCTCGACTCAAAAGAGGGGGAACGCTTGAAGACATCTCAAGTCCAACTGTCTATCACTGTCCTCCAAAATTCACATTTTCTAATTAATGCAAGTTCGCTATTTGTGCTAATTAGATCCAGTCCCCCCAAGTGAACGACATTCTGCCCCCCCGGGGCTGGCACGAAAGATGGCACAGTAATTACAACACTGACAATAATTAGTACCTACCTAGATTCGAAGATAACTACTCGCCATTGCTCTCAGGTACTAAAAGGGTTCCAGCCGCTCTCAACCATCTCCACCACCCTCTTCGTGGCCTCATCAAGACTCTCCTTCGGCAAGCCAAGCAGCTTGTTAGACACACCTTGGTTTGTCTCATAGTCGCCGCGGCCGTCGGGGAAGAAGATGGGCGAGTACAACGCCTTGGCGAAACCCTGACGGCTGCCGCGGGCCTGCTCCTCCAACCCATCCCTGAACCGCTTCTCAGACGACTCGTGCGTGATCTCCCAGTCCTTATCCGTGGTGCCGAGGACGCGATGGAGGCTGTCCAGCATGTCACGCTGGCTGACCCGGAAGCTCGAGATGTAGAGGGGCTTGTTTTTCCAGTCCGCCACCGACGGCGACGCACCGCTCTCGGGCAGGCTCAGCAGCGCGGCCACGGCACGACCGCACTGGTCCCAGGTACTGACGGTGATGACGGTGTTTCCGTTGTCGAAGAATATGACCTTCCTGTCCTTGATGTCAAAGCCAAATGTGACCTCGCCCAGGGCCAGGCTCCACTCATACCAGAAGCCGCACACCATGGCGATGTACGACGACACGCCGGTGCTCTCGACTTGGGCAATCTTCTCTGCATAATGGGTCTTGCTCCAGTCCGTGTCGCCGAGGCTTTCGTGGCGGTAGTCATTCCCGTAGAGGTTGGGCATGATGTAGGGAACGCCTGCCTTGCCTGCTGCCTGGACGAGCTTCGCGTGGGCATCGGGAGCCGCCTGCACGGAAAGGGTGATGATAAAGAACTCTTGACCCCGAAGAGCTGCGACGACGGACTCCTCGCTGTCGTAATCGACTTCGACCTTGTTGACGCCCTCGGGCAGGGTGCCTGTGCTGCCTGCACGAGTCAGGGCCGTGACGGTGTGTTTGCCGGTCTTGGCCAGCGCCTCCGCAAACGCACCGCCAACTCGGCCAGTAGCCTAGTTATAGATTGTTAGTGGCGTGCCAGATGATCCGGCAGGAAACGGGATAACTCACGCCAACAATGGCGACGTTCTTGATGGGACTGGTGGGAGCCATGGTGAAAGGCAGTCAGGAATTAAATGAAAGGTAGGTAGTTTAGTAAATTAATTGCAAGCTGGAGAGGAGAAAGAAAGCCGGGAAGAAACGCTGAATATTATAATAGAATTACATGCCCCCCGAGATAAAAGGCATTAAGATTGCAAATCGCGGCGTTAAAAGGAGTTAGGAGACATGCGGAGGTCGGGCTTGGCTAATTCCGTGTCGCCGTGTGGCCCGGAAGGATTGCATATAACCGACGTCACGGACGCTAACCCGGAGTCGTATTTCGGCGCACTAATTATACGAGGCCGCCAATAGCATGGGCAGGATTCTCTTCAAGCTTTGACGAATTTCCCAATCCTTCTCGGGTTCGCACTTCTTCAACTAGCCCTCGCCGCGACGGCTGATGCTAGCACGGAGGACGTAAGGATTCTACATGCATTTAAACCAACATGATAGCCACGAGATGGACACTGCACCGGCAAACTTACCCGGAGCAGGTGGCCGGACTGGTCTTACAAGGGCGGTTCACTGGGGCTACTCGGCCCACCCGGTCCGGCGATACGACGAATTTTGACCATGGTCCGTCCTCCCATGTCTGCACATGCACGAGCACAAATTATGTTTCCAGCGCTTACCACAGGATGCTTGGACTGCTAATCCTCATTCCAGAGAGAGCCATTCACTCCGACCTCACAAGCCTTGTCTAGCATGCAGTACCCTCCCAGCATCTACCGCATGTATTAACCACTTTCAGCCCCCGCCGTATATACGATGTGAAGTCATCTGACAGCTCAGAGACACCATTGCGAAAGGGAGACGCAGTTGACCTAGGTGCCTGGCTTTGGTGTGAAATGGATTGGCGAAATCTGTCGTGCACACTGCGCATCGTGCGAGATTCTACGACGCTTGTGCGTTTGCTACTGTCTAGACGTTCAACAACTAAGTGGTGCCATGATGTGTGAAGTCATTAGACGGCCAGTTCAGCTGCTGAGTCATCTGTGTCTCCCCATAAATAAGAGCGTCCTAGAACTGCAAGGAGCCCCAGGAGATGATTCAGGGGAAGGTTTAGAGCTTCTCCGTGCGATGACACATACGTCGCAACAGGAGCAGATGTGATTGTGGTAATTGCTGTCTCAGCGGGGCAGATTCTATTGTGCCATGATGAGCATGGTCATGGCTTCAACAGAGATATAAGTCCACTGGGTGTGCTTGACTGTCTTTGAAGGTTCTGCTCACTCCTAGGGGTTGCTTTGGAAGCTCCGATAGCATTGCGTCATGTCCTGAAGTCTTCTTGGGGCTTCTTCACCCACCAAACAAGGCAACATCGCGGCCAGCTTGACGCAGCATTCAATCGGCCATGATCTTCTCGTGATCGTCCTCTTCCAAGAGCGAGTCCAAAAGTTGTGAACCCATTCCTTCCCCAGCCCCCTCCCATCGTTTCATCAAGTTTTTGACCGCCTCGTACAGCATATCATGAGCTGTAAATCTAGACTCTAGCAATTGCCTTCCTCGTGGGTGGGCTGGTTCGTCTGTGGCTTTAACCAGTGCTGGGGGTGTGCGTCCTATGTCGGGGTTTGTGTGATGCGCTAGCCGGGCCGAAATTAAGAGCCTCATTCTGCCACCACGGCTATAGTTACCACAGACTAAAAATAAAATCAACCCTGCAGAGATGCGTTTCTGAACTGATGACTGTAGAAAAGGGTTGGATGCTGTGGTCATAGTCGCCGTCGTGGTGGCGTGTCTTGACAGTCGAATCCCGGACTGTCTCTTCACGGGGACGGGGCGGGTTCTGAGGACCCATGTCGAGGTCAGTGCCGATAAAGGTCGTGTCTATGTCAACTGCCTCGAATGTCACGTTGCAGCCCTGATGCGATACGTTGTACGAGAGGCTCGGCCTTGTAGTCAATTTGGCCCCACGTGTTGACAACGTGACTGCAGCCCTGACGCAGCCGTGATATTCACTCCTTGGGCGTGTCCCCTCCATACCTCGCCCGAAGTACGTTGTACCCTCGGTAACAAAATGGAGGCCAAGGCATCACGGGACACAGCTTTGCACCAGTTACTCACCAGCACCCTCACCAGCACTCTCACCACTACCCTATTCGCCCTCTACCTCGCTATCATTATCATCAGCATCCCTATGAGCCCCAGCCTCTCAAAGAGCTTGCTCACGAGTATCCATGTCGCTTTGCACACGTAGTCAGCTAGTACCTCACCATAGGAAAGTAAGACACCTACAATAGCGACAGATGTGTTGGCAGCGTGGGTCACAGACTTGACTAGGTTGCTCAACGATTTCGCCTGCTTCTTGGAAAGCTTCAGTACTGCTCCAACAGTTTCGTCTGTTTGCCAGTCTCGATAGCTAAAAGTGCCATAATCTGGGCGACACTCTCTGCGGTCTTGGCAATGCGCTCGAGAGCCAGGAGCGGAAGGTCGTTGGTAGAATTTGTCAATTAATTACCCCATGAGCAATGATGTTTAGCCCTCTTAGTTTATCCTATATTGGCAAGCTATAGTAGTCCTTGCTAAGTCTAGGTAGCTTATAATAATGTATTAATGACCAGTGGCACATCAGCCTGATCAAACCTCCCCCGGCCCGCCCCCCGATTGAAGGGAAGGAGAAACGATTCCCATAACCGCAAGGAAATAAAATCACCGTCCGAGTTCCGCCATGTGGCTTCGACGTTATCCTACCTCGCAGGCCGGAGCGTTGCGTACAGCAAATCGGTTTGGCAAATCGAAAACAGAATAATAATTATTTGGCATCGGAAAAGACTGGAAGAATGTGTCCACACTCAGAGCTACCTAGTACAGAGTCTCAAATTCTCGATAGCATCCCCCCCCAAACCTCACCAACCAACTTGTTCATCAATCGATTTTCGCCAAAAATCCTACATGGGCATAGCGCCCTGTCCAGGAAGCTTAGTGAGCCCTGTAAAAAGTTATTAGCTTAAGATCTCTTAACAAAACGCACAACAACTTACATTGGTCAACATCTTCAACGACGCTGCTCTTGAGGTTGCACTGGTTCGCCTGGGCAACAGACTGGGTCTTAAGCCCATCACTGAGCAAAGCAGAAGAGTCCATAGAGCGCTGGAGTGCATCGCCCTTCCAGCCGAAGACGTAATCGCCGTGAGAGCCGTGCCCGACGGAGTCGTCGAAACTCCAGACGAAAGGCTGCGAGCCATCCGTGGGCCACATGTCCTGGGGGAAGTCCTGCGTTTTCCATAGGACCTCAAATGCGATCTGAGGGGTTCTAACGGGATGGGAGGCTGGGCAAGGGCCGGCAGGGACGAAGCCGCCCTTTCCGGTGTTGTACATATGATCTTGGTGGTTGGGGCTGTCGAGATTTTTGCCATCCCAGCATGCGGGGAAGTGGATATTGGCCATGATACCAGCGGGGCACGGTACCTTGGGGAAATCTGGGGTCTCGGGGAATCGGGTGTTGACGTTCTGCAGACAAGTGTAGCTGATGCCGGGGTTGTTTCCGGCCTTGTTTTGCGGGCTGCCAACGGTCATACGGAAGCCCTGGAGTTGTTAGACCAATGACGTCGGCTTCAAGAGCAGTAAACTTACTTGCTTGAAGGCCGTGACCTTCTGGTTCCCGTTTGAATTGAAGTCCTGCTGGATATAATAAACGGTCATGCCGCCGTTCAGGTTGCCCAAGAGGGAATTCGGGTACTGTGACACGCGCTTGTACGAGCCATTGCGGGCCTTGAAGTACAGAACGGCAGTCCAGTAGTTGGAGAAATCCTCGGAGAAGCTGCAGGTGGTGCAGGTAGCCTTGTTGGCAATGTCGACGGTGGGATCCATGGTGGCATTGAAGGCGTTTCCACCGATAATTTGATGGACATGGGCCGAAGGGATGACGCCTGGCTCGACGAGCGGATCAAGGCGCTGGACGGTCAGAGTCGAACATCCGAATCGAAGGTACGCCTGAGAAGGCGCGGCGAGCGCGAGGGCTGTGGAAAGCCACTTCATCTTGGCAGGGTCGATTTGGCAGTTTCGATTTGGCAGGGTCCAGTTGGCAGAGTCGATGTCAGTGATGCGTCCCAGAGAGAGTGGAAATGGCCAAGAACACGCGCGAGCGGTCCCGCTCGACTGATATATAAATACTCAAGCTCCGTCATGACTGGACTCGCATATGCCGTGGCCGTCGGCAAGACCGCAAGGTGCCAGGTTGTTTATCTTGGCGATTTATCCAGCCGAGCGCGGTCTTTAAAGATTTCCCCGCAAGGAGTTCTAATTAATTACCTGGTTGCACGCCGTAATGGTGTTTCGACATGATTATTATACCCAGGGATTGAAAGATGGCAACTGCACACCTGTGGCACCAACCTATAACGATGGCGACATTGGCAACACAAGCACACAGGTGCTGCAGTCTAATGCTGCGGTCTAATTTTGTATCGTTGACTTGCGTCGCAGTCGAGAGTCATTGGATCCCCTCCCCTCTGCTGGTCGACCTATCTTAGATGCTGGCAGAGGACTGGCCTGCTGGCCATGATGCGGGTCGCAAGCCCGCCGATACTTCCCCTTGACAGTCAGTATTACTTTGTGGTCTAGGAGATGCTGGAGCCTGGACGCCGGCAAAAGCCTATGCCCAGACAAGAGACCATAGAGGTTTAATGAGACAACAACCAACCAGCCAACCACAAATAAGGTTGCAAGTTAAATATCCGTAGCTTGTATGTCGGTATTGAAAGCAGTGTGTCGGCATTCGGTGCAGATTTGCCACGCGGTGCGATGGGTTGGCAACCAAGTTAATATAAGAATATTAGGCGACACGGCAGTTGGATGATTGGGTATCTTGCAATTTAATTTCGCGCCAACTCTAATTCTCCCTGCGTACCGTACCGTCACCCCTCAGCAACCTTATTGACGCCGGCGCATTCGTGTAAATGGAGCCCAATCGAGTCCAGGTACATCTCTAAAGAATAAGTCGTACCTTGATATCACGGGGTGTGCCCTGTGACCAGGATTCGGATTACAAACCCGAAGCAGAAACTCTCTTCAACCCAACCATCATTCTTTTGTCTAAATTATATGAAAGACCTCAGCAATCACAACGCAATGCCGATATGCTGTCATCGGCCCCCATTATTGCCCTGTGGCGAATAGCGTCCTTGTTTCCCCTGTCAGATCGTTGGCAAGCCTTCCCTTTATTCCGGGTATTTAGTATTTAACATCACCAAATCAGGTAATCAAGTGAACTAACAGGTTGAAACTTGGAAGAAATCGGAGTTCAATTAGCTGCGGAGCTTGTTTCCACATGCTCCGTTACCAAGCCTACTTGCCCTAGCCTTGTCACAATTGCCAAGCCGCCGGAAAGAACACAACGGCTGAATGGCCAAGAGAGCGTGAGGCTTGGCGTGAAGGCCGGCGTCAGGGACAACATCGGTGGCAACGTCAGTCGTTGCTAAAATATCGTCAAGTTTCATAAACGTCGACCATTTGCTTCGTGATTCGCTCTAGGCGTTAATTACTATGATACACAGACTCCATCCACAATTGAGACCGGGGGAACCACACGGGGGAACCACCCGCAAAAGCGGGCCTTGCCCGAAGCGGCGCCGGATGAAACCCTTTGGCGCTGGGAGCAGCGAGGGAATCGACGGCGGATCTTTTTTTTGCTTCGTTGACCCGATTGCATGCGACAGTAGCCGTCTCGATCCTCCAATCCCGCACATGACCCAGCACGTGATTGCTGGCCGGAGCGAGAGCAAAGGCTCAGGATATCGGAGAATTACTTAGGCTTTTGATATTCCACAAACGTCATCTGCTAGTTTCCGCGCTTTTGGGCCTTGGTGTTCAATAACTCAGTCCCACGAAACAGCCCTTCTCTTGTCAATGTGACTCTACGGCTGCTCGTGCACATTTGCTATCATACACCATGAGAATCGTTCTACTTGTGGTATCGGTTCTCGCAGTCTCCGGTGATTCGGGAGTTAGTAACAACCAGCCATATTCGACGCGGATGATCCGGAGCATAATCGGCCGAAACCAAGGCATCGTCTCATCCGGAGCATCAACAAGCACTCTAGAGTCCGGCATTCTCGCCCTCTCACTCGAGGCATGGCTGAAGCAGTACCCGACGGCAGAGTTCGCACCGCAAGTCTCGGACTACCTAAATCAGGTTCTCCAGATCATAATACCCTCCTTCGCCAACGCAAGCTCCTCCGCTAGCCTGCCCCTCGACCGCCTCACGGTCGGCCAGGCCCTGCACAGCCTCGAGCCGCGCCTCACCGAGGCCGAGTCGGCGAGCCTCGCGACGCTGAACTCGTCGCTCACCATCCAGCGGCGCAACCCGTACGGCGGGTTCTGGTACTACGTCTACCCAGAATGGTCGTATCTCGACGGCGCCGTCTCGTTCCTGCCCTTCATGGCCGCCGAGCCCGGATGGAACGCGGTGGACATGCTCAACCAGATCGAGCTCCTGCACGAGCACTGCCGGGACACGGACGGGTCCGGCCTGCTCGTGCACGGGTACGACGCGTCGCGGACCGCGGTTTGGGCTGACCCTGTGACGGGCGGGAGCCCGTTTGTGTGGGGGCGGTCGCTGGGGTGGTACCTGGCCGGGCTGGTGAATGCGTGGGAGGCGCTCCCGGCAGAGGAATGCAACGACGGCGACGGCGATAAAGAGGACGACGACGCTCTACTCCTCCTCCGGGCCTCCATCCAGAACCAGACGAAGGCCCTGTTTGCTGCGCTGGTTCCCTTCGCGGACAAGGACACCGGAGCATGGTGGCAGCTTCCGACGTTCCCGGGCCGCGAGGGCAACTTCCTGGAGAGCTCGTCGACGGCGCTCTTCGTCTTCTCCTTGCTGAAGGGCGCGCGCATGGGCGTCGTCCCGGGGGGCAGGGGCAAGGGCGGCGCGGTGGCGTTGGCGGCGCTGCGGGCGTACAACTACACGCTGGACAGCTTTGTCGTGCGCTACGGCGACGGCACGCTGGGCTTCAATGGCACCGTGGCTGTTTGCAGCCTCAACTCGACGGCGACGTACGAGTACTACACCTCGCGGCCCATTGTGCCCGACAGTTTGCTGGGCGAGGCGGCGTTTGTGCTGGCAAGCTTGGAGGTGGAGCGATTGGAATGACAGATGTGGTGGGGAGCGCGGACTAGGCTCGGGGTAGTAATTAATGATCCAGGGCATTTACAAAATAATCTATTGGTAATTAATAATGTTTATAGTATCTGGATTTGGAATAACAAATCACCCAAATATCGTTACCATCTCCTGGAAGCATGTGGGCTTCGGAGCCGGAGCTGGCTCGCCTTTACATCTGGTCCTCAACAACAGCCCCGGAAGCGGCCAACGTCGCATAATACAACTCCGTCTCAGCACAGATGACCATGCGTCCGTCGCCGGCGAACTGGAAGTTGGCCGACGTACCGCCTAGGTAAATCTTGCCAATGAGCTTGCCGGATGGATTCCAGACTTGCACGCCATCACCGCAGCCCGCATAGACATTTCCGTCGGAGTCACACTTGACACCTAACAAAGCCTGGTTAGCTAGACACTCCCTCATCCATGGGAGCTATGCTAGGGAAGAGGTCCATGATAGGAATATGCCTGGAATGGGGGGAACGAAGGGAGGAACGACGCACCGTCTGGGACACCAGCGTCTACGAAGGCAAACGTTTTGCGGTTCTCGAATGTGCCATCTTCCTTCACGTCGAATCGATAACTGACTGGGTTAGGACCTTTCTGACAACTGAAGGAATAATCACAGACGATATTCATACATGGTGGCTGGGTCTGAATAGTTGAATCCAAATAACCCGTGGTTGATACCCGTATCGGTGATATACACATGCCGTCCGTCGGGCGAGAAGCCAATACCTTGCCGAGAGGGTCTTAGCTCGGAATCTCAAATAATCATAGTAGTCCCGGGGAGGGTTACCGTTGGGGAGTGTAAAGCCGTCAGCCACAACAGTGACTGCGCCAGTCTTGTCATTTAGACGGTACACCTGGTTGCGGAGTCCAGGGGCGGGCCGGAAATCCTGCAGATAGCCGTAGAGTGTATCTGTGAAATAGACATCTTTGTTTCGCGGGTTGATACCAATATCATTCAGCGAGCTAAATTGACGGCCGAAGTAGTTGTTTACAAGTACTATTATGTGAATGAAGGACCAGTCAGACGCCATTAGGTTGTGGTAGCTTCCTCGATAGATGCTTGACTCACCCGTCGTGTTGTACGGCTCGCGGGGGTTCATGATGTATAGTGCGGAGGGGATGTCGTCGCCTTGACCTTCTCCGGCGAAGAGGAGTTGGCCGCGGTAGTTGGTAGCGCCTTTAATTAGAGCACGTTAGCGATGCCCAACCATGGCTGTAGTCGATTACTTATATGGCACTCAACGCACCATTTGGATTAACAATCATTGGATTTGAAGGGACAGTCGTAACCGTCACCCTCCCCGTGGCGTTCCCAACGCTGGAGACTTTGGCGGCCTCAGCTAGGGAGATCTTCTGGATGATGGCCGACTTGTTGAGGCCGGTGCCGGCATCGTTGGCTCCGGCATTCTGCACGAAGAATACTTCATCTGTAGGTTTATACCTAGACCGCGCTCGTTAATATCCGGCTCCGTCCGGACGCGTAGCCTACTGGATGCTAAGGTTTCATTACACACCAAACCACAGCCTCGTGAAACAGAGGATCCTTGTCGGACTTGGCAATCAGTGCCAGGGTCGGATTGGACCCGATCACGGTATAGAACTCGTTGTCGTAGATGTGGAAGGGCTTGGCATATAGCGAGTCTTTATCTATGCCGGGCGGGATAAATGGCTTTGGTGCGGCAGTTAGCATGCTAGTTCAAGGATGAGCCGCGGGTATTAGGCAGTTCTGACAGTCGTGCCATTGGATTGCGCAGGAGGGAGCACTGTCGGTAGCACATTGAAGCTTCTCTGGTCGATCACCTGCGCCAGAGGCGGGACTGCCAGTGAAGCCCCAGCCACGCCGTGAGATGAAGGGTTGGAGCCTGTTCGGAGAACCAGGCCGGCGGCGAGGGCGATGAGGGCGGCTGATAAGGAGAGCATCGCGATTGCTAGTGTATTTTTGTTCCTGAGGTGTGTAACTTCTTGTCCTACACGACTCGGCGGTTGTTTTGATGAGGCAGTGGCAGTCATCGTGAAAGCGGGGCTAAAGAGGGATCAAGAGACAAGTGTGAATGATATCATAGCACGTAGCTGGTAATACGCCGATCCCCCGTTTTGGCTGCAGGTATTGTACTGTACCTCTCGCTTACCGGAGCCCCCACGATCTCACCCTGTTTCTAGTCGTGGTCTACACGTAGATGTTACGGGATCAGGCTTTTGGATGCCGTGGGTTGGCTCGGCACTTCGCTCGATCCATCTTTTCTAGTGTCCCGATTTGCGGGGTCGTGTGGAGAACCCCAACACTTCGGTGAAGAACTGGTGGCCAGATCATCAGCCAGCACGTCCATTTTGATGCAACGCTGAGTGGCAGTATGGATTGCCGCGTTTACAACTTCTCCAAAATCCGCACTAACCTCACCCGCCGCGTTAGTCTTTACCCATGCCTCGTAGTCCTAGACTAAGTCGTCGTCCACGTTTCGTCTCGCCACCCAGGAGTTCTCCGCTGCCGTAGCCTGCCCACTTGATGAGGTACTGCCTCTTGTAGGCGCCTCCCCGTCGGGCAAGGATGCACTCAACTTCATAGACTTCGTTATCTCAGCCTTGATCGGCACCAGGTTGGTCGACGGGGCCGCGCCGCTCTCTGTTTCCAAGGTTCCACCAGCAGGGAGACTGGGAAGACGTTGTGAATCTTGTACTCGGGCGGAAACTTCAAACGGTAGGCCATACCGGCGCCTCCGATGACAGCCTCTACCACGAAGGGTCCCAGGTACTTATCAGAAGGCTTCCGGTTAGGCATCTTCTGCTTGATGTTCTTGGCAGACAAGACGACCAAGCCCCCTACCACTCACACTCTTCTCGATTCGGCTATAGTTGTTATATAATTGGCTCGTAGGTAGCCCATCTCTTAGCCAGCATCTGCTTCACTGCTGTGTGGGTCTTCTTCATCTCTGCGGCCCCATGAGCTCTCGCTGCCGATCTAGGTATTTTACGATTACTTTGGACAAGCTCCCAAAGTCTAATAGGAGGCAAAACTACGTCAAGATCTCCCTTCCTTAATAGGCATATTCTAAACAAGAGGTCGCGCTTGGCTTGATATACACAGCCCGTCAAGATATGGGCATATCGAGGTGTGCGTTTGCTTCTTGTGGGGCTGACAGCTACGTGAGTGTGACTCTGCCGTGTCTGGGACGCACCATGGCCCCATTAGCTGCAGGCAGAGTTCCGCCGTTGCCCACTTGGAGAGCAGCCCACAGGACGCACAAGCCAGAACATCGTGCGGGCTTGTCCACATTTGAGGTAGAGATTCGGAGGTCGAGACCCAAGCCCATGTGGCGAGTTAGAGTACTACGTCGATGATGGGTCGAGGTCGGACAATGCAACAATAACCTATTGCTGGCCATGGCAAACCGAACAATCAAAGTCGCAATCCTGTAAGTTGAGGACAACTAATTACATTCTGGGACGTTCTTGACAAGGTAGATCCACGTAATCCATCTTCCCAGAAACGATTTGAACCAGAATCTCCTTTATCCACTCTTCATCCTCTCTAAAGACGCATTTATTCATTTTCACCACGGCGTTCTGGATTTCCAAAGTCTCCTGGTCTGATAATGGCTGGTCATTTGGCGGGAACTCCATGTAATCTCCCTCGTAGCTCATGTCGAAGAGGCTGTACCCGATGATGCTGGAGAGCCGTTCAATAACGCCCTCGCGGAGAGGACTCCCACGTTTCTCCCGCGCAGCAATGCGGACAAGGGCAGCGCATGCGACTGGGAGAGGCATTGTCTGGACAAAACTCGGCAGTGTGGGTTGAGAAGCGTCCTGAGCTGAAATCGGAACGAGTTCGTCGGGCGTGATCCCGGTCCACGACATGGACAGAAAAACGAGCCTACGTCGTGGGGGACCTTCGTGGGGAGCAGCAGTGCGAAAAGAGTCGTCGACGAGGTAGCGAACGGCCAAACCGGAAAGCTCGCACGGGTAGATGGAGCGTAAAGTATTCTCGTCTGCAGGGGATAGCCCTACACCGGCGGCGAGTTCGCGGACTCTCTGTAGCTGGCCGTCCGGGATCAGGAGAAAGAGACTCTGCCGACTGTTAGACATGTCAAGATTGAAACGAAGGCGTGTTGGTTGACTCACTCCATTTGACGCAAGAGGGTAGCCTAACCGGATATGAAGGCTGGTCTCCCACTCGACAAGAAGAAGCCGGGATGCCTCTAGACGTTCCAAAAGCGCAGACGCGCGCCCTCTAAAGTCGCTCATGGTAACGGGTAGTGATGTGGAGGAAGAGAAGGAGCGAGTATGAAGGTGGGCACTCTGTCATTGAGCTTACAAGTCATTCGAGGAGCAAGCAGCACTGTTGGAATATTCATGTGATATTGCACGTGACACACCATGTCACAACCTCCTCCTGTCTTCCATCTTAACCTAGGTAGGTAGGTATACAAGAGTAATGAACCTGCAAACCAATCCCAAGGCAAGGCACGATGTTATTCTCTAAGTAATTTATATCATCTTCCTTTGTTAGAGGCTGTAGTAATGATATGCTAGTTATGTGTCGTCTCATACACGACACTAAGCAGGGACTCCGGAGTTACGCTCCACTGAACTAGCCTACCCGTCGGCTTGCCCGGTTTCGGCCCGGCGGTATCCATATCGCGGGGTAAGGCGAAAAAAACCACAAATAGTATTCTTCTGGGATTTCTTGCTGGGACCAATTCCAGTTCAGTCAGGCACACCTTCGGAAAATGTCAATGGAATTGCGCCGCTTCCCCGAGGCCCGGGGTCCGGGACAGGATGAAGAGGGAGAGGAGCAAGGGCATCTCATCTCAGTACTACCGCCGACCGACAGAGGACCAGCTGCTTGGAAGTTCCTCTGCGGATGTTTCATTGTCGAGGCGCTTTTATGGGGTTTGTTATTATCGTGGCCCCCGGCTTTGGCCCAGAATTGACACAACCTCTAACTGATCAACTCGCATGCATCCATCAGGTTTCCCTCTGGCCTTTGGCGTCTTCCAGGACTACTATTCCAAACAACCCGAGTTCGAGGGAAACACCAATATCGCCGCCATCGGCACCGTCGCAACCAGCATGTACTTCCTCGGCGCACCGCTGTCGGCGCCCCTGGTGAGGAGGTTCCAGAAAGCACAGCGCTACATGATCGCGGGCGGGTGGACCATCTGCGCGCTCTCGCTCCTCGGCGCCTCCATGGTGGACTCGGTCGCCGGCCTCATCGCCACCCAGGGCGTGCTCTACGGCCTCGGCTTTCTGATGCTGTACTTCCCCGTCCTGACCATGCTCAACGAGTGGTTCGTCCAGCGCCGCGGCCTGGCCTACGGGGTGCTATACGCCGGCGGCGGGTTCAGCGGCGTGGGCCTGCCGTTCCTCCTCGAGCGCCTGCTGGCCACGACGGGGTACCGCACGACCCTACGCACCATCGCCATTGTCCAGTTCGCCAGCTTGATACCGACCATGTTCCTCCTCAAGCCGCGCCTGCCGCCGTCCAACAGCAGCGCGTTGCGCGCCGTCGATTGGAGCTTCTTCCGGCAGCCTCTGTTCTGGGTCTTTTCGCTGTCCAACCTCTTCCAGGGCTTCGCCTACTATATTCCGTCCTTGTACCTGCCGTCGTTCGCCTCCATCATCGGGCTTTCCGGCACGATGGGGGCGTTGATTCTGGCAGCTAATAACATGGCTTGCATCATCGGCCAAATCGGGTTCGGATACTTGACTGACCGGTTCAACAACGTTGCCGTCCTCGTCTTCGTCTCGACATTCGTGTCGGCCCTTGCAGGCTTTGCGATCTGGGGCTTTGCTCACTCCTTGGGGGCTCTACTGGCGTTCTCCATCGTCTTCGGGTTGTTCGCGGGCGCATACATTGTCTTCTGGCCAAAGTTTGGGTCCCTGCTATCGGAAGACCCTCAGGCGATATACAGTCTGATGGCCTTTGGCAAAGGCATTGGCAACCTTGCCACCGGTCCCATCACGGCCCGCCTCCTGACCAGGCCGGTCACGTCTGGCTATGGGATAGGCAAGTTTGAGCCTCTGATTATTTTTATGGGATCTCTCATGCTTTGCTCTTCACTGGGGATTGTTGGTTGGCCGCTCAAGCCTCGCACCCTCGGGGCTTGAGCTATGATGAGGTAGACATCTCACAGTCACGTTGTGTTCCGCCAGAACCCTCAATTTTATACGCTCCAAGCAAGCCGTGATCGAAAATGCCTTAGCGATAACTACGTGGTAATTAACTTACACCTATTCCAGCTCGGGTGTGGTTCAGACTCCAGATGTGTATGATGCAAGATCACGGTCGCAACTTGGGGGTCAAGGATAACGAAGTCTCACAGTATTCATGGCTCTCGGATAGTCACTCACCGGTGACAAGCTGCATCCATCAGGTTATGCCTTAGCGTCAGCACATTCCGCATCACCATTGACGTCTGCGCAGCTTGATGATCTGAACAACCTGGCTAGGGTTCTCGTCCTTCTAAATCGTGATTAATCAAATACAATCGATAACCACCCGGTTAAGCATAGCCACACGCAACGCCTGTCTTGACGACAATTTCGAGAGACGAATGTCTAAAAATACCGTCAATGTACGACCCCGGTGCGTTGATAGCGTCATAGGATTCATGTGCTATGGACTGTAATTTGTATAAATCTCTATGCTTTGACTCGAAACCCATCTCATTTAAGAAGAGGTCTTATTGGGCAAAGGCTATTCTATGTGCATATGTGCAGCTCATAGGTTCAGCCTAAAGGGGTCAATGTATTGTATATTAGCAGATCCTCTCCCGAAGATTTTCGCATTTCATCTTTCAACTTTCTTCAGTTCAACTATTTTCAGCTAACTGTCTAATCTTACCAATAATTATGCATGCTCACATTCTGCTAGCACTTTGTGCAGCTGCAGCGAGCTACGTTGCTGCTGAAAACATCACCGTCGAGGTTACCTATTCTGTGTCGTGCGAGAGAAAGACAAAGAACGAGGATATCATATCCGTCAATTACAATGGCACACTCACAGACGGGACCCTATTCGATTCTAGTGCGTAACTATAGTCTTGGCGGCCTTTGTACCTCCTCCCTCCTGCTAACGATTGGGCAAGGTTATGATGAGAACGATTCCCATCCATTCAGCTTCACACTTGGTGCTGGAGAAGTGATTCAAGGGTAGGATCCCCTAACATGTATCGGCACTCCATTCAGATGGCTAACAGATCTGCAGTTGGGAGTTGGGACTCTTGGATATGTGTATCGGCGATAGGAGGTGCGTCACAAGCTCCTTTTCTCCCCTTCGCCGTCCACTTGAGACATATAAACTGATTGGCATTTGCAGAACTTTGACTCTCCCCCCTCAATTTGGCTACGGAGACGATGAGGTCGGCCCCATTCCGGCGAATTCAACACTCAGTACGTTGTCTTTGGGCGATGTGCCAACCATCCAGCGCTAACATATATCAACCACAGTCTTCTATACTGAGCTCATGGGCATTAAGGGTGTTTAACCGTCTAGAAATGCTGCTGCAGAGCAAGTTGTGGTTTATTTTCTCTTCGTGGATTAGATATCTCGCTGGCTTGAAGGCTGAGACATTCTGTGTTGCTTGATTCTAGTTCTCAGTTGCTGTCAGATAATTTCTCGGTATTCGAGTGTATTGTCCGGGTGCCCAGTGGCGGGTGTGTGCCAATATGCGCGACTATGAGAATGCCAAGGGCTTTCGGGACCTCGCTCAGTCGCTATCATATAGACCAGGATGATGGCTGTGGCTATGAACGTCATCTTGGAGGAGATAATAACATTGTGCCTTGCCTTGTGATTGGTTTGGAGTACAACAGGTTCATTATTCTTGTGTAACAGGGAGGACTAGATAGAGGAGGTTGGCACATGAGGATAATGACTTTTAAGCTCAATGGCAGTGACAAAGTTCAACTGTTGACTATCTGGCACCAAACTTATTCCGATGCATTCTAGGGGACAAGATCTAATTATAAGTAAATAGACCCCATCCTACAGCTTTGGCGCAGCAGACTTTGAGGCACCCCGGGCCAAATCAAAGCGGTCCAAATTCATCACCTTGGCCCAAGCTGCCACGAAGTCTCTCACAAACTTTTCCTGGCCATCTGCACTACCATAGACCTCGGCAACAGCGCGCAGTTCGGCGTGGGAGCCAAACACGAGATCGGCGCGAGTGGCAGTCCACTTCTTCTGGCCGGTCTTGCGGTCGGAACCCTCGTAGACCTCGCCATCGGTTGCCTTCCAGGCCGTGTTCACGTCCAGCAGGTTGGTGAAGAAGTCGTTGGTCAGCTGGCCAGGGCGCGTGGTGAAGACGCCGTGAGACGAGCCGTCGTAGTTGGCGCCGAGGACGCGCAGTCCGCCCACGAGCGCCGTCAACTCCGGGGCGGTGAGCGTGAGCAGGTGTGCCCTGTCGACGAGGAGCTGCTCGGTCCGCACCCGGGGCGTTCCCTTGCCGTAGTTACGGAACCCGTCGGCGTACGGCTCCAGGTGCTCGAAAGACTGGGCGTCGGTCTGTTCTTGCGAGGCATCCGTGCGGCCGGGCGTGAAGGGAACGGGAACACCGGCTGCCTTCTCGAGGGCGGCGGAACCGGCTAGCACGATGAGATCGGCCAGGGAGACCTTCTTCCCGCCGGATGCAGAGCTGTTGAATTTCTCCTGCACGCCTTCCAGTGCCCCGAGCACCTCGGCGAGACGTTGGGGGTTGTTGACCTTCCAGTCCTTCTGGGGAGCGAGGCGGATACGAGCACCGTTGGCGCCGCCGCGCTTGTCACTGCCGCGGAATGTGGAAGCCGATGCCCAGGCGGTGGAAATCAACTTGGCAGGTTCCACGCCGGTCGCGAGGATCTCCTTCTTCAGAGCGGCAATGTCCTTGTCGTCGATGACTGGATGGTCGAGAGCCGGGACGGGGTCCTCCCAGATCAGCTCCTCGGATGGGATTTCCGGACCGAGCCAGCGAGATCGCGGGCCCATGTCGCGGTGCAGCAGCTTGAACCAGGCGCGGGAGAAGGCGTCGGCGAACTGATCGGGGTTCTCGAGGTAGCGGCGGGCGATCTTCTCGTACGCCGGATCGAATCGCAGCGCAAGATCGGTCGTCAGCATGGTGGGCCGGTGCTTCTTGTTCGCGTCGTAGGCATCGGGGATGATGGCGTCGGCACCCTTCGCCACCCACTGGTTCGCGCCAGCGGGGCTCTTGGTGAGCTCCCACTCATACTTGAACAGGTACTCGAGGAAGTTCATGCTCCACTTGGTTGGAGTCTTGGTCCAGATAACCTCGAGGCCACTGGTGATGGTGTCGGGACCCTTTCCGGAGCCGTGTTTGTTGGTCCATCCGAGGCCCTGCTGCTCGATGGGGGCCGCCTCGGGTTCCTTGCCGACATTTTCCGAAGGAGCTGCGCCATGGGTCTTGCCGAAGCTGTGGCCACCGGCAATCAACGCAACAGTCTCCTCGTCGTTCATGGCCATGCGGGCAAAGGTCGTGCGGATGTCCCTGGCCGAGGCAATAGGGTCGGGAATGCCGTCGGGGCCTTCGGGGTTGACATAGATCAAACCCATGTGAACGGCTGCGAGCGGGGTTTCCAGGTCGCGGGTGTGAATGTCCTTGTAGTCCTTCTTCGACTCATCGGCGTCAACGACACCGTGCCCTTTCACGCCTTCGTGGCCTTTGGAGTAGCGGACGTCGTTGCCCAGCCACGTCAGCTCGCCACCCCAGTAGACAGACTCGTCAGCCTCCCAGGTGTCCTCACGGCCGCCGGCGAAGCCAAAGGGCTTCAAGCCCATGGATTCGAGGGCAACATTGCCGGTCAAAAGCAGCAGATCTGCCCACGAGATCTTGTTGCCGTACTTCTGCTTGATGGGCCAGAGAAGGCGCCGGGCCTTGTCGAGACTGACGTTGTCTGGCCAGCTGTTGAGAGGCGCAAAGCGCTGCTGGCCTTGGCCGCCGCCGCCACGACCGTCGAACACGCGGTACGTGCCTGCGCTGTGCCATGCCATGCGGATGAAGAGACCACCGTAGTGGCCAAAGTCGGCGGGCCACCACTCCTGCGAATCCGTCATCAACGCATGGAGATCCTTCTTCAGTCCTTCGTAGTCCAAGCTCTTGAAGGCAGCCGCGTAGTCAAAGTCCTTGTTGTGTGGATTGGTGACGGCCGTGTGCTGGCGAAGGATGTTGAGCTTCAACTCATTTGGCCACCAGTCGCGGTTCCGGGTGCCGCCGCCACCAACGTTGGATTCTCGAATGGGACATTCAGCCATGGTGCTCGTTCGTTCGTTGATGATTGTTCGGTGGGTTTTGGTAGGGATGTTGATGCAAAAGGTGCACTTCTGGGATCAGCGAGAGAGGATGTGGAGAGTAAGATAAAAGAATCACGAAGAAGCGGAAAAAGAGGGGGCGTTTCGGAAAGTGCAGATCAGGAGAATGGAAGCTCGAGGAATACCTAACATCCAACTTCTGATCCGATTGACCCCGCAGATGACGAAATCATGTCGACCCCGCAGTTATGTATCGCCCGACATTTACATAGAGCCCCGCCGGTTTTGCTTGGTGGCCAAGGTACCCCGGGATACTGTAGTAACTGATATCAGAGATACCGGTTTCGCACGTGGATTTGCGGGGGCGGGTATGTACCCGCGATATCCAACGCCTAGAATCGGGCTACCAACCCGCGGTCGCTCAGATGTAATGTGGAGGATCTTATTGGTTGTTAAGTAAAGCTCCCCGCACTCGGCCAATTCCGGGTGGGGTCTCCAAGCAATGCCGAGGACTGCGAATCGACTCACCTGCGGCATTTGGATTTTTGGAATGAAAATGCTCGCAAATCATCGGATTCTCACCGTTAGACAGTAGCACTGACACGACACATCCGATACATTTCCCATCTCCTTGAGATATCCCGTCTATCTACGGCCTGACGTGGGAAGACGCACACGGACAGGTAGGTATGAAACAAGACAATGCTGCAAGCAAGCTTGATTCACCTGCAAGGGAGGTGGCCTGATCAGGCTCCCAGCAATAGAGGAGCGGCAGGACGATAATCCGAAAGGTGATAGTCGAGGTCCAGTCTCAAGCAACTCTGCGAAGATTTGTCATATAAAATGCCTGCCTGCATGTGAGTCGCCTACAACGCTGAAAGAGGAGTCTCATGGCAATAGGCGAGCCTGGATCTGGATGGGGAAGAAGAGCGACTTGAAGCATAGCAGGGATGCACTGATTATCAACAGGGCATTTTTGCTAGCTAATAAAGCGGCATACAGGTTGCGGCAGCATCCGTAGCACTGGCTGCTGTGTCAAAATAAAAGTAAAATCGCTCTCGCTCAGCACTGTCAGCAGTGCTAAACAAACTAAGCCTTATGCTTGGCAAATCTACTCAGGGGTAGCACAGACCAAGTACAGCGAGATTTGACCGCGCTGCGCACCAAAGGGGTTTCTCGGAACTGCCACCCCATTTCGCTCCCACGCACACGCCTATCATGAGGACGGCCATCCTTCTCCTCCAGGTTGTTGCCACCCTGTTAGCAATGCTCGACATGCTTGTCCCCGCCGTGCGGCCGACTATGACTACCGAATCGTGACAATGCGCAGCAGAGAACCTCGCACTGCATTTCGACGAGCCCAAACCCACCGCGCCCTGCGCTCGATTTGTACGGCCGGGAGCCGCGAAAAGGCGTGCACGCTCGCGGGGATCGAGCCTTTCCCCAGAGCAGTCACGCCGGCGCACCTTCACCATAGCCTCCGCTGCTGCAGCTGTGCTCCTCGACTTCTCCTCCGGCGGCAGCATGGCGTCATCGTGATGCGCTGCCCAGAGCGAGTCGGCCTTCACCCTCGCTTCCATGTGCGACCGGTTGGTACGACGCCATAAGCGGGACGCTCAATGTCAAGACGTGGCTCTACGACATCTCTTCACATCCTGGACAACTCGTCGCCTCGCCGTCCGGGCTTATACGTGATGGCCGTCGATTCCCCCACGGAACTACTCATGTCTGTATTAGTATTTGCACGTGCAATGTAGGTGTCATGTGCAAACAGACGTCGTATCAGTGGCAAAGTGGATGCAAGAACATGGAATCTCCGGTATAACAGGGCCGGCCAAGATCCGGGAACCCATAGCCGTCGGGTGTCTACATAATTAAGAGTACCCAGCATCCCGTCGGTTTGCGAACTGGTGGAATCAACCCCCACCCTCCCCCCTGCGATTCCCCACGAAGCTGCAAGGAAACATGGAGAAGCCTTACAGGGCAAGCTTCGTCATTGCGGACCCCCGGGATCGTCCAGACTTCCGGATGCGGCCCGGCACGCTAGGCTTGCCGGGTAATTTTATCCCACTAATAATCCCACCAATGATTAAGACGTACAAATCTGCAGAGGTGGTGACGAGAGAGACGATCACCAACCTAAATGAATACTAGCACCTGGCTCTGGCGAGCTGCCAATGAAGACCTCCTACCAGCGTCAGAAACACCCGACGGGTTGAAGGTTTGGTACAAAGAAAGCAGGGGCGAGGAGCGAAGAGACGCCATTCGTGGATTTTGTGCCTCTGGAGATAAACAATAACCACTTATAAGACCAACAACTCTTGCGCTTGTGTGAGCAATGTCTATTCTGAAACCTCATCCGCCTTAGAGTGCCGATACACCGTGTTCATGGCAGCGTCTCTGGTTCTCGCCATCTTGGCTCTGTGCTGCTCTTCGGCCCAGGGCAAGGGACTATGGTCAAGCACACCAGCACAGTACAATGATATTCTCCGCCAAGCATACCCTGTCGGCAACGGCAAGCTTGGAGGTCAGCCACCTGTGAGAAGCCGATCCAACCTTGGTCAATTCTAATATCATTCTTATCATAGCAATGCCGTTCGGACCGGTGGGTAGCGATAAAGTGAATCTCAATGTCGATTCTCTCTGGGTAGGAGGGCCATTCCAGGGTGCTGTAGGTAATTCCTTTTCTTTGTTCGTGATTCAACCTTCTCTCTGCCCAGAGCTCGCCTTAACCAGGGGAATGTGGACTTCGAATTTAGTCATATAACGGCGGAAATCCGACTTCACCCGTGTCTGAATATCTGCCAGGGATTCGTGACTGGATTTTCTTGAATGGTACTGGCAGTAAGTCTCACTTGCTACTTCCGTCTTTTAAGTCAACGACCATCTTCTGACAAAGATATTAGACGTTACGAATCTCCTCGGCAGTGTAGAGAACTTTGGCAGCTTCACTGTTCTTGGTAATATTAGCGTTTCGATCGACGGGGTTGAATCTGCAAAAACGTATAACCGGTCCCTGGACTTTGAGACTGGCATTCACACAACGTCGTATACCGCCAATGACGGGAATACGTACACATCCACAGTGTTCTGTTCTTACCCGGATCAAGTTTGCGTCTACGACCTAAGTTCGACAGCGGCGTTGCCAGAGATTGCGATATCGTTTGAGAATTTACTCAGCAACGCGTCCCTTTTCACCGCCTCTTGCGACTCGTCTGGCTATGTTAGGCTCGCTGGCCATACTCAACTTGGACCACCGCTCGGCATGAAATTTGATGCGATAGCAAGGCTCAGAAGCAGGGCATGTACGGCATACTGCAGTTCCACCACTCCAGGGGCCTTGGTCATTCCGGCCGGATCGCATATCCGCACGTTCAACCTCGTCATCGCCGCAAATACCGACTATGACCAAACCAAGGGGGATGCAAAGAACGGGTACTCTTTTCGAGGAGAGGATCCTGCACCTTACGTCGAGGCCACCACCAGGGCAGCGGCTTCCAAGGCCGAGACCGACATCCGCCAAGCTCATATTGCCGACTACCGCCATCTTGCTAACCAGTTCACTCTAGAACTACCTGACACGGCTGGTTCTGCAGGTCTCGAAACGTCCGTCATAGTGTCTCGCTACAATTCCTCGGGCCCTGGGGATCCGTACCTCGAGTCCACCCTCTTTGCTCTGGGCCGCCACCTGTTTATCTCATCGGAGCGTGACAACAGCCTTCCGACCAATCTTCAAGGACACTGGGCGCATACGCTCGTTTCTGACTGGGGATCCGATTATCATTCCAACATCAACTTTCAGATGAACCACTGGGGTGTCGACCAGACGGGCCTCGGTGCTCTCCAAGTATCCGCTTGGAACTATATCCAAAACACGTGGGTGCCGCGCGGAACCGAGACGGCGAAGTTACTCTATGACGCACCCGCCGGATGGGTTACTCATAGCGCCATGAACATTTTCGGACACACGGGGTAATTAGTGAACCCGCTGGACCTCGAAGGGTTCCTCGATGAAACTCAGTAACGCTGACGGAAATGACTTTATTTTAAACAGGATGAAAGACAATCCCCGGTGGGCCGATTACCAAGGTAATCAGACATATCACTCTGTCTTTCGTCGATTGATGATTAATTAGATACTTACTAACTACTGGAACACAGTATCCGGTGCTTGGATGATGCTCCATGTCTGGGATCACTTTGACTATTCCCAGAACACGTCGTGGCTTACCACGCAGGGATACCCGTTAATCAAGGGCGTCGCGCAGTTCTGGATCTCCCAGTTGCAAGAAGATGTCTCTTCCAAGGACGGGACTCTCGTTGTCAACCCGTGTAACTCGCCCGAGCATGGCCCCACCACATTTGGATGCACTCATTTCCAGCAAGTGCTATTCCAAGTATTCGACTCCGTCCTCGCAGCAGCCCCCACAGTCGGCGAAAACGATTTGTCTTTCTTGCACAATATCACCTCCATGCTCAAATCCCTCGACAAAGGTCTCCACATTGGAAGCTGGGGGGAGGTGAAGGAGTGGAAGATCTCGGACAGCTATGGTCAGACTGCATTGCCTTTGTACCAGATCAGCCAGTCGAATCTCATTGGAACTGACAAAGTTTGTAGGATACGACTTCCAGGGAGACACTCATCGACACTTGTCCCACCTCATTGGCTGGTATCCCGGTTACTCCATCTCGTCCTTCCAAGGCGGGTATGCCAACGACACAATCCAGAAGGCCATAGAGACAAGTTTGATAAGCAGAGGAATTGGCTCTGACTCGGACGCAAATGCCGGCTGGGAGAAGGTATGGCGAAGCGCCTGCTGGGCGTTGCTCAACGACACGTCCCAGGCCCACTTCGAGCTTCGATATGCCATCGAACAGAACTTCGCCAACAACGGACTGTCCATGTACAAGGGTCTGGATCCTCCATTCCAGATCGATGCAAACTACGGTTTAGTCGGCGCCGTGTTGGCAATGCTCATCGTCGACCTGCCGACACTCAGCAGCGACAAGAGCACACGCTTTGTTGTTTTGGGTCCGGCGATCCCCAAAAGCTGGGGAGGTGGCCAGGTGAAAGGGTTGAGGCTTCGGGGTGGTGGCTACGTTGACTTCCACTGGGACAGTGAAGGTGTCGTTACGGGTGCCCACCTCACGGACAGGACTGCTCGGATTAAAGTCCTGAACAAAAGTGGCTGGATATTGGCTTCTCACTCCTAACTAGACAATTAGTCTAAGAGAACACATTGTTTACCTGGCCCCACTAATGCCTCCTAGCTGTTCGCTACTTCTATCATTCTTGCAGACCAGGATCGTCTTGTTATCATTGCGCCGACGACGATGACAACTAGATGTGGGAAGGATGACGCCGGAGAACAGCCTCGATGCTCGAGAACCGGGGGTTTTGCCGACTACCACTGGAGAATCCCATCTCGTTTCGGCTTGGAGTCACTCCGGTCGATCTGAAGTGGTAAGAGAAATGCCGATACCATGTAACGTATCGGTGCTGTTTTTCAAGTTGGCCAGTGGGAATATTGGTGTTTGGGTATGGTTCTAAACTATCCCCATGTCCTTATTGAACTTGTCAATATCTTACACCTTGATGCCATTCCCCAGAGCCAGCCCCGAAAAGGTGTCGCCACGGACAGTCAGGTGCGACGCACATGAGCCGTCGCTGCCCTGTTTCGGCACCGTGAAGGGGCCGGAAGAGCAGCACACTCTTTGATAGATTGCCTCCGTGCCATTATCTTGCGGATCCATGGTTGGCCTAATCTAGAGCCAAAATTACTACAACTGAGCCTGACAATGGGGATATCCAGACTTTTATCAAGCCTCTCAGCGCCAAATCAGATTTTCACTTAGGGTAGACTGTCCTGTCGCGACCTTTGCCGTCAACGACATCTTCAATGTCTCCACGTTTTCTCTCCGTACGAGATATCAAGCCCACCATCCATCACGCCGTTTCCAAATTCATATCCAGGGCTGCATCGCCCCCCTAACCGTCCCCCGCCGATATCTCTACTATAGTTCCGCCGTTCGACATCATAACATGGAGTGAGCCGGCTTATGTGCCTCCGGTGTCCAATTTGTAGCACTTATCTTTTGGAATCGACTCATTCTGATCCCACTAAAGAGGGCAGTTAGTATGATGCAGGTCTGCTTAGGATCCAAGATACCTACGTGTTCGTGGACGCAACCATCGACCCAGAGCCATCTGTCCGTAGTTGAGTACTGCGCGTATGACATGTTTGTACTAGCATCGAAGCACCAACTGGTGCTTTGCTCGCTTCCTATCTTGTTCCCAGTGCAGAAAAGGGACCAAATGTTGTTCGGGCCGTCCGCGTACCCTGGATGATGTTGCTATTGTGCGTTCAATGTTTAGTACCTACTCTATCTTGTTGTAAAAGCTAGACAATGTAGAGGCCGAGCTGAAATAATGAATCACCTTATAAGTTGAATCTATGAGGGAGAACATCGTCCTGGGATCGCCATCAACCACAAACGCACGATAGAACTCGTACGCCCTCAGTGCTGTCTCCTCCACAGTTACCGAGGCATTTGGTTGACAGAGGGCGGGAGGTGCTTTCAAGTTGCACAGGTTTTCTCTCTTGTGGAGAGATTCATGGTGTGGCACAAGCTCAGAGACAGAAACGTCTCTAGCCGGGGCAGCAAGGCCAGTGATAGGCGCTAAGATTCCTGCGGAGAGCAATAGTAGAAGCCGCATCTTCACAGTAAGAGGGACCTGCAAATGTTGAACAATGGGACATCACACATCATATGCGGTGACTATATAGCTAGGCATGACAAACGAGGCCTGGATGGGGACGTTGTCCATTGCCAGTTTTCTGACGCGGGTAAATACTAGCTAATTAGGCACCTTGGTGATAATTTACGAGCAATATACGCACACAACCCAAATGAAACCAAGGCGTGTGTTATGCTGTGAAAGCCAAGTGAGGGGGGTAAGTCCATTCCCCCAACCAATCACTCTTCGGGATGCCCAAGACGACTGTATATCGCGATCTAACAACAGCTTCAATTGTAAAATTTCCAACCCGAATTCGAATGTCATGCTTTCAATGGCCTATTTCATGGCCTATGAGGACTCAGGTCTGGTTGTAAGGAGCTGGCCACAGAATAGAGCAGACCAAAGAGCATGGATGAAGTGTGGCCACTCGTCAGAGTCGAGGAACATTGGAAGGACATAGCAGACGACTGTCTCCGAAGAAAATCGAGAACCCATGTTCCAAAAGTAAGCCCCAAGGCAACCTTTCTTGAGAGCTCCGAACTATGATGCGATTCTTCGGAAAGGAGATGCTTGTTGCAAAACTTAATTGAATACCAGTCCATACTGGCGGCGATTGTCCGTTCCGCGATTACCATTCCCCCGATACAAGACCGACCGCCAAGATGAGATATTACCGATACAATATTGCTAAGAGGCACCTCCGATGACATCCCAACAGTCATATTGGTCAAGTTGTATTCCATTGGGCCGGTTTGCAATGTCAAGTAAGATAAGCATTCCCTTAGTGGCGTGGCTCTGCGACTTGGAGGTAACGTTGGGTACCCCTGGGCCTCGGTGGTTGCCTCTCTCGAGCGGGCCTGGGGGTGAACATGCGACACGGCGTGGCCGCCTAGGCGGGACCTGTGCTGGTGGGGGATTCACGACCATGACGAGGCCGGTCGACTTCCCTGGCATCGGCCGGAGGCCTATCTGGGCCCATTTGTTTGATGTGCTTGTCAAGCTCTCGGTTGTGTGGCTTTCGCTGTGTCATATTGTTGCTAGGGGTGGGCGGTGGGCGGGGAGCGGGAAATCGGCCCCGCCGTGATTGTTATCGGCGGTGTCTACGGTTATTGTCACGGCAAGTATCCCCCCTATCGGAGCGACAAAATTGATGTCAGGAACAGCGTCGTCAGCGGTCCTTACACTCACAGTTACGTGGCGTGTACTCCCTGGTGAGACAACAGACAACGTGGCCGGAATCTGCGACCCATCCGACCATGGGAACGCCAAGCCTTCATTTAGGACCGACACCACGCACCCCTTATGCGAGTCCCCCATCGTCGTCGAGGCCTGTTGGTTTCCCCCGTCAGCGACCTAACCGACCGCAGCCCCGGGGCTCACGGCCTGCGCGAGTTTATCCATATCAGATCCGGCAACAGGGACCGGAGCCGGAACTGAGATCAACAGCGGTCAGGCAAGGGCTGGGCGGGTATGATTATGGGAACCTCTTCTGCAAGGCCTGCACCGAAGAGGCGACGGAAGATGGAGATGGGGACAGCTCTATAGGCAGCGAGAGGAAGGAGAGGGGAAGGCGGATGTTGCCCTATTCCCGGACCATAAAAACGAGATTGTGGAAATAGGGGCTATACTTGTGGTACAAATGCTCTCAGATATCGTTGTGTCCGGAATAGAGAGGACTTCACAGTCTGCATTCAATACGTCTGCGGCACCGAACGCCTCAGCGTAAATGCCTCCTGATCTTTGTATTATGCTCCGGGGCATCGGTTCAGCTAGACAGGGTTATTGGGTGTCCAAGAAGTCGCTTTGCAACGAAGGAGGGGATAAGAGAAAAGAGGAGACTGGGGGAAGGAGGCGAAGTCAACTAGCTTTGGAATCATCCCAAAGCTATCTGCCAGCATAAACTACTCTCGTCGCCCCCGAATTCTACGTGGCTCAGAGGGAGTTCTCTTAGATTTAAATGGCTTTGTTTTCCCCATTTCCCTAGGTCCCTTCGTCTCCCTTCATCATCACCTCAGAGACACTCACACATTTCTCGCCTTGAACACGTGCTTATGAACCAATCTCTGTCATGGTCTGGCCAAAAGGTGACGGATTACCAGTCTACCTTTACCTAGAGAAGGGTAAGGACGGGGAGTTCGTCTTTGATAGACCTGACAACCATGGCTGGACCACGGAAGTCACATCAGGAAAGATGAGGGATATGATTTCCTAGTCCGAGGGAGGACATTATGTCGGACACGTCATAGAGTCCAGGTAGAAACAGTCTACAACATCGTGGTTTCGCCGTCCAGGATGTCCTCGAGTGCGCTAAGACTTGTTGGTCGTCTGATTCACTGCATGGATACTGGTGTTATAAGTGGCATTGCCACAAACAGTGCCCAATAGGTTCGAATGGAACTCTCGTCGGTCTCAGGATGTAGTCGCATGTCTTGTCTAGGCATCGCGTTATCAACCACGCCGTTTACTTTGTTTATATCGTTGACATACTCCCTAATAGCGACGGCGACGTCGTTCAGTGCAGGATTGACTGGTGGAGCGGCGCGGACAGCGGCTTCAAATGCGAATGGCTCTGTGAAACGCTTTGAAAATTTGGAGCACGAACAAGCACTACTTAAAGGTACTTTAATGTACGCCGCATAGTTTAAAAGCCAGAACTGGCTGACAACCTTGGCCCATACAACCTCCACATTCCGAAGCCCGCTTGCTCCATGAGAGTACTGTCATTGTAGTTGCAGGTATATAGAGAGTTGGCGAAGCCACTTAACTTATCACCTACTAGGTTGCAGTGAAGCGTGTCGTCTCTCGCTGGCAGGGAACGCGACCCGCACCCGATCAGAGGTCCCCTACGCCTCGGCCACTACAACGCCCTCGTCCCTAGGCCCACTGTTGCCAACTTCCCATTCTTGACTGCCATGGGCGTAGATTCAGTTTCCCGTATTCCCAACGCAAGCCCTGCCGGTGAACAAGCTAAAATGGAGCCCTCTACATCTGTGGATGCGCTCTCTAAGCCATCAATCTTGGGTCAGAAACGCCACCTCCTCTCGTCGAATCACAGCCTCTTCAGCCTACTTTCCCTTCACTTATCATAACACCCGCCTGGCCAGGCGGACACAGACGCTCAAGTCACCAAATGGCAGTGTTATCACATTAACTTGTAGTATTAGTATGCTTCTGTACTGATTATTATTGGTCTTAGTATTAGTGTTATTATTATGTACTAAATTGATTAAATTAATATGCAAGACTGCCACCCGGACTTCATTAAGCAGTTCACCGAACAAGAATCCCAAAAGAGGGTGCGAGGCAACAGAAGCATTTAACGGTCATGCAGTGTGCCACACTCCGCAGATAGCCGCAGGACATATACTTCCTCCAGCCAGATTACGCCAACAACACCGGGGTCAACATTGCTAGGGGTCTACAGAAATAATAGACTGGCGTTGGCCTCTCCTTCACACATGCTACTAGCTATCTTAGAGGTGCTACAAGTTCACGAAACTAGGTGCCTGGACCGAGGTGATCAAGAAGGCCGACCGAGCAATGGCGAGGACTTCCTCCACCACTTATGCGAGCCATAGCGGTTCAGATCTTAGGGCTCATCTTAGGAGTGCTTCCGTCAGTGCAAACAGCTGTACTCCAGCGCCACCGGCCGTTACATGGACATGAGTGGCAGCATGGAGGTCATGACCTGAAAGATTGACAAGAGGCTAGAAAGGCCAGATGATCCGTCAAATTCAGCCGGACGACCCAATAAGAATCTACAGGTCCTAGAACATACGCTGAATGAATCCAAGCCTCCCTCAATCTAAAATTCATGATGACTGACGTGAAGCACTTTCGGGGCTCGCGGCACTTCTACAAGCCAAATGTACAGGTAGGGATCGTGGGCGGGACATAGGAAAAGACATTTGCCGGCAACCAACAATCACCTGGGTTATTTGCCACACATGAATATAGGACAGTTCCATAATTAAATCGCCATATCACCGGATAATAATCCCGGTAATGCGGTATGAGCTGATTCGCAGACCTGGGCCACCTTGTCTCCCTTTTATTATCTACTCTTCGCTGGCTTGCTATTGAATATGAAGGGAATAAAGTTTTCTTGGCTGGGTGGGGAAGCTAGAAATGCCGATGCAGGGAGTTCAGGGCAGGCCCAGCCTTATAAGAGTCGAATGGACACGGGATTGCGCCTCCCCTGCCTCGACTACCTACTTCTGCAAATCTCTAACTCCCTACTGCTAGCACTGTCGATACCAGGCCCACCGTCGAGATGAAGTGGCTTTCCGCAGCCCTCGCGCTCGTCGCGCCTGTTCAGGCCGGCCTTCGCTTCCCATGCTCGACTTTGACCTTCCAGCGCCTTGACCCCGTCGTCCAGCCGGGCGCCGACCCGTCCGCTCATGTCCACCACATCGTCGGTGGAAACGCCTTCAACGCCACCATGGAGGGGGATGTTGGCGCGAGGGCCACGTGCACTACCTGCCAAATGTCGGAGGACTTTTCCAACTACTGGACTGCCGTCTTGTACTTCAAGCATCCTACCAACGGCTCCTACCACCGTGTGCCGGTTATTCCTGTCCAGCCCCTATTGGGAGGTTCGAATGGTGCCCAAGGTGGAATCACCGTCTACTATACCCAGTTCGACTTGTCCAGGGACAACCTAGCGCAGCAACCGATTAAAGCCTTCCCACCGGTAATTTCACCCAATATTGTGGCGCTGTCTGTTCAAGATTCTCATACTCTATAGGGTTTCCGTATGACGGTGGGCAGCCCAGCCGCAAGCTCAAGCCCGCACGTCGGCCTACGTTACCAATGTCTGCAAGGGCAAAACAGAGGTGCCGAGATGCCCGACTTTCCCACCAAGCCATGCTCCGGCGGCATCTTCACTACCCACCACTTCCCCGCGTCAGTAACCTGTTTATCCCGACATGTGTGATATGTCATGTGATATGTAAGCTCATGCTAACCGGGCCTAATTAGATGCTGGGATGGCAAGAACCTTGACAGCCCCGACCACCAGTCTCACGTGTACAACACTATCCGATCAGATGGCTTCACAAATGCCCCTGCCTGCCCGGCTTCTCACCCTATCCGTGTCCCGCAGGTCACGTACGAGACCGTATGGGATACTACTAAGTTCAACAGCCTGTGGACATCAGGGCCCAACCCATATGTGTGGAGCTTCGAGGGAACTAGTGGGTACGGCACCCACGCCGATTACATGTTCGGCTGGAAGGGCGATGCGCTCCAGCGCGCTATGGACAAGTCTGAGTGCTTCTACGACGGCTGCGGTTCTATCACCAAGCAGCCCATGGCCACCGCCAACCAGTGCACCGTCAAGCAGATGGTCATGGAGGAGACCGATGGATGTACGTTTTGACATGCCCTGACACCGATGATATAATAAATGCTAACTTGTACTAGGGCTTAAGGAGCTCCCGGGTATGTCGGAGATGGCAAAGTCGGCCTAGGTTGGCAAGGGCCGGTCTGTAGTTGAGCCCATGGCGATTCTTTTCACCCATTAAAATGTACAAGTTTGTCCGTTGGGCCTTGTGGGGCTTTATGTTCAGATTAGGTTGATTAGTAGCACGTAGCTATCTACATACACTGCTTTCCGCAGATCACTGAACATAAGTCCGAACGGTGATCAGGCTTACCTTTGGCATCCCTTTTTGCCCCTTTGTGTAGTCCTGCTGATAGGTTGAGTTTTCCTGAGAAGACTAATATAATGTAGGACATGACTCTGTATCTAGGTAAAGCATCACCATGAAGATCCCTTCGAGCATGATAACCCATGGTTTCACCTTCACCTCTCGGGGAAAACGTGGCCAATATGCGAATAGCTGACCAAATTGGAAGTCGCGCCTGTTTGGGAAGGGGTTCTACTGCGCGGGCAGTTTGCTCCTCACGCCTGCGGGCTGTGCGGCTCAGCTGGGGACAGGCCGGTAGGGTTTCTAGCATGCGGCAGCATCTTCCCGCCATCGCCATCCGCCACTGTAGCTTCCTGTACTAGCGATTGACTGACTATTAGCATTACTTACCGCATGTAGATGCAACCGACTCGTCATCATCCGTATCGTAGTCGTCCGTATCATCGTCATCCCCACCCTGGTAGTCGCACTCTTCGTCCAACCCACCACACTCTCAGTCCTTCTCCGCACCGGCAAGGTCTGCATCCTCGTCCTCTAACTCAGAAAGGTCTTCGTCAAAATCGACATCAGTCGCATCCCTGTCCTCCTTTATGGTGATAGCGTTCACTCGGTACAACCACGACGGGAGAGAGTATCTCCGTGGGCGACGAGGCTTTTCAACGAGCGAAGCAATTGCCGGGAGAGGATCGACCCGGTTCTCGCGTTTGCGTTTGCCCATTGTTAATGCGAGCGAGCTGCTGGGGCCGCTTCTTGTTCGGTTGCGTTAAAACGCGTCACGTTGAAGCGTCGATTGCAGAACGTCACCCTGGAAGTGTTGACGGATGAAAGCCGAGACGTAGAACTCGGGGAAAGAGAACTCGGGGGAAGATGATCTTTGCTGCTGGTTGTGATTGGCGTTTTGCCAGGGGAGGGGATGACTAGCCCAGTGGGGTTTGGATCCGCTTTGAATTCGCGGCAGGAGACATGCGAATCTGCTTTAAATCTCGTATTCAGCCCTGAAAAGGGGTGCAACATCATATGCCCACTCCTCACCACGCCCTTCAACACACCACCGTCTCCAAGCCAAGCTATGGCCATGCGACTTGCAAAGCTCTCCCATAGTCAATCCAACATTGCCGAGGGAAAGGGGGTTGGATGATCAAATTCCTCAAGCACCGTACTCTGGTCAGCCCGAAAGACGGCGACCTCACCACCCCATGGGCTCGCGAAAACGTGGGGTCGCCACCATCGCGTCATGTCTGTAGATAGAGTACAATGGTTATGCCGGGCAGCCAGACTTCCCAAAAGCGCTTTTCAATGCGGAACCGCTGCCGGTGGGAAAATTGGCACCGCATTAGGGCTTATGCAAGACTCTTATGGAAAGATACTGGTCAAAACGTCGCCATACTGCTTGTACGACAATCCCATCTTCTCAATATCGTAGTCGTTCCAATAGCCTCCCCCGCCAAGAGCAGACCGCTGATTCCAGCCGGCAAATCTAGTCCGCGCCTCCGCTGCCGTTGTTCCTTGAGATGGCTTCGAGTCGTTGGTGACCCACACGAGCGGCACGACCTTCATCCCGAGCGTAGACTGCCAGCTTCCGGGGTCATTGCGTGCGCCGCCGTCGTAACACTGAAGGTACACCCTGTCCAGGAGCACGTCTGACTCCTTGAGGCCATTATTGAGCTGCGCCTCGACGGTAGACCAGAAGCCCGTGTTGGTATACGGCGCAATGGTATATTTATACCCGACTTTCCCGAGCATCTTGGCGAATGCGACGGTGCTCGCGATGTCGTAAATGGACTCGTCGTCGTTGTTGACGGCATCGAGACCCCACGCCGTCTTCAGTGCCTGGAAGTTGCGGTACAGCGGTGTCTCGGCGCCGGGCCCTGGGTTGGCCATCAGCGCGCTGACGTGCTGGGCGTTCATCGAGATCTCGAGCCTATCGACGCCTGTGTCGTTGCTTGTCTTGAACGAGCGTATCTTGTTGGCAAGTGCGTCACCGCCGACATAAGTACCGTTGGATGCTACAAGGACGTCGTTGCTTCCCGGCGTGTTCGAGTAGTATTTAATGTCGCCGTTGTCGAGGACACCGACGCCAAAGATGATGAGAGTGTTGAAACCGGACGTCGTTAGGGCTGTGGTATTTGACTTCATCACGTCCTTGAATAGGAATATGCTCCTTATGTTCGCAGCGAAAGCAGGTTGAAGAAGAAGCCCCAACAGTAGGGCTCTTGCCAATGCGTGAGACTTCATCCCTTTGAGCAAGTGCATTGTTCCTCGCTCGGCGACTTGAAATTATGAGTGTCGATTGAGGGACATGTCATTACAACCATTCGGTTGTCTTGCGAGCGATCTCAACATCTCGCGACGGCGGCGTAAGTCATATCGGCAATCCTTTTCTTGCTCCGTAGTAACATGGCTTGGAAAAGAGGGGTAATTAATTAGCTGGTTTCCCTAGATAATATCTTCAATATTGGGAGCCTTTCCATATTTGCTTCCGGCTAAAAGAACGCCAACCGCGAGAACACTTCAGTGAATGAAGTCCTGCAAGAAAAGCAGTCCACCAAGAAAAGTCTCATTGTACGGATTAGATGTGTGTGGCTAGTGCATTCTGAGCTTTTCAGCCACACTGCAATTTCTCGGGATACTGTACCGTATCTCGACATTGATCTGCGACTTCGAAATAGAAACAAGTAAGTTGATGGTGAAATTGGATATCTCTATTAGATACCTAGTTCGCATCCTTGTCAGCAGCTGGTTATTCTGATGTTTAATTATCTCAGAAGGCGAGGTCAAGAGCAACCCAGCACCCAGTTGCCAAAAAGGTGGGGCAAATCTGTCTCCAAACAACCCCACTCCCCCAAAACAAAACAAACAACAGAAAACATCACCACTCACTTAACCACGAAATCCTAATTAATTTCCCACCAGCTTCCGAAAATACGTCTGGCTATTGTCGAGGCCTGGATGCAAGAAGTTAACCACGCTCTTTTCTCTACATCACCACTTTCTGTTCACGTTCAGGGGATTCAGACTTGCCCCCAGCGCGGCGCAGTAACTCCTTACTCGCCAACGGCGTATCCTCCAGCGAAACGGCGACGAGTCTTGGGAGATTTACCATCGGCGACTACCAATCAACGGATCATGGCCACAGAACAAGACCCCGCCGATGCGCCGACGCGGAAGCCTACTCGAAGATCTCCGCGAACTCCCTCACCGACGAAAAGGCCTGCGGGAAAGCCTACACGAACCAGATGCCCTGCAAGATCCGGACGGAGGGACACACACAATTCACTGTGGAGAAGACGTTGGGGATGCGACCCCTCGCGCAGTGGCGCCAGCCCAATCTCGACGGGCGAATGCACTTGCCGTTCGCGAACGATTCGCCCCTGCAGCTCCTCTGTACGAGACATACTCGGACTCTCTCGCTCGATCGGAACCGCCTGAATCCTCCGTACAGTCTCGAAACACCTCCCATACCTCCCATTCCTCAACGTCCAAGCGATCCAGCAGCCCTGTTAAGCGCACGGCGGGACTTCAAGACGTCGGGGCGGACATTTACTACCGCGGCCTGTCCGACAGCGGGCGGGAACTCGGGAGCCGGAACCAGAACCTCCTACGCGATTTGCGGGCTGCGGCTGAGGACATGGGGGTGATTCCCGCCGCTATCGTGAAGCTCGTCGATGACGAGATCCAGATTAGGGCCAACACGGTGGATAAGGACGCCACAAGTCGCACCGACGGGGATTTTTGCGAAGAACTGAGGGCGGTACGCAAGCTCAACTCGGCGTCGAAGAGGTGCGAGAGGAGATTTGAGTCCGAGCCCGAGTGGAACGTCGCTGTCCACTCCGTCTTGCTGCGCTTAGCTTTGGGAGATGACCCGAGTATTCCCGTTGTCTTTCGAACCATGTGAGTACTACGGGCAACCAAGCTTGTTTCCTCGAGTCCAATACTGACAACCAACCCACCCAGTACCAGCGTCAAGATCCACCCGCAGTGGATGCCGGCCCCCTCGTCCGGCCTCGTCACGCAGACCAAGATGGCCGACTTCGCCATCTGCCTGGGCGCAGACGACGACGACGACGACGACCCAGATTCGGACGAGCCGCGCGACCTACGGAACCCGTACCGGGACCCTCTCTCGCGGCACGTCGTCGTCGTCATCGCGGGCACGTCCTCGTCGGTCACTCGGTTGCGCTGCGCCACTGGCCCATCGCCGTCAGCGTCGAGACCAGGACCGACAGCAGGCCGAGGGAGGAGGCCCAGGTCCGGCTCGGGGCCTGGGTCTCGGCGCAGGCGCACCGCCTGCGCAGTCTCGCCGTCTCGGGCGGCGCATCGCCCGACTCGGCCGTCGCGCTGCTGGAGGGGATCGTCTTGCCGCTCCTGCAGGTCGAGTCGGCGGTGTGGACGGTCCTGTTTGCGCGGGTCACGAGGGTTGCTGGGAATGAGCTGCAGCTGGTAAGTCTTTGCTGATCATGCCTTGGTCTTTCCTGGTTTCTTTGTTAACCATGGTTTGCCATGACAGAGAATTTATTTGGGTTTGAAGTTGGGGGACACCAAAGTCCATCCTGGGGACATATTGTCTTCTCAAAGCTATTGGGATATTACAACACTGGGCGAACACGGAGTTTCGGGCGTGGTGGCATGAACTGTTAGACCTTGCTGGGGAGGATCGGCTTCCGGACGCTGATGTCACAGGGTAACAGGATAGTACAGACACAATAACACACTGGCTTATGTCGTCGTCCTGGCCAAGGGCCCTGGATCTAAGAGGCTATCGGGCCCGCCATGTCGTTGGCTCATACAGTCATCCATGGTTAACTTTGTACCGTAAGGGTAAATGATGAGGGAGTTTCGGCTACGGATTGTCCAACGACACGGTGATGTAAAGCCGCAAATTAAGGCGTCATTGATGGTCATTGATAGTCAATGCAACGGTTCAAGTGCGTTGTTCTTCCTCGCCCATGCTTGAATTAATGGCCAATCTATGTGAATCTCTATACCTCAAGTATCTCTTTTGGCAACCTTTTCCTCCCCATCTATTACCTTCTCGACCGAGACCGGGGTGATAGTTCCTCCCGACCCTTGACCGGTCAGGGTACCTTCCTGAGTGCTCGATCCGGTTAAACCTCTCCAAACCTGCAATATCTGTTTCCGCCCATCGATAATGGGAAAGAAGCCAGCAACAAACATGGTGCCCCAGACCCAGATGATCGAGATGACAACCCACACCGAGAAGAACTTTTTCGAGAAGATGTAGCTCGAAGCATAGATCGGGAGTGGCCTGAGAGGTAGAAACTCGGTTAGCGTGGGGGCAAACTGTCACATGAGCAACTCTCTCCGACTTACCATAGCACCCAATGTCCGAGGAAAGTAGCCAATGACCACACCGCCGAGATCCTGCCCCAGCGCTTCAGCTTGGCCTTGTCGGCCTCGTAGCTCGACCTTCCCTCGCTGCCATCACCATCTCCAGACACTTCGATCGAGTCAACGCCCGGAGCACCTTCGAATGCCAACCGTTCCTTGCGTAAGTCGGCCCAATCGTAATTGGCTGGCCGCATGAGCGAGATGACCACCGAGTACAGGGCTGGGCTGAGAGCCGACGCGACGGTGCCGTACATGCATGGCAGGGTCTGGCCCGTCGACGCGACCGATATCTCTCCAGTGAAGGCGTGCGCTGTGCCCAGCCAGACGGCGATGCCTGTGGCCAGTCCCAGTAGGGGGGATATGATGGCCGCTGCGGTGGACTGCTTCTTCCAGAGGATTGTGAACACGGTAGGAAAGATGCCAGGGCAGGTCAGAACCCCAAGCATGTACAGGGTCCAGCCGAGATCGACGTTGCCATAGTGTAGCGCCGTGGAGAAGCAGGCGGAGAAGATGCCGAAGAAGACGACACCCGCGTGACTCCAACGGATGACGTCGGCATCGGTGGCGTCGCGGTTGATGTACTCGCGGTAGATATCGAAGCTGATGATGGACGAAACAGCAATGACTTGGGCCGAGATGGTCGAAGTCACGGCCATGAAGGTGACGAGCAGGATCGCCGCCGCGCCCCCTTTTCCGGCCACGGCGATGGCAGCGTATGGAAGGACCAAGCCGTTGGATATCTCGGTGCCGCTCATGCGCCGAGGGAAGGTGGGGAACCGGCTTGTTCCTTCCAAGGCGAGCGCGCCAAGACTCATAATCGTGCCGAAGCACCACGGAATCGCAAAGTAGGCGATGCCCCCGACGATATATCCTGGGACGACCGCTTCCGGGGCGGCGCTGAATGCCTTCACGAAGAAGCCATTGTCCATGACGACCAAGCCAAAATTAGCTAATAGATGTATAATGCCGAAGAGGATGGCCTGTGGTGATTTAGTTTCCAGTCGGATAGGGAGGAAAAGGGGGGGGAAAGGGGGAGAGGGGAAGAATGGGGAGGTAATTACTCACTCCTTTGCTCGTCATGGTTAAGTACGAACCATTCTGGTTACCTTCAACAGGAGTCTGTCTCCCAGCTGCGGTGATGAGTTCCCATAGGTGCTCGACAGAGGAGATCTCGGGGGTCGTGAACGTTTTAACCGTGAAGAAACACACGATGATGGTGATGACAAAGGTGTGGAAGTAATCTGTCAAGAACGTGGCCTTGATGCCCCCGACGAATGTGTACAGAATAACACCGACAGGTAACAAGAAGGTAGCGGCGATGATGTGCATTCCTGTGCTGTTGGGGTCCAAAGTCAGCTTCTGGGTACTGGGTTTGAAGTGCGAGGGAATTGGGCCAGTATTACAGCGCCGTGATGGCAGCACTCGCCCCGAGTAACATGTTCGCCACGGCAATGATGTTGTTGATGAGGCAGAGAACTATCCAGACGATATGACCGACTTTCCCGTACCGAATGCGTACGATCTCCAACAATGTATGGGCCTCGGGAACTCGAAGCTTGCAAACGATGCCCAGGAGTGAGAAGAACACAATCATAGGAGAGCATCTGCTTTATTGTTAGCTGCAATGCCCCCTCCATAACTATACTCTCGGATCATCTTGATCAGCCATGGTAGACAGACTCACCCAGCGGCAAACCAAAAGGGACCCGCAACACCAAAGTTGTAACCAACCAGCGAGCTTCCCAGCATAGCCGTACTCCAAAGCCATGACGAGATCACCGCCGATGCGGTCAGGCCAGTCCTCACGCTCCGGTTGGCGGTCATGAACATCTCCGTCTTCCGGTTATCCTCGCCCGTCGTCTTCTTCAACACATAGGTTGCCAGCACCATGGCGAAGGCAATTATGAACCCGATCGCAACCACCACGACATACCCCACTGCTTGGGACAGTGCAGGCTCAACCGCAGTAGCATCAGCACCGGCTGCATCGCTGGACGCTCGAGGACTGAGCCGCAACATGATTATTCCTCAACGCTGTAGCGGATTCGCTGGGGTGATGGAAAACGATGCCGCTCGAGAACAATCTCTAAGAGAGAGACTTAGGGAAAATTCCTGACGTGGGTCCCAAACCCTCAGTCTTTATGTATGATGGAGAGACGTTCTAGACCTTGAGAAAAATATACGTATTGGGTGAGTGCCGGTTCCAGGTCATGCATGGCTCATATTGCCTGAGATTTCTGTTCCCCAACCCAACAGTCTGGAACCATGAGCCGGGCTGCATATACTGCACGGATCCTAGAGCACATCGTGTTACAGGGGATATGTTGTGCTCTTAGGGTGAGTGACGCCACGGTGCCCTACGCTGTGAGATTGACCAACCAATAACCCATGGGACCTGGGGGAGAGACGGGATTTCTTCCCTTGAGGCATTTGCACGTGCAACTAGCCGCATTCTCCAGGTACTGTATGTACAGTACCTGGCCGACATCGCTCTCCAGATTATAGTGTACATACATACATATGCGCCCCTTGAGGGACGTCAACATGGGGGCCCAGGGGCGACCCGCCGGAGAGGGTCGTGGCGGTCAAGGGTGGTATTGTGTGCAGCAGCTAGACTCGACGGGTTACAAGTGCCGATGGCGTCGATTCATGAAGATATCACCTCATCCATCTGCATCCAGCTGGCGAATTGCAAGCGGCCATTTACTGGCTTGGGGTGAGAAGAGGGGAGTGAAGAGAAAATAAAAAGCGACTATCGCACATTAGTCTTGTGTATGGATTCGACCCCAGCCCATTTCCGGCGATCTGCCTATATTTGCTAAATTAATCAACGCGTCCCTGGGTCACATCCCAAGGGTACCGTAGAGGACAATACTGGCATTCCTTAACGTGTTTCGTTTTGTTGGCAGGCCCAGTGTTGACGATGGCGCCATTTTAGCTCCCTCGCACGCACGCGTGAAATATCTTAGAGAGGAGGGGTCGCAAACCCTGCCGTTTGGAAGTTGACACATGCTACGACGTCATGAATCATTACCGTAATGTAGTCTGCGTGAAAATGCCCTTCCTTAATACTAGGGTTTCCTTTAATTTTGTGCTCGCTCTCTGTGTTCTCTCGTCGCTGTCATTCCTAGGATCTGACATTATTATCCGCCAATTGGAAGACACACGCTAAAACCTAAGCCATGGCCTCCCCTAAGAAACAATTGATCATCAATGCGTTCGTCGAGTCGTGCAGCGGACACCAGTCGCCGGGACTGTGGGCACACCCCGACGATGAGTCTACCAACTTCAACAATGTGAAGCACTGGGTCAAGCTTGCGAAGCTTCTGGAGTCAGGGAAATTCCACGGCATGTTCATTGCTGATGTCCTGGTTCGTTCCACCCTTGTATAATTATGTGTCTGCCTGTCCCCACGCTGACACGTTGACTTTGAGGGAGCCTACGATGTCTACAAAGGTCCGAAGAACCCGGACCCGGCCATTGTCTCTGGCGCCCAATGGCCTGTCAACGAACCCCTGGCCCCCGTCTCGGCAATGGCTGCAGCCACCGAGAACCTAGGGTTCGGCTTGACGGTTGCAACAACATACGAACAACCGTATCATCTCGCCCGCAGGTTGAGCACCCTCGACCACCTGACAGGAGGGAGAATTGGCTGGAATGTGGTCACGGGATACCTTGACTCCGCGGCACGCAACCTGGGTCATACCGCCCAACCACAACACGACGAACGGTACGCCATCGCGGACGAGTATATCGATGTCATGTACAAGCTCTGGTAAGTGGGGAAAAGTAGCGTGATATCGGGAGCGACCTTGACGACAAGTCTGCTAACAAAGTTTCTCGCAAAAGGCAGTCATCATGGCGCGACGACGCGGTGAAATTGGACCGCGAGAGCCGAGTCTACACGGATCCCAAACTCGTCCGCACGATCGACCACGTCGGCAAATACTACACCGTTCCAGGCCCGCACATCTGCCAGCCATCGCCGCAGCGCACGCCCCTCATCCTGCAGGCGGGCACGTCCAAGGCCGGCAAGGCATTTGCCGCCAAGAACGCAGAGGTCATCTTCGTGGCTGGTCACAGCCCTGTGGTGGTGGCAAAGAACATCGCCGAGATCCGCGCCGCGGCAAGGGACGAGTACGGCCGCGACCCGGCCTCTATCAAGTTCTTGGCACTGCTCTGTCCTATCATTGGGGCCACGCCTGATGACGCACGAGCAAAATACGAGGAGTATGTGTCGTATGGCTCCGAGGATGGCGCGCTTGCCCTGTTTGGCGGCTGGACGGGCATTGATCTGGCCCAGTATGATGACGACCAGGAACTTCGCCACGTCGAGAGCAATGCCATTCGATCTGCGGTCGAGGGCTGGTCAAAGTCAATGCCGGGGATACCAAAGTGGACCAAGCATACAGTTGCGAACCATATCAAGATTGGTGGGCTGGGAGCTACGGTCGTGGGAACCGCCGAGGGGGTAGCTGACGAGATGGAGAGATGGGTCAAGGAGGCCGATGTTGACGGATTTAACATTGCCTATGCTCTGTTGCCGAGGACTTTCGAGGAGGTTATCGAGCATCTGCTCCCTGTGCTGAGGAAACGGGGGTTGTTCTGGGACGACTATGCTGTCCAGGGTGGCACATACCGTGAGAATCTCTACAGGAGCGCGGGGTTAGCAAGACCACCTCTTGATCACCCAGCAGCGAAATATCATTGGAAGGCAGAGTAGCATTTAGATGCAATCACACACGCCAGAGATTCCATTGAGCTTCCCAGCTATACAGTCGTGACGGGGAGCTGTCTTGAGGTTCCGCCATCGCACATGCTTTTGCGCCGCCAGAGCTCGCGATCGAGCTGTAATTAGTCGGTTCGAAGGGAGTGAAGTCTAGCCGTTCTCCATTAGAAGCACACTGCTCGTCGATTGTATTTTGCCGGATTTTCTCTCTTATCTCTCTTGGGTTGCTGCCTGATCTCGGTCAGGCGGCTGGCTACCTTCACCAAACTCCTCAAAAACTTCCGAGTTTGGTCCTGGATCAAGCTATGGAGATTGGTTGTTACCCCCACGTATGTAAGGGTATCGGCTTCGTGTTGTAATCCTAGGCGGTTATCGGACCTACGGTTGGGTATAGGCGGTTCTAGATGCAGCATAAAGTTTGTCTAGAATTCAGGGAAAGTCACGAGGGGTTCGGCTGGTGGATTTCTGATCGGGCATCGTACGTTAATACACCCTACGTAGTGCTCTAGGTCTGATGGACCTTCTCTACGCCGAGCCCGTCCGCCGCAGGGCCATGGTTGAACACCCAAGCGGCCAGACCACGGCCGTATTCGGCGCCGGAGCCATGGGCAGGGTGGACACGACTACCACAGAACCTCTATCCATCTCCCACTTTGAGACCTGCGGTCAAATGTTCTCTAAGAATGTCTACAGCTTTTCCGACTTCCGCGCTGAGACAGCCTCTTTGCCTGAGTGCTCCATGTTACTCAGCGGTTTGCTTCCTTTTTTCTTCTTACCCTTGTGCCTTCCTTCTCAATCTCAGAGCAATCAAGAGTCCACTTCACAAGAGCGGTGCCTACCGTCATCTATCGAGACGGCAGCTGTTTGCATCCATCTATTGCCTTCAGCACATGTCTTTCCGTGATCTGGTCTGGCGAATCCATCCTCGCGTAGACAAAGTTTGGGCGGGTGGGAATGGTCCTAATGATGGGCGTGGCTAGCTTGAACCTCCGCAGCTCCGAGGTGAATCTCCTGGTCTTGCGGCCGTGGAAAACAAGGTCTTTCTACTTGAGGTTATGCCAGTAAGCCCTCTCATATGGCGAGAACCATTAACTACTGCACTCATTCTTCCTGTCATAATCACGTTCCATACTCTGTCACAACCTAGGATTAGACCGATCGATCCTTGACTCCGGCGTCTTGACTGCACGATTTAATAAACGCCTATTTCTTTGCCCAGTGCATACTCATAGCATTTTGCCGTCAACCAGTGACGTTCTAAGTCTATTCTAGGCTCTGCAAATCCTGTCCCTGAATCATCTAACAAGCATGAAAGGAATAACCCCACGAGCGACTAGAACCCAAGCCAATATCCTCGAACCCTTTAAGTGAATCCTGCACTTCCCATTCTCTCCCTACCCTTCTTATTCCTTCTCTGCCCTTCCTATTCTTTTCCTGCACATTCTATTCCCTCCCTACACTTCCCATTCCTCCCCCCTGAGATTCCCCTAGATCCGTCCCCTCAGTAAAAACGCTCACCAGTGTCCGCGTCGTATCCCTTGGCACGAGGCTTGTCAGCATCGTAGCGCTCCTGACGACGCTGCGCAGCCGATCTTCCGTAAGTCGGGGTCAGAGGCCCCATCCTGGAGAGAAGGGTGTCAAAGTTTGCCTCATCATTGCGACTGTTCTCCGTCTGTGTCTTCTGCCCCAGATCGACCTCGGAAAATCCCGAGTATTGGTCGTCTTGGCTCGGCACATAAGTTGCACTCGCTCCCTGGGGAGCGACGTGATGGTGGTTTCGGCCTGCCTGCGGAACGGAGTGAGATCCGCCCACCTGTTGGCGAAGATCGTTCTGCACCGGCACGCGCCGGTCTTGATGCGTTGGAGCGACAACTCGGGCCGGCTGAGGAGGCGGAACAACCTCGCGAGGCTGCTCCGGGAGCTCGTTTTGACCGGCACCGGGCTGCTGGAGGGGAGGAGAGCGACGTGTGATTTCCTGTCTGTTCATCTCGATTCCCTGCTCGGCGTCAACTGCCTTACCCTTCTGCCACCATCGGATGTGTGGCCAAAAGAAGAAGAAGAAGACGAAGAGTCCGACTGCGGTAGCAAGGATAGCTACCGCAATCTTGAGGTTTGTGTTCTCCTCCTGGGTGGCCTGCTCGAGGGCTGGGTGGCCGGTCAGCTTCGGTGGCGCCGCAGTAGCGGTCGCCATGGTTCCCTTGGCGAGAAGACTTTTTTTCGAAGCTTGATGATTCTCTCTGTTCTCGGTCTTGATGACTGGTGACGATCTGGATGAGAATTTACCTGCGGGGGCAACCCATACTTATAGTCCGGAGGGTCCTCGAAACTGTTGGCGAATTCGCAGTGCTGTCTTTCATCAATGTCTTTATTAAAGACATTGTCCCTGTCAAGGCCATTGTGAAAGGTGGAAATTTCCTACCCCTTTGTTGTCGCTGGAGTTAAAAAGAATATAGTTGGTGTTGTCTGCTACAAAAGGCCATTGATACATACAAAACAATTCCTTTGTTCTCACAAACTTATACACATACCTTTCAAGCGCGAATCGTTTGGATACAACTAATTGCTTTTAGAATACTGCTCCTGGTTGCTATTTCAACATCTACAACTGTGCTGTAATTGCTCAAGGCAAGTGTGCAAAGAAAGTCCACAATCTCCTCGCATTGGAATTGGGAGGAATCTCTACAACAGCTATGACTTTTTGAATTGCGTCGCGGCAATGTGAAATCTCAGAAGAGCATTCTTCGTAGTGCTACCCCCTTGTAAATATGACTTGGAGGAAATGGTCCTCACGTTGAGGTGCACGCACACTGTGATATCAGGTAATCCGTAGTTCATAGGTATGGTAGTCTACGCGTTTTCCTCGACCGTCCTCACGGGTCTCTTGCCGATGGAGTTCGCGACATTACCAGCACCCTTGACTCACCGCAGACCAGGGAGTCTGCCTCGCGCCCACCGGTATCTTCATCGAGACCAAGGTTGTCTCCGAGAGAAACGCCGAGGCTAGGTACAGCTTGGCTTCTAGCTTGCCTCTTGGTCCGGCGCCTCGAGGCACTCCCTGTTGGCAGCGACGGCGTTGACGTGGTGAAGCCGGGCTTTCTCCCCCTCATCCTCGTCGTCTGCGATTCGTGGGGATTGTGGTTCGCTTTTGACTACGACCGCGACGGGTTCCGGATCGCCGGCCTGATGCTTAGATGCGGCGTATTGCCTGCTTGCCGTGCTTCGGCCGTTGGTAGATTGGATAGCGTTCAACCATATAGTCACCATAGTCCTTCCAGACCTAACAATGATGCTCTCGCCCTATATTCCCCTAAGGCACAGTCTTCGGTCCATTACATAGCAGCCCTCTACAGCTTGGAGATGCTCGTAGTATATGTCATATCTGACTACTGTTGCTAGTTTTATCGTTGCCAAAGTCTTGGATTCTGCTGCGGCCAGGGGCAAAAACAGGACCGGGCTCGCTGCCCCGCTTCCTTCGCATTCGATTTGAACAGGGATATTTGCCGGAACCCTCAGCTATGTGTTGGGCAATTGATACATATGGCGTCAACCTACAGAGTGCATTCTGTCCTTTGTGAGCGGTGCCGGGGTGGTGCGATAGTGCATCTGAATTGAGATGGTGGTTTTTGGATCATTTTGCGGCGCGCTAAGCTACATTTAGACTCGGCTAAAATGCACTATGTCAAAATAGGTAGGTAGACACCGGCATTTTGCTCGCAAGCAGAGGCACGTGACAGATTAGATGAATTTAAATCCAACGACAGATGCTTAATGTCGATGCGACCGCGCCGAAGCTCTTAAAAAGAGGTCACCATTTTTTGTCTATCGGCCTGAAGAGTTGCTGGGGTGGGGATTTCCACCATAATACCACAAACCACCCAGAGATGAATCCATTCAGGGCACTATTTCGGTCACAAGCAGAGTGGTTTTCCGTCGGCCTTGCCTCGTCATTCCCCGACCTCGGATTGGACGACAACAACCTATCACAACCTCGGGTCTGTGACTCAGGCCTCAAACCAGGATGCAAAGTCTTCCACGTTCCTCGGACAGATATCTCTCAAAGGACTGAGGTGCCGATTGCAGCAGACGCTCTCGAGTCCTCCGATATCGGCGGAGACTTGAAGGACCAGGTTCTCGTGTTCCAGTATCGAGGCAAGTTTCATGCGATTGATCATGTGAGTCAGATGAGCCCGTTTAAAAAGACCGTGCTTCGATAGAACTGACCACGGTGCTCTCAGCAATGTCCTCATTCGTCATTTCCCCTTTCGCAAGGCACTCCTTTTGACATCGAAGACTTCGGCATCGTTCTCAGCGCTGGGCTGACGTGTCCGAAGCATGGCTGGTCCTTCGACCTGTTTTCTGGAATGTCAGATCGTGGGAAATACAAACTCGGGGTGTGGGAGGTCCAGCTGCGCGAGATTGGAGGCACAGAGCCTCCTATATCGACTGACGAGGCCTGCAATACGTCGGAAACCACAGAGACAGAGGTGTGGGTGAGGAGAAAGCAAAGAATCGGCTAGGTCAATTCAGAAAATTACCCATCTCTTCATCCGACTCCGCCAGCGTGATCACCATCGTCCGCACCGAAACCCGATCTTCCGCCGCGGTTTATCGACAATTATTGCGGACCGCCGTCCCGCTCCGCTTCCGCAATTTGGTCCCTGTCCCCCGGCTTTCTCTCCTCCTTCCCGTCCTTGTCCTTGGCTATGGCGGTGCATTTTACAGGGCTAGTCTGGTCTTTGGCTAGGCCGGCTTGATGTAGATCTTGGCGCACCTAGACACAACGCCGTTTAGCTTCTGGGTGACCTTGTCGGCATCAGAGGCTGCAAGCGCTTGATAGTGTGGGAAGACACGTTGTGCGACTGAGAGAGGATCAAGGTTGGGAGCACGCTCCCTAGGAGCTCGGGGGGTCTTGCGGCGTCTCGCAGGCGTATCTGCTTGAGGTTATTCTGGGATGTCGTCGCAGCTTTAACAGTAAACCAGATCGAGCTAGGCTTGCGAACAGTCAAGAGACATCTTACGCATTGTACTCAAAACAACTTCAAACCGTCATTCAACTCCTTGATAATGCGTCTTGTGCCTGTGATGAGACATGCGTCAGCGAGAACAACGCAATCGCAGGTGCCCTTGATCTGATCCTTGATCTGATCTTCTAGCCATTGCTGACGAAAGGGCGGTTGATGATTCGGAAAAGGGTTCTAATTGAGATCCAGGCATAAGTGGCAAACTGCAAGAGTTCTAAATTGGCAGGTAGGAATCTTGACGGAGCCAGCGACGGAGCCAGCGACGGAGGCAACGAGGACGACTTCTCCGACGAAGAGGAGGCTGGCACTGGGAAGCAGACTACCAAGGAAGTTGCCCAGAAACGAGCCGCCAGAGAAGTCAAGGACCAGGTTCTCCTCGACGACGTCAACGCCTTCATCGACAACTTCTTCACCCGCGAACGAGGCGGCGCCAAAAAGTTCGACCAGGTGGCAGAAATCGTGACAGCTGCTGTTGCTGCCGTAGCTATTGCCGCTGTCTATTGCTAAGTGTATCTCTATTGCCGTTGCTGTGCATCGCTACTGCCGCCACTCTCCATTGCTACTGCCGCCGCTCTCCATCGCTATTGCCTAGGTAGGTACTGCGTCATCATCTCTACAGTACCCTTAGTCATCACATATAACATATTTACTTGTGCTAAGGCAGCGTGAATCTTGATAGCATTGACTACTATGTAGTCTTATAATTATGCTACCACCAGCCCAGTCCATCTACTGCGTAAGCCGCAGCCGCCGCCACGCCTTTGCCAAGCCATGCCACGCCCACCACCATCTCTACTCCGCCTTTGGGAGCTAAATCCCCCCTGGGAGGATAGTCCCGCCAGGGAGACTGGTGCCTCCAGGGAGGGTGATGCCAGCTAGGAGGCTAGTCCCTGCTGGGAGGGTCGTGCCCCCAGGAAGCACAGACCCAGCCAGAAGAATGGTACCGCCCAGGATGCTAGTTCCAGGGGTAAGGACGGAGAGCCAGGGAAGGACAGACCCAGCTGGGAAGATGGTCCCGGCAAGAAGCTCAGTACCACTCTCAGGCACCCAACCTACTAGCTTTGTGATGCCAGTAGGCAACACAACTGCACACGGGAGAGGGGTCCCGGCACCCAAGGCAAACGCCGAGCCAAGCGAGACAGGACGGGGGAGCCGCACTAGGCCACCAAGCAAAAGTCATGGGCCTTCGCTGTCGTCCTTGTCCATCCTAGTCTTGACTGGGACAGTGACACCGTTAGGGCCCAAAGCGATGGGGTCGCTCCCATCGGGGACCCTAACGGTACCACCGTCAGGAAAGACCAGTCTGCCTAGAAGTATCATCTCCTTGGCCAGCTTCGCGTCAATGTGAAGCAGCACAGGAAGCGCAGCAGGCGGGGGAGAGGGGACAGCCACCATTGTCCCGGGGTGGAGGGAGATTGTTGGCACATCGCCAACCACAAGACGGATGGTCTGGCAAGGGGGGCTATTAAAATGCCGCCACCTAGCAGCACATGCTCCCCATATGGGAGGCTAATAGTGCCTGCCCGGGCAGGGGTGATAAGCTCGGTACCGCCATCAGGGTCAATAAGGATGGTGCTGTTTTGCGGGAGGACAATAGTGCTCCCATTGGGTGTTGGGGGGGGGGGGGGTGAAGGTCGTAGTTCCGTCGGCCGTATAGATCTTGCTGCTCCCCTCGATGGGGAGCAGGATGATGACGCCGCCGCCTCCGCCGCCACGCCAGCCGCCACCGCTGCCTCATCCTCGTTTTGCCGGAGGGCCCCTGGAGAAGTCGTTGGATCTTTGTGGAGAAATTGTTGGATCTTTGTGTCTGTGTAAGAGCACACCTATTTTTAGCGTTGAACACATCCGCCGCCACACCTGCCGACAGCAATGGCAATAGCAATGGACAGAAATGGTAGTAGCGAACGACAGCGACAGCAATAGTGATGGATAGAAACGGCAGTAGCGACAGACATTGATGGCAGTAGCGATAGACAGCGACAGCAGTTGCAATAGACAGCGACGGCAATAGCAAGCAACAGTAATAGCAATAGCGATAGACAGCGACAGCAGTTGCAATAAACAGTAACAGCAATAGCGATAGACATTAATAGCAGTAGCGATAGACATTGATGGCAGTCGCGAACGACAGCAACGGCAATAGCGATAGACAGAAGCAGCAGTAGTGATGGCAGCAGCAGCAAGATACTGCCACCTGCTAAAACTCCTGCCGGCCTACCACGAGCTGTGATGCACAGCCCCCAGGCGTGATTATTTGATAACAGCAATCGGTATCTGTACAGGCTTAGGCAACAACCTCTAATTAATAGCTCAAGTCAGTCATTGATATCAGGGTCTGCGTCACCCTTATGACAAGAGCCTGCGTCGGTGACACTCCTTCTGCAGGTTTCCAAGCGCCGCCCACGCCTTCTTCTGACGTTTGTGCGTCATGGTCCTCTCCTCAACCTCGGCCTTATCCCTCGGCCGCTTCAGAGACCCGGGGGCGGTGGCTCGGGTCGGGGGTTCGAGATTGAGGACTGCTGCGGCCAGGTGGACCATGCTGCCCAAGCTTGTGACGTACCTCTATAAAGGAACAGCTGCGATCAAGCCTCCAAGCCCAGGCAACCTGTCATTCAAGCAGGAAAACCAAGACAAGTCATTCACCAGCAGGGTCAGAGATGACAATATTGAGAATCCAATCAAGCAAATGGCGCCAGCATCTACCATCACTTCCGCATATTAGAAATACGTTAACCCTTCCTTCTGGATTCACGTCTGCGCTCACCTCCAGGCTCAGTTCTTAGCATTTCATTACCCCGGGCTTCTCTGCACCCACGTCTTCCCTTTTCGTAAATCCTTTATATCCGTGGTGGACATCGGAATGAGCCACTGTGGCACTAGTTTGTAATAGGATGACTCACCATCTTCCGGTAGGCTTCGACGCGTAAATGATAGCGGACTGGGACCTTGATGGTGATCCTCTGAGCTGCTCGGGGAGGCTTAAGTGCTGGGGACTCGGGACTCAGCAAATAACCCCGAACAAAGGAGCTAATCTAGCGTGGAGAGGTCAACCAACGAATTCCCCTCCAACTAAATTTGCACGGCGAACGGAAAGGAGAGCTGATCAGTTGGTGAGGGAAAGAGGCAAAGTCTGCATATTTTCCGGCACAACGGCGAACCTTCTTTCCAATTCCCCCATCTTGACCACCAATAGGCCCATCCCAAATGCCTTAGCTTTGTATTGGGGTTACAAACCTTAATTTTCTTCGTATGCAAATGATGTCTCGGGGCATTTCGCTTCCTTAAGTTTGTCAAGTGGTGGGTGAGTTTCGCTGACATGCATACCCGGGCTACTTACTGTCCAACAACTGACTTGTTTCCTGTGCCGAGAAGAAAATCAGTCTCCCCTTTTTCTCTTTGTCCCTCCTTCATCCCTGCCTGAAATCACGATCAACTTCGGCGCCCTGCGTGGTGGGGGTTCTGTACTTGGAATATATCTGGTTTTAATTAAGCTTCCATGCGCGCTCCCTCCTTAAAGTTAACATTCTCGAAGTCAACTCTTTGACCTGTGGTGAAACGAATTCAAAATGGTGGGGAACCGCAGGCAAACTTCATCTTACTTCAATCCCCCGCACGAACACTTTTCCCCCTCCCTTTCGCCTCCAACTTCGAATATTCACATCCGTCAAGATGTCTTCAACAAAACACCGACGCGTCGGCAGCTCTTCAAACGGTCTCAGGCGGCTTAGGTCTCCTTCATTTGAAGACCATCTTCCAGCCGACCTCCACCTGCTCAAACTCGATAAACCTGTTGACGATGGCAGTTTATCGGATCGTTCGACTCCCGAAGCTTCCTACAGCGTTAATGGACCAGCGACCAACCAATCCCAGCAACCAGTGGTCAACCAGCTCGACGAGACCAGCCACGAGGTGCCCAAATTGCGATCTATACACAGCTCGTTCTCGACACCATCCTGGGCCACCGATAACCAGGCGGTATTTCGAGCACGATGTCACGAATCGGTTAGTAAGATTGGGGCTGGATCCTGTGGTGTCATATTCACCGAGGATGCAGGAGATCTGGTCCTCAAGCTTGCCAAGTCGGACCACAAGGGCTTGTGGAATGACTACATGATGCACTCGTTGATTGGCAAATGTTTCGACGCTTACGGCTTCGACGATGTCAAGATACCGGCTTGTTACTTTTTTGTGCCCAAGGACGAATGCGAGTACTTCGACAAACACCCAGCCCTTGTCAAGGCGGCCGACTCATCCTGTACGCTTCCGACCAGTGCCCTTGTCACCGAGAGAATCCCGCCCCTTCCCCTGGCCACCCGGACCCTCCTGATCGATAAGTACTGCGTACCGTGGAACAAGGACGCCTCGGCGGATTCGGCCAACAGGGGCTGCCTGGTGGGGGTGTATCTCGGCTGCTCCCAAGGCAAAGGCGAGGGGAAGTCTTTCTCGCTGAAGAACTTCAACCTCCACGCAAACCAGCTGGCCGAGGTCGGCCTCGACATTCAGGCAATGGCCTGTAAGATTGCTGGCACCATGGCGCTGATGCACTGGGCTGCCAAGACTGACGCTTGGGGCGTTGAATTCGTGCTGGGGAGCTCGACAACAGCAGTGCCGCAGACCTTCGGCGTCGACGAACTCAAGAAGCTCAAGCCAGGGTCGTACACTGGCCCACCATCGCGCAAGGAGGAGGACTTCTTTCTCCGGTCCACAGAGCTCTGGGTACTGGATTTTAACCAGGTACAGCCTATCACACTGGATAAGGCCGGTGTGACCCAGGCCGTCGACGCTGCTATCGCCAACGACCCGTATCTCCCAAGGCCGTTCCAGGAATCGCTGGTTGAGAGACACGCCTGGACTGCCTTTGTTCTCAGCTACCTCAGCGCTTCCGAGGACATCATCAGGCAGGAGGGATACGGCGGGGAAGCTCTTGCTCTACCACAGATGTTTATCAACGGTCTCACTGAGACGGAGAAGAAAAGGCAGGCGCCTGAGGCGGCTGGCGATCGGGAAGATCTCGACGTCTAATTAGAGCTGGACGCTTCATGGTAACTTTGGTGTTGGATACATCTCGTCCATCGTCCAGAGACTCGTACTATGTATTTCTATTTGCTCTCAATATCTCGCGACTGCAAAGGTTCTCAATTTTCCACGTGAGGCCTTCAATCTCAGGTTCGTGCCGCGCGATCCAATTCTCTGTCGGGTTACAAGACGGGTAATTGTCTGATGATATGAAGACAAGGTATCTTGGCAGTACGGCAGTTGCGTTCGGTCTCGATACAAATTACCCCAGTTTCACCGTTTAATATATTTCTGGAAAGACGTTTGTCCATTAATACCGTCCTACTTTGCGAATCTGTCGCTTAATGATTATGGGTAATAAGATCTACAGCTACCAAATTGAATGATTGAGGCTGATTATCCTGGCCAGGTATCGTCGGCAAATAAGCAGCCTTAGTTCTCACTCTATAGATAGATAGTGGTTGCATTTCAAATCGGTCGAGACAGCATCGCGCTGCACCCTACACTTACTTTGACATCTCTGTCTACCATCCCGAGAGCACTGGAGCCTGATCACGTAAAGTTCCTCCTACGGCGACGGAAAAGCCCTAATATCGAAATGAAGTGGTTTCCTCTCCTCCTCCAAGCTGGGCTCTCCCAAGCCGCCCTTCGATTCGGATGCTCGACTGTATCAATCCAGCGATTAGATCCGCTTGTCGAGCCTGCTCGCATCCCTTCAGCCCACGTTCATCAGATTGTCGGCGGAAATGCCTTTAATGCGACTATGGAAGGGGATATTGGCGAGCAGGGAAGTTGCACGACATGCGCCTACACTGAGGATTTCTCCAACTACTGGACGGCGGTGATGTACTTCAGGCATGAGAACGGTTCTTACAAGCGGGTGCCGCAATATCCGAATGCTCAGCTGGGTACTGAGGGCCAAGACGCGCCCGACATCAACGGTGGCATGACGATCTACTACACTCAGAAGGACTTCAGTGGCAACGGTGACAAGTATATCACCGCTTTCAAACCCGTAAGTCCCGCATGCCCGGTCGCACACCAAGCATCCTACGCCTTAACCCTCTTCTTCTCCGGCTGGTTAAGAGGAAGACCAATTGGCTTTTAAACTAAATCGCTCTTAGGGGTTCCGCATGACAGTCGGCAGTCCCGCAACGAACACCCTCGCGGAAGCAAAAGCAAACCCAGGCCTCCGATACACGTGCCTGCAGACAATCCTGACCCGGGGCAGCGAGACTCCCGATTTCCCCAGCAAACCGTGCCCCGCCGGCATCATGGCCATTCACCACTTCCCCTCGTGCTGGGACGGCAAGAATGTCGACAGCCCCGATCACCAATCTCACATGTACAGCACGACCAAAGGAGCGTTCGCCGAGGCCGGTCCTTGTCCCGATTCCCACCCGGTCCGGGTACCGCAGATTGCGTATGAAACAATGTGGCAAACGCAGCTGTTCGAAGATATGTGGCCGAAAGACGGATCTCAGCCTTTTGTTTGGTCCTATATGGATAGTCAGGGGTATGGGACTCACGCGGATTACGTGTTTGGGTGGAAGGGAGATTCTCTACAGCGTGCCATGAATGATTCCTGCATGTTTCACGCGTGTGGGAGTCCGGGGGCGCCGGGAATACTGAAAACCCAGTCTGTTGCTGATATGAACAAGTGTTCGGTGAAGAGCACTGTTGCCGAGGACACGGAGGGTTGGCTTTCGGAGCTTCCGGGCCAGACGGCGGGGCAGATGCCGGGGATGACGGGAATGAGGTTTACGGCTTGATATTGACTTGTTGAGGAGTTCAACGAAGTCGTATGCCTTTGCCTTCGGATATGGCTTGTCTATAGTGTTGTGTGGTTGGGACACGAAAATTGAACGTGTATTTGTTTTGAGGCAGGATTGTGATGATATCTGTTGCCAATGCGACCTATTACTTGTCCCCAGGGAGTAGGGGTGACCAAGTTAGTGAGGGCAACCTTTGTGTAAAACAACAACGGAAGCACGGTCCCAACAATGGACGTGTGGCGGCGGGAGGGAATGGGTTACCCTCCTCCGCACCCTAACCAACCTATATCAAGGCAACCTCGTGTCAACATTTACCAACTCTGCCAGTTTCTGTGCCCGACACACACGTGAGACAACAGCTCCGTCTCCCGTAATTCAACATAATTAACACCAACACTGCTCTGTCGCAGAGCCAGTGTACATAAGATGTTACTTGATCTCTCTGCCCAAGTCTGCCCATTAATTATTTACTACTAGAATGGCTTATCGAGTCAGTTCACGACCCACCGTCGTCTTATCGCTACCCCGGTTGTTTCCGAATTGCCCGAAAAGGATATTCCCAGCGGTGGGGCTTGGTCAACAGCACCATTTTCGGTAACGTCACAACCTTAGCTGCCCCCACCAGTCACTCGTCCCAGAATTTGTACCGAGTGGGAATTCGTGGCGTGCCGAGTAATAGACCATCTCATTTTTGCCCGTTTGTCAATCATTCTCTACACGTAAATTGCACGAGAATGGATTTCTACTCATTATTGCCCACCAAGATGACGATAAGATCTAGAATGAGAGAGAATCAGAGGGGCCCAAGTGGAGTGACTCGATAACCAGTTGTTATCCCCAATAACTCCATGACTACCAATGAACTATGAACTATGAACTAGACCCCTACTCTTTTTCCAAGATATGTTGCTTTACGCATCGATTGCCCTCACCTACGCCAAGTCACCCACACCACCTCTCGCCGCTTTACTCAAGCGCTACTTAGGTTGTGACCAGGAAAGCCATCAAAACTGGTCTAGACAAATAGGCAGTGCTTTGCAACGCCCTAGAGTTCTGAAAATGAAAAATGTCAGCTTTTCGCAAGGGAACAGTTTTAGGCCACCTAGGTCGCAGATATACCGCCCCCAGGGGCAAGGAGGGGCAACGGCGCGCTGCCCCCAGGGGCAAAGGAAGGCATGGGCATACAAGTACCTCTCCCACTGTATATCCTACGCCTAAACCGAAGCCCAAAGTACGCTTTTGCCTTTACAATTATGCTGAAATCGAGAGGACAGCAGGGTATATTTGTAAGTACTTGACTATGTTATGCTCAACAAGGATATCATCCTGTCACACATGCCAAGATACCAACGTGCCAAGATACCACACATGCCAAGATATCACACATGCCAAGATAGCGGAGACGGATCGAGAACCCCCGCATGGTGCAAGGAAGAAAAAAGATGATGACAAGTTTGATAACTTGTATATTGATGCCCAGAAAATTACAGTACACGACCCCGTCTTGGCGTCGGCAGCCATGGCAACAGAGAAAAGGTCGTGCCAGATTAGGGTGGGAATGCCATGCCAGACTTCTGCCAAACCTGTCGACCCATGGAGACTTCGGGGTTATAGTGTGCAGATACTCCGATTAACCTTATATATATCAAGTCATTAAACGCTGGGAAATGGGAATAGCCTGCAATTGGGCAAGGGGTTGCTCGAGTCCTCCCGTTTCTTATATATCTACCTACCTACCTTGGGGGAACAGGCAGCCGATGTAAGCCACTCAACCCTCGGTCGTCTAGGAACACAATACACTGGGAAGCAAAGCCCGCCCCGAAAATGATGCATCTCGGACTTTCTGTCACCTACGCTCTGGCGTTGGTGACCGGTGCTTTGGCCGTCCCATCGCAACAGCTGGACACTCGCCAGCAGCCGTTCAAGTCGACACCCATCACCGACCATGCCGAGCCATGGGCGATCGCCTTCCTGCCCGACGACCGTATCCTCGTCACCGAGAGACGAGGCAACCTACGTCTCGTCGACCCGGCCACCAAGGCCAAAGGTACTATCACCGGTGTTCCTACTGTCGCCTACGGCGGTCAGGGCGGTCTCCACGACGTGGCCCTGCACCCCGAATACGCCGAGAACAGTATGATATATATCAGCTACGCCGAGAGTGGCACTGGCGGGGCAGGCGGGGCAGTCGCGCGGGGCAAGCTGACGCTGGACGCCAACGGCGGCGGCGCGCTATCCGGCCTCGAGGTCATCTGGCGCCACTCGCAGAGGGCCTCGGGCGGACTCCAGTTCGCCCTGCGCCTGCTCTTCGGGCCCGACGGCGCGCTATGGATCTCGTCCGGCGAGATCAACCAGATGACCCCGGCCCAGGACATGACCGGCAACCTCGGCAAGATAATCAGGCTGTACGACAATGGCACCGCCTTCGCAGACAACCCGTTCGCCAGCCAAGGCGCCATCCAGTCGCAGATCTGGTCGCTGGGCCACCGTAACCCGCTAGGCATCGACTGGGACGCCCAGGGGCGTCTCTGGGAGGTCGAAATGGGGCCCATGGGCGGCGACGAGCTCAACCTGATCGAGAAGGGCGCCAACTACGGCTGGCCGCTCGTGTGCGAGGGCAAACATTACGACGGCCGGACGATTCCTAACCATAGCACACGCCCCGATTTCGCAGCGCCCAAGGCCTTCTGGGTCCCCGTCATCTCCCCGGCCGGCTTGATCATCTACAAGGGCGACCTGTTTTCCAGCTGGAAGGGCAATGCCATCATCACCGGTCTCAGCTCGCAATCAATTGTGCGCGTGACCATCACTGGTGACACGGCGAAGGAGACTCAGCGTATCTCAATGGGCAAGCGCATGCGCGGTATCCGAGAGGACAAGGACGGCGCCATTTGGGTGATCGAGGATGGTGCTAACGGCCGGCTCTTGAAGCTTACACCGAACTAAACTTGCGTTGGCGACAGACTTGGGAGGTTTGGGACCGAATGTACGTAAGGTAGAGTTAGGATAACAGATTACCTCTGGACTTTGAGGGAGAGCTGGTATATTCAGTGAGGAAAGTTTGAATCTTTCGAAAGCTTCTATGTCATACCGGTACCCTCCCTACTTGTTGGAGACTGCTATGTTCAAGACGTGGATGTGAAGGAGGTCCGACACGATCGGCGCTATATCGACGGTCTACGCAGTAATTAAAATATCAATCAAGTAGTTTTAGTTAGCGCACATGGCCCCTTGTTCAGATACTTTCCTCCTTTTCTGAGGCTTCTCAGGTCCCATTTACGTACTCGAACCTGTATCGTCTCTACTCTTCTGGCCAAGCTCCGAAGACCATCTGTCCAAGAACGCATTGCGCCCCATAGTATAACATTTTCAGAGGCCAGGGCTGGCTTGTGAGGGTTGGCCAGGATTACCACAGCTCAGGTTAAAGCAGCAGCAACTCATGACTACGCTCCAGCCACAGGAACTACTCAAGGCAATCCGTGCGTAATGCAAGTAGCTGTTGCACAGGGTGACAATGACGAAGTGTGATAAAAGATACAAGACTCAAAACTAGTCCACAAGCTTGTATATACGACTACCCTATAATGCATCATGCTTTGTTGCCGCAGAGACAAGAATCCTCGTTATCCGTCGCCCTATGCCACCCATATACAGAGGATAAAACCATCCAGAATCCCAAGCCCAAACACTCCCAGCTTAGCCTCTCCGCCTGCACTCTCTTCCCCCCCCTTTTCCTTGACCGACCGGCGCTACTTGTTGCTTGTCTCATGCGTCATAATTGATCAAGAAGCTGTAGGCGTCCTCGTAGTGCATCGCCCAGTAGGTATCCCAGATAGCCTTGGTAATGGGGCCGACCTTGCCGCCGTTGACAGGCTGGTCGTCAAGGTGGGTGATGGGCATGATGCCGCCGGCAGTTGTGCACATGAAGATCTCGTCGGCCTGGTAGGCCATCTTGACAGGCACCAGCTGCACATGGACAGGGATATTGTTGGAGCGGGCGGCGTCAATGACGCTTTTGCGGGTCACGCCGTGCAGCACGCCGCGGTCGGGGGTATACAGCGCGCCATCCTTGACCAGCACCACGTTGAAGCCAGAGCCCTCGGTCAGGTTGGTGTCTCCATCGGTCAGGAAGGGGTAGGTGGCGCCGCGGTCGCTGGCTTCGAAAAGACCGCGCACCAGGTCGCCCCACTGCAGGTTCTTCACCGTCGGGTCGATAGAGCCTGGCGGGATGCGCCTAACTGTCCGCGCGATGATGGCCCGCCCGCCGACAGGCTGGACCTCGGGCTCCATAACCCACACGTATGGCTGGACAAACATGTACAGGCTGTTGTTGCAGAGCTCCTCGGGCCTAGAACCCCGGACGCCCTTGAGCCCACGCGTGACAATGATCTCGACAAAGGCGTCGCGGATCCCACTTTTGGCCACCATGTCAACCAGGATGTCCTTAACCTCCTCGCGTGGCAGCGGGAGCTTTAGTCGTAGCTTGGCGCAGCTGGCCTCCAGCCGCGTAATGTGGTCGTCCAGACGGAAAAAGCGCCCGTCCCAGACAGATGGCACGTCGTAGGTCAGATCGCTATGCATAAAGCCCTGGTCCAGCAGAGGGATACGCGCCTCGCCAAGCGGCACTAGCTGGCCCTCTACCCAGGCAATGCCCTTGGCAAACGGGCTGGTGCTGGCCTCCAAGACTGCCTGCCGCTGGCTGTACTTGGCAAAGACGGTTTCCATGGTAGCCATCTTGGGGAGTCTTTGGCGCGCGTGTGTGAGTGGTGCCGAAGGTGGGTTGGGGAGGGTGGAGTAAGAATGAAGTGAGAGGTGGTTTTTGACCTAGGGACAGCAGATATGGGGACAGGCTTGGATGGTGTGGTATGTATGTCGATGTGTCGTGTCTGTCCGTTCTGTGGGATTAGGTGCTATGTGGACGATCTGTTTATGTATGTAGATACCATGTCTGCCCCCCAGAGCATCCTTATTTCTCACGAAGATAGAGCCACAGTGGCATGCGTACCCGCTGTGGCATTCTTGCCTGATGTGGTAATTTCCTAAAACGGCAATTGGAGAACCACACTACCATCTGCTGTTTTTCGCGACTACCAGAGCGTGTGCCGGTTGTGCCCCACAAGGTAGCCTACTCCGCACACTACGTTAACACGTGTATACCTTAAGGCGTTGTCATAACCCGCTGGCATTAGCGTGCGGCTCTGAATAGCTTGAAAAAGTAGGTGGTTCTTATGGTATAGGCAAAAATAGTGACAGCGCTGGGAACGCTCTCAGACCAAGTCTGGTGAATCACGGGCTGGTTTGGATTGCTGACAGCCATTGCCTCGCTGATAAACTCAGGGCACATGGCACTACTCTGAACAGTTCGGAGCTTGGTCTCGACTCTCCTAGAAAGTATTTCCATATTGCTTATGCTGTATGTATGTTTGTATATATATAAACATACCTGCCATGTTCTCAAAAGGTAGAAATGTACGCAAGTTCCCATCCCATATCCGAAACCTCATTGACTTGACCATAACGCCATGCCCTTTCAACCAAAGTCCTCCAATCGCCCACTGCATGCTCATATTCGAGGGTGAGTGTCACCATCACTCAGCAGGACTCTTAGGCCTATCATGACGACGAGCCCTTGGTTCTGCTTGGTCGCCCCCTTTTCGAGAGAAAATGCTCCCACCGGGGCCTAGACATCGCACCACCACGACCCAGTGGCTGTCGACGGCTGGGGTGTGGACTCAGCTGTGCCATTTCCAGAGCATCTTCTCTTCTCTTCCCACATCGAGTAACCCCTCTTAGCCCCTTTCTGGACACGCATTAACCAAAGAGATACTGCCTCTCGCCCGAGCCGCTGGTGGTCCGCCTCGTCTTGTGGTCGATAACCGAACCCCACCAGCTCATGGGGTCCTGGCTATTAGACCACACCTCCTCAAGCAGCATTGTGGCCGTAAGGAACATATCGTAGCGCGTCTTCTCGTTCCACCACGTACAGTAGGCGCGGGCCTCGTCACGCAGGGTATCGTCAACGGTCTCGCAGGCAGCTAGGAACACAGGAAGTAGCAGTTGCTTCTGCAGCATGGTGGTCCGGCGGCAGGCCACGACGTGGTTTAGCGTCTTGCGCCCCAGGAAGCCCAGCATGGACGAGACAGGCCTATCACGCTGCCACTTGAACACCCGCTCGATGTAGATCAGCAGACAGTAGCGCCACGCCTCGGCGCAGTGGTGCAGATCTTCCTTGTAGTGGGCCAGACTAGCCGGGTCGTCATCGCCGCCCAGCAGCTCGGCGAGGATCTGCTGCGAGTATCCGTAATCCGGGTCTGACCACTCCCTGATCCCCCTCTCGACAGCCAGCACGGGCTCGATATCGAACTTGACGCACGTCATGGTGGCTGCAAGCTCGAACTCCCGGGCAAAGGCGCCCAGCCGGATCATGTACTTGAAGAGTTGGCCCGGGCAGCCTGAGACGCTGTAGAAGCTGGCAGCATCGGTGCCGGTTGGGCTGAAGAGGCTGATGGTGGTGGACTCGGATAATACACAGCCCCGCCGGCTTGTTAATGCCAGAGTTACATCCCACCTATGCATATGCACAATTCGGGCGTCATTAGCATGGTCCCGTAGGGGAGAGGGGGGGGGGGGGGTGGGGGGTGGGTGGCGCCAAGGGGAAAAAGAAGAAAAAAGGGGAGAGGGGGCCGGGCTCCGGGCTGACTCACCACACAAGCATCTCGATCTGGGCCTGCATCCGTGGGGTCTTTTGGAGGTCAAGGGGCCCCGTCGCCTGGATCATCTTAAGCGCACGCTTGAGATACCAGACCCAAGGTCCATGAGCCGAGGTCGCGCACTGCGCACGAACCCACTGCTGTTAGCCTTTCTCTAGTCATGAGCAGTTTGCGACAAGGATGCAAAAGCTCACGTCTAGTGTCATCAGAATTAACACCGCATCGAGGAAACTAGCCTCAAAGGTGGAGGGGCTCTGGGAGCCAGTCTCTTGTGATGTATCCTCCACGTCCCGGAGCATCTGGAGAGCCTTCTTCTTGTGGGTTCGGGCCTCGTCGAGACAGGTCCCTGTATCGCGGTGTATGTGCTTGTACGACAGAGCCAGGATGCAGTGGAGGAGAAGCTGAGACCCTCGCCCGGTCTCTGCGTTGAACCGGAATGGGTTGGCCTCGAAGTCGTGGGTGAGAGGCATGACGCAGAATTCTCGGTCATCTGTTTGTTTGGAAAGACAGACCGGACGTGTTAATGGGATTTCTTTTTTGGCACCGCTGGACATGGGGAATAGAGAAACAAGAGGATAGATATACATAGAGTAGAAGAACATAAACAAAGAGAAAAGAAAGGGTGAAACACAGCTGCCACTTACATCGATTCAATAACTGAGATATAGTATCACTGATGTTACCCGGTGCGTTAGGCAAGCTCAGCAACGGCTTCTGTTGTTGTTGTTGCTGCTGCTGTTGCTGCTGGTGCTGGTGCTCCTGTGGCTGCTGCGTCACATCAACATCGCCAGTCCCAGCCATGACCGACTCAGCCTTGGGGCTCCCCCTCGCCGGGCCGCTGTCCTCAGACACGGCGGCAGCGGGGGCGGCCATGTCGTGGCACAAGCCCTCCTCGGTGGGTGGCGAGTTCCACAGGTCGGCGATGGGGATGTCCGGACCGAAGTAGAAGGGCAGCTGGAAGTCGCAGTGCGCGCCGCCGTTGAACGATGTGTTGGCGTACGGCAGACCCGGCTCGAAGAACGGGTTCATCGACCCCGCGTGCAGCCAGTCGAGCAGGTTACCGCCGCCGCCGGCTGCGTCGTCGGCTAGGGGTGATAGCGGAGCCGCTGGGCTGCTGACTGTGGCCTGGTCGTCGGCGATGGTGGGACCATTGCCCAGGGCCTGTGAAGAGCTTGTCTGGGGGACTTCCACGGCAGCGATGGTCGGGTCTGGGTCGCAGGTTGCAGTAACATCGAAGTCGTACTGCTTCTCCCCAGGGGCTGGGGCCGGCTTCGGACCTGTCCGCCGGCGCCGTTTCCTGCTCGGGCCTCCGACGAACTTGTAAGATTTCGGGGCTGGGGCTTGAGACATCTGGCGACGGGCAATTGATTGGCGTGGTAGACGATGCTGGATATGCGGGATATGCGGGATATGCGGGACACGGAATTGTGGAGGGACGTGGAAGCACCGATTTGGGCGAGAATTAATTACCAGCAATGGCTATGTGCTGGAGTCGGGGGGTGAGGGCGGGGGTGCGGGGGAGGGGACGAGAGGTGAGGAGAGGGCAAACAAATTCTTCCCCAGGCCAAACCAGCCTATGGAGGCTACCTACTTGTTATTGGCGCCTACACTGCTAATCGCCCCGCAGCTAACTAGAAACGATGACGAAACTCCATTTGCCTAGTCCGGGGCTACTGGTATTAGTGTGGCGAGCACACCCTACCAGGAGAAGCTGATTACTCTCTGTTTGTGGAGCAACGAATCCACAAAGTAGATAGCAGGAAGTGACCCTGAACTTGGGTTGTCGAGCCATCCAACTCGGCTGCTCAGCAATACCGAAATTCCCAGTCAACTAATGCTGCGAGTTCCGCATCCTTTAGCTTGTAATTACACATATGTGGGAAAGCCGGCTGTACCTGAAGAACGGTAGCGGTAATGGTAACAAGCTAAGGTCCTACGTATCCCGGCTCCGATTGATATGGATAATCCCCTCAGTAGATAGAGATAATGGGGTATTAGATTATCATTGACTGGTCTAGGAGCAAATATCTAACCCACTGTGCTAGACTTTAAAACCTCGCTGCCTCTACCGGCACTGGCCAAGGCGACCCCAGCACTGGCCAAGGCGACCAAGAGTGGATTGGACTCTGTGCTGAGGCAGCAACACCTTCAACCGCCACAGCATGGCGACTTGTCTGCCTCTGCTATTGTATGTCACTGTCACGGCGTGTTCCCAACTCCCTCAATGCCTCTTTTGTTTCCTTCTCTTTTCTTCTTGTTTCCTTTTTTCTTTTTCTTGCCCCTCCCACCTGCTCTTAGTTGTACAGACCTCCGTTCGCAGACAGCACAGAGCCAGTCGTCCACCTGGCTTGGTCCGAGCAGAGGAAGGCCACCAAGGGCGCGATATCGTCGACCTCGCCAACGCGGGCCGCGGCGGGCGTCGAGTCGATCAGGGGCTGCATGTCCTTAAGGAACTGCTCGTCGCTCTGGAACCACTGGTCTGTTGTGGGGAATGGATTTGTTAGCGCGCTGATTTCCTCTGCACACCGGCTGCAGTGATTTCCCATATTTACCTGTCGCAATGGGGCCTGGGTTGACGCAGTTGACGGTGATGCCGTGCGACTGGCCCAGCTCCTTGGCCCACACGCGCACGAGCGCCTCGTCGGCCGCCTTGGTCGCCGCGTAGACGGTCTGGCCCGCAACGCCTAGACGGGCGCCGGCCGAGGAGATGAAGACGATGCGTCCCCCCTTGGGCAGGTGGGGCTCGGCGGCCTTGGTCAGGAAGATGGGGCCCTTGACGTTGGCGTCGAAGTGCCGCGTGTAGAACTCCTCGGTGGTGTCGACGAGGTTGGCCTCGTTTCCCTGTGCAGCGCTGATCGATTGCCATCCAGGTCAGCACGGCTGCATCGTGGGTTGTTGGGTCAAGGCGAAGAGGGGGGGTTACGCCACGGGACTTACTTGTGGATGAGGATGTCGATCTTGCCGGTCGGGCTGATCTTGAGCGCGGCCTCGACCAGCTTGGGGATCTCCTCCAGTTTGCTGACGTCGGCTCGGCAGACAATCGCCTTGGTGCCGTTGCCCTCAATCTCTTTTGCAACCTTCTCGGCGCGCTCTCGGCTGCTCTCCGAGACATAGTTCACGACCACGTTGGCGCCGCGCTTGCCCAGCAACACGGCAATGCCAGCGCCCAGTCCCCTGTTAGGAGGGAGTCGGGGTCAGCTCAGAATAGTTGGCGGCGGAATGATTACAGGAAATGTCTTACCGAGACGCACCGGTGACAATGGCCACCTTATTGGTGAGTTCGAGTCCAGAGAAGTCCGGCATGATGATGATGGTGGTGATCCAAGAGCTGAAGTTGAATTTGCCAGAAGATGGAAAGATGCGGTACGAATACAGAAGAAGGTGACAAGTGACGCAATAATGCCCTTTGTCGCGATTAGGGTGCCGTCGGGTCGCGGGCACATGTTAAATAAATCATCCTTCATCTAGTAACGACAGCGGGGTTGGACTGACTCAAACTCAGTCTCGGTGCGGGGTTACAGGGTTGAGGAGCCTGATGAGGGGCAGCGGGTTGGAGAATATCTCCTTATCTGGCAAGGTGTGTACTCAGTAGCGCGAACATGGGCGGGGCTCTCTTTATACCAGATTGGGTATAATTGAACTTCTAGCTATCAGAGGACTCCACAGCACCAAACATTCGACCCATCTATCTAGCTGCAATCATCTCTCCGCTGTGGCTCTCACGGATACACGCGCGATCACCGGCGCCATGAAAATCCCGAATCACGGACGTGGATACTTGAAGCAGAGAACTGAGATTTTGGAATCTCACCCGGCTTGCCTGCCTGTTCGACACACCAGGATATCCTTGTGGCTAATTAATTACCCCTGGAATTCAACATGACAGCCCCCAAGACAAGCGATGGATACGCGTGGGATAGACAAGCGGGTGTTCGCCCGGGGCTCGAGAGCGACGCCGTTGTGACGCCTCCGCGGTCTGTCAGGACTGCAACCAAGGTGTATGATGCCATCGTCGTTGGTGCTGGCTATGCCGGCCTCGCGGCGGCGCGCGACCTTGCCAAGCTGAGTGCGTTTGTTCTTGGGCCTCCCTCTCTCCGGCAAGCTGTCTTCATCTGGCTGACCGAAGCTGTCAAGACCACACCGTCTTGCTGCTCGAAGCCCGCGATAGGATCGGCGGTCGGACATACACAGTCAAGAAAGATGGTGAGCGGTGACCCTTTTCCACGACCTTTGACGGCGTAAATCTCCACAGTTGCGTTCGCTTGCTCATTCACCAGGGTTCCTGTATGAGATGGGAGGCACGTGGGTTACACACCACATGGGCTACCTGTTCCGCGAGATGACCCGCTACGGGATGGATCGCGATCTCATAACCACCGGAAGCCCCAACATGGAACGAGGATACTACACTATCAACGTTGCAGGTAAGCAGACACAAGAAAGAAGTGTACTGGAGCTCTCCCTCGTCTGACGCTGTGCACCCCCGGGGTGCTATAAATTACAGGCACTGAGCCACGGAAGCTCTCGCACGAAGAGGCCGGAGCCATGTCGGCCAAGGCATGGGACCTTTTCGTCAACGTAGACGGCCAGCACGGCCGCACCCTCTGCCCGCTGCCGCACGCGCAGCTCGACAACGTCGTCGTCGACCGGGCGACGGTGGAGAAGTGGGACCAGGTGTCGTGCCACGAGCGGTTCCAGCAGATCAAGCACAAGCTCACGGCCGAGGAGCAGGGACTGCTAGTGTCGCTGCTCCTGCACATCTCGGGCGGTCACATGGAGACCTCCAGCCTGTGGGACATGATCCGGTCGCACGCGCTGCTGATGCACAGCTCGGACAACTTCGGCGACGTGTGGCTGCGCTACAAGCTGCGGGACGGCCAGACCGAGCTGGCCCGGCGCATCTTCGCCGACGCCGTCGACTCCGGGCTGGAGTACGCCTTCTCGACGCAGGTCGCCTCCGTCGCCCAGGACCGACAGACCGACCAGCCGTCGACGGTGCGCACCGTGGCCGGCGAGGCGTTCAGGGCGCGCAAGGTTGTCTGCACGGTGCCGCTCAACGTGCTCAAGGACGTGGCCTTCGAGCCGGCGCTGTCGGCCCGCAGGCGGGAGGCCATCACCATCGGCCACATCAACCAGATGAGCAAGATCCATGCCGACGTCAGGAACCCGGAGCTGGAGCGGTGGAACGGCATGCGGTTCCCCGGCCAGCTAATGTACGGCTACGGCGACGGGGTGTTGCCCAACGGGGACGTCCACCTGGTCGCCTTCGGGGCCGACCAGCGCGGGAGTTTCGTGCCGGAGAAGGAGCCCTTGAAGGCGGTGGACGCCCTACAGAAGCTCCATCCTATGGATGTCAAGAGTTTGGTGAGTCGAGACAAGCCAGATCATTTTGTCGCGCGTGATATTGTGCTGACGAACTTGAATTACCCCGCAGACCTTCCACAACTGGTGCACCGATCCTTTCTCGCAGGGTGGTCCTGCGTGGTGGCGGCCTGGTTATATGTCAAAGTATCAAGACGAGCTCCAGAGCCGCCACGGCAACGTCTTCTTCGCCTCCGCGGACTGGGCACACGGATGGAGGGCGTCGATCGATGGGGCGCTGGAACAAGGCGCACTTTCCGCCTTGGCTATTGATACCGAGTTGAAGGCCACCAAGAGGAAGGCTGCTCGGGGGAGGCTGTAAGTTGTGTGGAAAGGGACTCCGGTTTTAGACATTGTAATTATATGTATGTACATACATACCTACCGTAGTCAATCCATCGTCTTGTCTCGAGTCATTCATTATTCTTGCTCGGTGAAGCTAGTCCACACTATCCATACAGCTAGTAACAGTCTAACGCGGCTGACCAGCAACACGTTAGTTATCCGCTCTTGCCCGGCTGAACGCTGTAATTCCCGAAGCAGGCTTGCGTGGCTTGGAATGTTGAGTAGCATGCAGACGCAGTGCAATCTGGCGACGGTTCAGTGGCATCTTTTAAAGCGCAAGGTGGTATTGTCTTCTCATTTCTACCATGGACCATTGCAACTCACGGACGATATTGTAAGATCTAATTACGTTACACTACTGCAGAGAGAAAAAGACCGCAGTAGAATCAATCTTCCTGGCGCCTGCCATCTTCTTTCACATTCAACCCCACCCCTCCACGCTACTCCAACACTTGACTTAATACGGAACATGCTCTGCGCAGATCCTTAGCCACACTCGCAAACCAGCCTCAAGTCTCGACCTCGTACTGGAGGTTCAACATCTCCCGGTCGATCTGCGGACCGCTGAACTGCTTGCGGACAAACCACCACAGCGCGAATAGGAGAACACAAACGAAACCCAGAACAACGGAGACACTGTTTGATGGTCAGCCTTCGGTGCGCTCTGCCAATAGAATGCAAAACTCCATCAAACCGACATCCCAGAAGAGAGACTCACTAGTTCATGGACGAGGCCGCGACGGGCAGCTCGTTGGGGAAGCAGATGAAGACGCCGATCAGGGTGATCCAGGCCAGGGACCAGGCGTTGCAGATGTAGCCGAACCGTCCCAGGTTGAAGGGCCGTGTGGGCAGCCTGCTCTCGCGGCCGTGGAACAGCGTGATGGCCTGCGGCACGACGTACGAGATGTTGACCCCCAGCACGGCCGCCGTGATGATGGAGTTGAACGCCTGGCTGCTGGCAATGTACAGCAGGCCGTACACCACGCACACGCCCACCGAGAGCATGGTCGTGCGCACCGGGAACTGCAGCTTGGTGTGGATGTGGGTCCAGTACTTGGAGAGGGGAAGGCCGTTCTATGGCGGTGGAAAAGGCGGGGAAAGGCTTGTCAGTCTTGTGCTTGGAGCCAGAGGGAGAACAAGGAGGGCCAGGAAATGATATCGTGTAATTAGAGGCATGTATGTGCTTACGTCTCGTGAGAAGGCCCAGGTCAAGCGGCCGCAAGTGATCCACTGGCTCGGCATGCATGCTAGATAGAACGAGCTTGTCAGCCGACTGTAACTCAGCAGCAAAGAGGCCTCGCCGGAACTCACTGAAGAAGAGAATAGTAAGGATGCCTTGCAGGGCCAGGGCGGTTGTCCTGCTCCCGGTAGCCTGGTAGAAGGCCTCCAGACTTGGCAGCGGGGCTGATCTGACGGCATCAATGTCCTTGATGACGAACATCATGGCGATGATGAACGGTAGAGAGGTCAGAAGGCCGATGATCATTGTGAGATTCCTGAGATGGAAGTATTAGGTATTAGTCTTCGACACCCTCCCTCTTCCTCGCCTTTCTTCCGTCGTCTTCTTTAGACGGGGTCAGCTCAACTCACATGACCCGCGGGATCTCCTTTCCGGGATGGTGCATCTCCTCGGCGACGTGGATGACGGCGTCGAGGCTGGCGAAGGCGTACATGGAGTTGCCAATGCTCATGAGCCAGGCAACCCCCTTGGGCCAGCCGCTGTTGCCGTCGAAGCGCAGGAGGGTACTGGCCGGGTTGAACTCGTCGCACATGGCCAGGATTACGACTGTGACGACGATGAAACCCAGGATGGACAGGGCCAGGCACAGCTGCGTCCACTTGCCGAGGTGCCGTTGCGGGATGGTGAAGATTGGGATCACTGCGTTGTCCCGCGGCATTAGTATATTGTAATAACCATAAGATGGGGGGTGATCTGTTGACTTACAGGTGATGCCGATGAGTGCCACGTACAGCAAGTACGAATGCCACTGCTTGGCCTCGTAGTCGGAATTGGCAAAAGTCACCATGCCGAGGATGGACTGGACGTTGTTCGAGATGCCCGAGCAGGTAATCACCCACCACCCGACGATGCTAAGCACTCCCACCGCAAAGGCAGCGAACCGCCGGAATCTCTGCGGAGCTAAGACGCTGGTGAAGTGGTATTGCCCTGTTGCACGCCAGTCCCGTCAGCCTTGAACGTTTTCTAAATCTTTCCTTGATATGTTTCTTCTCTTCTCTTGTCTTCTTTTCTTTCTTTTTCTTTCTTTCGTGCCCATGGAACGAACGCAGGAGGGGGAAACGGACCGCCTGATGATGGAAAAGCCGATGCCTCCTCCGCGAGGCCGAGGGTGATGAGCCACTGCGCTGCACATGCCACGATCAGCCCGAAGACGGTTGTCTGCGGTCCGCCGTAGATCATGCTCTGTCCGAAGCAGCTGGCGTAGGAGAGCCACGAGTTGGTGATGCTGTTGTCGTGCTCAAGTGGTTAGACACCATTCTCACAACAATGATTGCTTTTGTTCACCTTACCTAAACCCGAGCCCCAGTGTTCCCAGGATGTTGAATGTCCGGTTCAAGACGGGAATGTGGCCTTGGGCCATGAGGATGTTGTCCTCGATGTTTTCCACCTTGCCCTTGCCCATCTCCGAGTCACCACAGTCAGTGACCCCCGACCTGGTCCTGGCGATCCTGTCGTCCATCTTGGCTTGCATGTGGGACAGAAAAGAGGGTTCTTGCTGTGCTTGTTGGCTAGGGGTAGTGGCGATGGTTGTAATGGTGATGATAGTGACTGTGGAAATAGGAAGAGACAAGGAGCGCAAAGGGTGTTAAGTATGCCGCCGGAAGACGACCTCGATGCGCCTTTAATGAAGGCTCGCCGGAATACACGTGTACATGGTTGTTGAGATAGCACCAGATACACAGTACAAGCCCTTACAAGGGACGAGGTGCTCGCAGACCCTTGCTAGAAGGGAGTTCGCCCTGCATTCTGACTATCAAACCTGGGGAAGACAAGCTTTTCCCCATCAATTTGCTAGCGTATCTGGCTTATCTTTGGCCCCGCGCCTGGATGCCAGATGCTGGTGGGACGCCTTCTCCACATAGTTCAAAGTGTGGGGACTGCTGGATATCCGCATTGGGTAAATTGTTCAGTCGGAGTTCGACTTTTCTCGTGTTAAAACTAGCTTGAAAATGTCGCGGCTCCACTTGCCAGCTATAAATTCGTCCCCTCGTTGAACGCCCCTATGTTGTGTGTTGTACCTATGTCCTTCCTCCTCTGCCTCCTTTTTGACCAAACGAACTGGAAGCCCAATCTCTATACCCATTTCCCTTAGCCACACCGACCCTAACCGCCATGGCCAAACAACAGAAGAACCCGGAGATCATTGAGCTAGCGCGGACCCTTCGGGGCACTCCTTGGTGTGAGGAGTATGAGCGAATGATCTCTGGCATGCTGTACGCTTTCCCCCTTTCCCACACCCCCCTTGAGCCCTGGCTCTTATCAGTTGGTATAGCCAATAACCAACTAGCATCTGGTGCATAGGTACAACCCGCTTCATCCGAAGCTCTTAGAGGCACGGCATGCCGCCCGGCAGGTCACCTACAGGTTCAACAATCTCGATCCCAATTCCGGCAACCACGAGGAGGTCGGCGAGAAGCAAGCCAAGCTCCTCGCAGAGATCCTCGGTAGCGTTGGCGAGGGGACCTTTATCGAGCCGCCATTCCTCCCGGATTATGGATGCAATGTCAAGATTGGCAAGAATTGCTTCTTCAACTTTGGGTCAGTATTTACTCTCGTTCGTCTCTCTGTAGATTGCTTGCAACTGATACCCGCTCCACAGATTGACCATCCTCGACACAAGCCTAGTCATTATCGGTGACCGGGTGCAGATGGGACCTGGTGTGAACATTTATGGGGCCAGCCACGAAACTAGTGTACTGTCACGGATAAAGTTCGTCGAGTTCGGCGACGTGGTCCGGATTGAGGACGACTGTTGGATAGGAGGGGGTGTCACGATTCTGCCTGGCGTCACTATCGGGCGAGGAACCACGGTAGGTGCTAACGCGGTGGTCACCAAGAGTATTCCACCGTATTCGGTGGCTCTCGGCGCACCGGCAAGGGTGGTCAAGAAGATACAATCTGTCGAGGAGGAGCTTGCAGACGAGAACAACCCCTACCGCAACATGCCGGATCGGGCGTAGATAGTTATGAACTAAGAGCCATGAATCAGGGAGTTGCAACTTAGAGAGTACGTACACAATATGAATTGGGATAGCTCAAGGTAAACATGTCCCATATTCAACTCTCGGCTTGAAAATAACTTAGTTGAGTCTAGCGACTTCCGTGACATGTACTGTACAAAGAACATGATAACGTAGACATGAGCCAGACCCAACCGCCCAACTACTCAAGAACCCCCCGCCAAAGTACTCCCGAACCACGCCCCACCCAATCACGTATGAGCCAGCCCTTTATACCCTCTCAGAGGCAGGTCCCTCGGTATCGACCTGTTGCAGAAGGCCATGTATGCATGCATATATACATACATACAAATATAGATACCTACATACGTTCACCCCTCCAGCCCCCAGGTCAACCACTCACAAAGCGACAGCCTCGGCCTGGACCTCAGCATGCATACCGGGGTTGACCAGCGCCACAACCACGACCGACGTCCAGGTGGGCGTGTGGCCGGGATAGCGACCGCGGAAGATGGCCAACATCCTAGCCTCGTCCTCGGCACGGGTGAAGTAGGCGACGAGCTTGTGCGCCGCCGCGAGGCCCGCGGACACGCCGGCGTTGCGGAGCGCGGCGTCCAGGCAGTCGAAGATGGCGTTGAACTCGGCGTCCACCGACGACGTGACCAACTGGCCGGTCTTGACGTCGACGCCCACGTGGCCCGTGGTGATGACTAGCTTGCCGCTGAGGGGCACCGTGGCCGTTGTGGCGAGGGATGAGGATCGCAGCATCTCTCCCACGGGGCCGGGGAGCCATTGGTACTGGACTTGTTGAGTCATTGCTTGGTTTGGTTGAGAATAGGGAGCTCGGGTTTCTTGGAGAGTGGCGGTGTGTTACAGAGATCAGGACATGAGAGACAGACACCTGAGATGGATGTGATGCGGTCAATGTTGCTCTGACTAGCGTCGGGCTTGTATATATCATTATCGCCATTGGCTTTATTTCCATCCGAGAGTCGTACACAAGAGAATACACTGCAATACAAGGTACCTAGGTACCTACCTCCGTCTCGTGAAATGGTGGTGTGGGTCAGCCAGGGGACCAGCCTCGTGTAACTCCGCATGCGGGAAATAAAAAACCCCAAGACCCTGGATGTTACCCCGCTGCAACTCCCGACTTCGGCATTGGAATCGCACTAGGTAATTTCTCCCAATGCGGTATATTTCATCGGTAGGCGCCGAACTAGTACGTGCCTGACGTAACGCCTGTACTGTGCATTAGCGTAACTACCCTTGGCGAGCCCCGCACCGACCCCTGGCTCGGGTAGGTACTCCGAATCTCCAAATTATTCCTGATGCAACCTCAGCCCGGGCGGAGGCCGGCGCTTGACAGTAACCTCGTGCAAGCCCCGAGAGCCCCGAACGTCCAAGCCAATCTCAATCTCATTCAGCTGCAATCGCACATTCCACAACAGACTGCAAGGAAGGATGACAATGGCTCAAAAACTCTCGGATCAAGAGAAAGCCAGTGTGTGCAGCCTCATCGACGAATTCACCACTGGGGAAAACAGGAAGGTGGCCGGGCTCATTTACTGTGCTTTCGGGGCCGATGGCGAGCCCATCATCCAACACTGCTCCGGCACCGTGGGGGTTTCGTCTCAGCAGCCCATGTCCCCGGACACGGTGTTCTGGCTCGCATCCTTCACCAAGCTCGCCACGTCAATAGCGTGCATGCAGCTCGTGGAACAGGGCATCCTGGCACTGGATGACCCCGACCAGCTCGAGTCCCTCAGCCCCGAGCTGAGGGATGTCAAGGTCCTGCGCCGCGACGACGCGGACGGAAGCTTCTCGCTCGTCGACAAGACGAGCAGGATAACGCTGCGTATGCTCTTGAACCACACAGGTCAGTTCCTACCATGCTCTCAGGGGCCGAAAGCAATATTGGCCTTCGCATTGGGAATGAATGAGTCTCTTCGATTTACTCACTGATGTGTGACTAGCTGGGTTCGGATATGCGTTCGAGGACGAGAAACTGGCGCACTACGGACAGCCGATCGGGCTGGACGATTTCTCGGGCGAACGAGAGGACATCATTAATCGGCCCCTTGTCAACCAGCCCGGCGCCAAGTTCCAATACGGCACGTCCATGGACTGGGTGGGCATCATCATTGAAAGGACATCGGGCCTCGTGCTTGAGGAATACTTCCAGAGGAATATCTTTCAGCCCCTCGGCATCCGGAGCATCTCCTTCTATCCGTCCGACGAGGCCAAGTCGAATCTGGCATGTCTGCATCAGCGACTGCCCTGTGGAAAGTTGGTGCAGAGGGATCACCTGTATCGCAAGCCCCTACTGGCTAAGTCCGGTGGGCAGGACAAACCGGTGTTTTGCGCTGGTGGACATGGCGCCTTCGGCAAGCCAGCCGAGTTTTCGAGTTGAGTCTGACTGACCCAAAGTCTGCGGTTGGACACCCAAAACTGACTGCTTTCTCCCAAGAACTTGTCGCCCTTCTTCTGAACGATGGGGTTGATGCCAAGACAGGAGCACGGCTCTTGAAGCCAGAGACAGTTCGCGGTCTGTTAATCCTGGCAGATTTAGCCACCTATTAATATCATGTCTGTCATCCCATCAAGAATGGCCAAACTGACTCCCGCCACAGAAATGTTCAGAGACCAAATTGCGGACAAGCCAATCCACAGCAACGAGAGCGTCTCCGTCGCCAAGCCACTGCTAGCCAACCCGACGCCGCTCCAGCCCATGCCCGACGACCACACCGAGGGCTGGGGACTGTCGTTCTGCATTAGCCACCGGGCAGCGGAGTCGGGGCGGGCTGCCGGGTCGGCCAATTGGGAGGGCTTGGCCAACCTCTTCTGGTTCGCCGACAGGGAGAACGGGGTGGGTGGTGTCATTGCTTCGCAGATCCTCCCATATGGCGGTGAGTACTGGATCAAATCAACCATGCGAGTGCCGTATTGTGTCCTGACAGGAGTCGCTGCAGACAAACATGTTTTGGAATGTTTCGCTCGGGTCGAGGCGGAGATCTATAAAGGATTAGGGAAAGCATGAGCTTGGTCGTTGGGCTTGACTGGATCGATATCCTTTTCGTGTACACTTGAGTCTAGCCAGACACCTTACTTCTTAGCTATCGCTACTAGTAATCTTTATCGCGTGGGAAAAGTCAGTATCGATTGCTTGGTGATGTTGATAGCCATAGCTACAGCGACAGCGATAGTGAAAATCCTGCCACCCGCTAATTAAAGATCATCCGCCCCAATAGCACCTGGCCTGGACAGGCCCCAGGCTCTATTGATTAATAACTAACTGCCCAGGCCCGCGGAGCAATTCTTACTCAAAATGAACTATCTGTGGAAAAAGAAAAAAAAATTGTTAGCTGTGGAAAGCAAAGGTGCGCTGACAGTTGCATACAGGCCACTAACACACTAACTGGTAGAACCCGCAAGCGCCAAAATCAGTAAATTGTAGATTTGCGGGGAGCCGATACCGGGAACACTGTCACATGTAGAGGGGGGCGAGACTGTAGGAATTCATAGACTAAGGATGGGAATGGTTAAAAGGGATGCGTTTGGCGACAAGCCCTATCTAATCATTTAGTTCAAGACCATCACCCCTCCCTCCCCCATCCTCGGAACTTGCAGACGCCACTCAACCAACTAACCATGGTGCAATCCGCGACAGTGGTGCCTCCCTCGGCGGACCGTGAGGCCCGGTTTGACGACCTAGTGCGCCTCCTCCAGAGCATCCCGCCGTCCATCTTCGACCCATTCGAGATCCACCGGGCCCACTACCAGTCTCCAGGCGGCCCGATCGGCGCAGACATCATCATTCCGAGGAATGTCAAGTCGCCGGGGTCGCCACCCGTGATCGTCAGGATACATGGGGGTTTCTTTGTACGTCTGACAAGATCCTGACTCGCAAGAAAATAGGCGTCTTTTGAAATGGGATGGAAATGAGTTGGAGCGTATGTTTCTAACCTGGGCGGTTTGGGCAGGTCACGGGATCGAGTCTCTTCCCGGCGTGGTTCTCCAAATGGATCCTGGACTACGCGGAGATGCACGGGGCGGTGATAGTCAGCCCGAATTACAGGTTGCTGCCCGAGGTCAAGGGACGAGACATCTTGCATGACATGGAGGCGTTCTGGGCGTGGCTGCGGGATGGCGGAGCTCAGCGACACCTCCACGCCGTTGGGCGGTCCGACGTGTCGCTGGACATGGGACGGTTGCTTCTGATCGGCGAAAGCGCAGGTAAGAGGAATCCGAGACTTCCGTGTTGTGTGTAGGTTGCGTGTTGATGATGACTCTGCCCAGGCGGATACTTGGCCCTCCAGTCGGTGCTCTCGCGATTTGTTCATCCAAAGGCCCTGGTTACGTTGTACCCAATGCTGGACCTGCGTTCCGACTACTACACCACGCCGTTCGAGAAGCCCATCTGCGGCGTGCCAAACTTCCCTGACGAGACGATCGACAGCTTCTTGGCGGCTACCTCCGGGCGTGCCAGCATCACCGAAGCAGATCCGCCAGCAAGATTGCGGCCGGCGTTGGCAACGGTGCAGACTGGGCGGCTGTTGGAGCTGATGGGTGACGACCCGGAGCTGTTCGTGCTGGAGCGGATCAGGAGCGGCAACCTACCCCAGAGAGCGGAAGGCGAGCCACTCCTGCCGCCGCTGTTCATCCTGCACGGCGAGCAGGATTCCGCGGTGCCTGTTGACGGCACGCTGAAACTGCTGAGGTATCTCGAGGAGGACGAAGCAGGGCGGGATGCAAGGACACGGGTGCACGCGGCGATTCGTCCGGGAGACCATGGGTTCGATGCGTTCGCCACACCCAACGACGACTGGTTGAAGGATGGGCTGGAATTTGTGACGGCCGAGTGGCTTGGCGGCGGCCTTAGCTAGATTAGTAAAAGGACGGGATATCTCGCATTGCAGCAAGGCTTTGGGACCATATAGCAAGCGGTATGAACGGACTTTGAATAATAATTGATGAACATGGTATTCAGGAGACAGCTGCAATCGAACCCTTACTACTTGGTAGTACCAAGCTCATTCAACTACCCAGTCATCTACTATCAAGACTTCTGTATAGCTTCAATAATCTTCTCAACAGCCGATGGATCAGCCAGCGTGCTAATATCGCCCAGCTGATCCGCCTCGCCCACAACCACCTTCCTCAAGATGCGCCGAATGATCTTCCCCGAGCGCGTCTTGGGCAGGGCCGGCACGACGTATATCCTCTTGGGGGCCGCGAAGGGTCCGATGCCCGATCGCACCAGCAAGACCAGGTCTTGCACAAAGGTCTGGCGGTTCTCATCGGCCGCCGCGGGGTCGCTGCTGCTGCTGACGCTCACAAAGGCGTTCACGGCCTGGCCCGTTAGATCGTCGGGGACGCCGACCACCGCCGCCTCGGCCACCGCCACGTGGCCCGTTAGCGTGGCCTCGATTTCCGCCGTTGATAGCCGGTGGCCGCTGACGTTGATCACGTCGTCGACGCGCCCGCGGATCCAGTAGAAGCCGTCCTCGTCGCGGTGGGCGCCGTCGCCTGTGAACTGTGTTTATTACCTTGTTAGCGGATACAAAAAGGTGCTACGGGCAGCTCCAGGATAGGAATCAGGAAAAATGGAGGGGTGATCATACGTAATAGCCCTCGTATACGCCGAGGTAGGTGTCTATGTATCGTTGATGGTGTCCCCAGATCGTGCGGGCCATGCTCGGCCATGGCTGTTTGAAGGCTAGGACCCCCTCGACTCCGTTTCCGGAGATCTCGTTCCCGGACACTGGGTCGATAATTGCCGGCTCGATTCCGAAGAACGGGAGCGATGCCGAGCCCGGTTTAGTGGGAATGACCCCGGCCATCGGTGCAATAACGTGGGACCCAGTCTCGGTCTGCCAATAGGTCTACCGATTTGGTTCATCACGCGTCAGTTCGGGGCCAATGATGGGTTACAGAGATAAGAAGAACAGTCAAGAAACAAACTCACGTCGACAACATGCGCCCGGCCCTTCCCGACCTCCTCAAAATACCATTTCCAGAGCTCGGGAGAGATGGGCTCCCCGACCGAGCCCAGAACCCGGAGATGGTCCATGGAGTGCTTGACCCGCCCGGAGTCGACACGCTTGAGCAGCCGGAGGGCCGTCGGCGCAAGGTAGAGGTGGGTAGCCTGGTGCTTCTGGACAATGTCCCAGTAGCGAGACGGTGTTGGGTAGCTGGGTGTTCCCTCAAACGCAACAGTGGCGACTCCAAGGAGCAAGGGGGCGTACACAACATAGGTATGGCCTGTAATCCAGCCGACGTCGCCAGCGCAGAAGAAGCGGTCGTTGTCGTGGATGTCAAAGACGTATTTTCCTGTGGCCGCGGCGCCGACTAGGTAGCCGCCCGTTGTGTGCAGGACGCCCTTCGGTTTTCCTGTGGAACCGGAGGTGTATAAGAGGAAGAGCGGGTCCTCGGAATGCATGCTCTCAGGAGGGATGTATCCAGGCCATTTGGCCATCTCCTCGTGCCACCAGCGGTCTCGTCCCGCGACAAACGGAACAGCAGCGCCAGTGTTTCTGAGCACAAGAACACCAGATACACTGCACTGGCTGAGGGCTTCGTCGACAATCCCCTTGACCCTGTGCACCTTCCCACCGCGTTTGCCTTCGTCAGCTGTAATGATGACCTTGCTCTTGGCATCGACAACGCGGTCCCTGAAGGCCTCAGCCGAAAACCCCGCAAACACGACTGAATGCACAGCCCCGATCCTGGCACAGGCCAGAAGGGCGACGATTGCCTCGGCTACCATGGGGAGATAGACGGTAACGGTGTCGCCCTTCTTGACGCCCATATCTTTGAGGGTGTACGACAGCTTGCTGACTTGCTGCAGGAGTTCGCCGTACGTTATGGTCCTGCTGCCGTCTCCTCCGTCGCTCTCAAATATGATGGCGGCCTTGCCTGGGCTTCTCATTGCGTGGCGATCCACGCAGTTGTACGCGGCATTCAACCGGCCCCCGTGAAACCATCCAACGTCTCCGTCGGCCATGGATCCGGTCCGCACCGCGTCGAAGTCACGCTCCCAATCGAGGAGCTCACGAGCCAGCCCGCCCCAAAACTGGTCGGGTTGCTCGATGGACTGCTTATACATGGATTCATACTCGGCAAAGTCTTGTAGTTGTCAGCGGGTATTTTCCCTCCTTGATGAAGAGCAATGCCATACTTGCAATATGCGGCTTTGTGGCATGATCTGGTTCAAGTCAGCGACGGGTCAGGGGCAGGTGCCGAGGGTTAGGGTAGGTGACCGAGGGAGAGTTACCGAACTTGACAGGTGAAACCACCTGATCGTGTCTGTCGGCCATTTTTTTCTGAGCGGGTCACAGAGTTTCCGGAAGGTCAAAAGGAGGTGTATTGCTAAACTAAGATAACAGTCAACATGTATTATATCCGCGGCCATGTATTTACAGTACATTCACCATCTATTTACAACCTGCTATGTGCACAAACCCCTTGGGGGCGTACTATGCATACAAATACATACTGTGCTAGTTAGTGCCTCGGTTTTAGCCAAGCGCTCCACCTTTGGCGCCAACATATCTCCCAATGAGGCAAATGTCCCAACATCGGCGCTGAAATCGGAGATAGCAATGCAACTGCCATATTCTCCTAGTAAGGCAATGGCAGGGGTCAAGCAGTAGGTAATGACAGCAGTAAACCAATGTTCACGAACCACCCAACATAAGTTCCCGTGGCGTAAAACATGTCACGCCAAAGTACGTCCAAAGTACGCGCGAGCACTGAAATCGACACCCCGCTAATTTTCAATTGTCAGCTGCGACAAGGCTGTTGTTTCTGTCCCACCCAGGGGGGTAGATGGCGGTGGCACTTCACTAGAATTATGCAATTTTTTGCCGCATGGGCAGGAGGAATCCATGACAAACTGCTGCGACGGTAGAGAGCATTTATGACAGCTCCCATTCAGAATGATTATTTTAAACCCTACTAGAACTACCTACCCCTAAGCAACTCTCGGCGTCGCCGATGCAGGTTAATGAACGGACGGAGCCGCGGACTGCTCGCTGCATTGGAGAAAGGAAATACAGTGGTCGAGCTCGAGCGTAAAGAGGAAGAAAAGGAAAAGTCGTGGTCTACTTGTCGAGACGATGACTCCAAGTGAGTCTCGCAGACCTGACAAAAGAATAAGAATCTGCTTCTTCCCAGCGATGTTGCCTCCAAACCCCGTCCCGTAGACCCTTTCCTCCCCAGACCGCACTTGATGGCATTTCCAAAAAGGATATGCTAGCCAAGATCAAGGCCTCTGCCATTCTACCTAGTGATTGATGTCTAGGTCGGCGCCCCTCCTCACGTAAGACCAGTACCTGTCGGCGCTGCGCTGTCTTAGGTACCGACCCCAACGGATTATGGGGAAGATGGTCAGGGTGTGGGCCAGGCCGGCAAAGGCGCCGAGGATGAAGGCGTTCTGGTAGCCCATGTTGACGACCCACGGGGTGACGCTGTTGTCATTGTTAGCGGGGAGTCTTCCGTGCTCTGGTTTCCCGTCCATCCATCAACGACGCCGGCGGAATTACAAAGGGAGAGCGCGAGAGAGAGAGATGGAACAAAGGGAGCAACTCACCCATAACCGATCCCGAAGGACATGGTGTTCCGGACGATGATAACCGACGCCAAGGCCTCGCTCCCGAGGTCGCGGTAGCAGTCGATGCAGTAGGCGATGGAGATCTGCGAGCCGGCGGTGGTGATGAAGGAGATGACCCCCATGGCGAACACGAGGCCGAACCAGTGGACGTGGTGCTGGGCACCGACGCCCCACAGGATGCACCCGAAGGGGATGAGCAACAGCGACGGCAGGAACAGCCACAGTCGGTGCTCAGCCTCCATGAACCCCTTGTTGCGCCGCACCTTGTACAGGATGAAACGGTCGCCGAAGACGCCCGTGTATAGACAGCTGGTGGGTATAAAGGGTTAGCGGATCAAGGCTTGGAAGAGAGATAAAAGAGGGGCGCGAGAGGAGAAGGTGAAAACCTGGAAACTCACGCGAGGCTGGTTCCGACCAACGGAGCGATGAAGGTCAGGCCCACGATGGAGGTGGACATGCTATAGGGAGCAGCTGACAGGACCATGGACTCGGTCGCGTTGAGCACCGACAGCCACACGATGTTGCAGCCGTAGCAGAAGCCTGCATAGGCGATGATGGGGAAACTCAGCAGCAGTATGGGACGGCCCATGAGGCGGAGGAGGTTGTTCCTGCGGTGGAACCCCTGGCTTTCGATGGGCTTCAGCCGGGCCATGTACGACTTCTTCTTCCTCTGGCTGGCGTCATCAGTGGGCATGGTCGGGCCCGAGTCACGAATGGACGGGTCGCTGTTGGCATCGTTGTTGTTTCCCTTGGCATCCCCGCAGTGGCTATCTTGGCTTTCCAGCGCTTTCGGGTCCTCGTCGTTGGCCTTGCTATCCTGCTGAGCCTGGATGTTGTGGGTATCGTCCATGTAGGCGCCCCGGTCGAACTTGGTCTCCTCCATGAAAAAGAAGACGATGACGAAGGCAGCACCGCAGAAAATGGCACACCAATACTGTGCGATGACGCGGTCAGCATCTTCACCGTGAGAGAGTCGATGCTAATTAGATGGCCGGTCAGGTATCATATCACTCACAAATACCCACTGGTACCCCTGGCCAGCGTTGATAAAGCCCATGATCAAGGGCGCGATGCCGTTGCTGTAGCCCAGGGCGAGCGCATACAAGGCCATGTAGCTACCTCTTTCATGAGTGAAGAACTAGTATTTCGTGGCGCGGGTTAGACACAGACGCCACGGTACGCCGAAATCGTTGGTCAGCAACTTACCACGTCCGAGATAGTGATCTCTGCAAGCGATTCCATAGGTGCACCAAATGTGCCCTGCAGGATTTTGGCTGCAATCCATTCGCCGTTGGTCCGGATATGTGGCTGCCACACCATGACGCCCTACATATCCATCATTAGTTCTGTTCAACCATGGCTGTTCCAGCCTTGTTCTTGACGGCAAGGATATCGTGTCACTTACCAGAGTGCCGGCAAGACTGATGAGATATACCGGCCTCTTGCCGTACTGAATGCCAATTGCCTGCCAGAGGACGCATCCCCAACCGAAGAAAAGGAACTATTTCCACTTGGTTAGCATCTGGCATATCTCAGGCCAGGTCCCTCATAGGACCCAGCTAATACTATTGGTAGTCTGTAGCGCACCATGTAGCCAGTCCCAGAGTTGAGATCATTATAGGAGAGACCAGTGGCCTTCGATAGAGGATCTAGGGTCGAGTATAGCGCAGAGGAACAGATGCCAACCACGAGAACGTAACTGGGTGTGTATTTTAATTAGTTGTTCAGCAATCATTGAGGAATAATTAGAGAACAAAATGGCGAGACCATTTGAACTTACACAGACATGCAGAATGCTGAGAGGTACTTTCGGCGCCGGGACCAGTTGAGAGGGTCGTCTGGGTGAGCCGACGGCGCCGGTACCAGAACAATATCCTGCTCGGCTCCGTCACCATGTTTAGAGTGTAGATTACCCTCGCAGTCGATGAGGTGAACTGTCCCTGGGATGCGTTCCACCTCATCGCCGAAGGCTATGTTGTGCTGCGTTACAGGAGCCATTCTTCGATAACCTTGAAAAATAAGGCGGCTTGGATAAGCGAGTAAACAGTTGGGATCTTGATGCTACACTCATACACTAAAGCGGGCGGATTCGCAGCTTTTATCAAACAGTGCGACCGCCAAGAGTGTCTAGTCGCCCTTCAGTATCCCAGTTTGACAACCAGATAATACTGTGAGGGCAGATTGCAGGGATAAGCCTAGTCTCTCCACTCCCCCGCTGGACCGAGATGATATCAAAACCAGGCTGCGGCTATCCGGAGAGGGCAACGATTTACCAAAATGCGGAGAGACGACCCATCAGACTAAACCCACCACCACTGTGCGGGGTACTAGGAGTCGGAGAAGCCCGAGTTCCTCGGCGAACTGGAATACAGTGAGCATTGGGCCAATACAACGTCGTCCTATAGGGCTGCAGATAAGTCAATCGGCCATTTCTCATTCGCGAAACGCATGGTGGTGTCCTGACAGGTACGTACTAGGTAGGTGCGCTAATACCCCAGATTGACCCAATGCGAACAACTGGCAGGGGCTTGATTGGCTGATATCATTCCCAATAACAGGTACGATTTTACGTTCCCAATCGGGAGATCGAGGATCACCTACCTATATACTGATGGAAACCATGATTTCTGACAAGACATGGTCCCTTGTCTGTCGGCATGGCACCTGCTGCCCGCTGGCCCGTTCCATATGTTCCATTTCCCCGACGGATTGGCTACGACTTGGCGACGCCAGGAAAGCCAGCTTCCAGAAGAGATAAGCTGCTAATTATTGATAGGAAGAGCTGAAAGGGGGTAAAGAGCATGACGCGTGCCTATGCCCGCAGAGAGCTACCCCCTTCCAGAGGCCCAACGCGAGGACAAAGAGCAACCAAGACCACCCTAGACATCTTGTTTTCTACGGCCCAAAGGAGACCCACGTATAGAGGCCTCTTCTAGGTAATTAGCTTGGTCAGCCAGCCTTGGTTACAGCCATTGTCTGTGTTTGTCCTGTTTCCTACTCCCAGGCAAAGTCTAGTTCTCCAGCCAAAGTCTAGTTCTCCAGCCAACGTCATATCGCAGCTTTGGACGGGAACGGTTGGCTCAATTAATAATCATGAATCGGGGCCTGTAAATCGTGATGCGAGTCGAGAACTAGAATTCGTGCACGTTCAAGATAACAGGAAGACGCAGGACGCTATCTAGCTACCTTAACAGCCAGCCACATCCGCGATGCGGATTGCTTATCTACCACTGTAAGATAGTGCACGTGTAATGTAAATATTTATCCATTGCTCCTCTCTATTGACGGTATAGTCTGGAGTCAGACCTAGACTATTTACTCTGCTCCCCTCTTAGCGCCACGAGCCAAGAACTCGCGGAGGACGTTCTCCGTCACGGTTGCGATGTCGTTCTTGTAGCCGTCCCACGCCAGAGAGTTGTTCCAGTTGATGCTGCCGACGCTGAACACAGAGCCGCCGCCGTTGGCCTTATAATAGACCAGGTCGCTGCGTACCAGTGGCGACGTCGACCCCAGCGTGCCGATCATTGGGAAGATCAGCTCCTCGTTGAACAGCATGAAGTGGTCGTCGTGCCTCTCGCTGCGCGCCAGAAGAACCGCATCCCGCGGGGTTCCAATGGCCGTGTCCAGCCTGTCCAGCTCATCCCCGCTGGCGCCCCCAGCCAGCCCCTGCTCGCCCAGCCGTTTGCGTGAGTGCTCGTCCAGTCCCGCCCAAACCCACGCCAGAGCCGGATCGTTGAGCGCCGACTCAATGGGCAGGAAGGGCCGCCCTGGCCCTTTGCCCGACGCGGAACTGCCGATGCCCCATAGGAGGTTCGGCGCGCGCCCCAGCGATCGCCATAGGCCGCCCAGTTGCCCGTTCAGGGAGTGGTAGCGCTCGCCCGCGGGGAGCTCGTGCGTGCGGGCCCCCACGTCGGCGCGGCGGACTTCCATGCGGTGCGGCTTCTGGGGTTGTGTCACGGAACGCCACTGTTTTCGTTGTTAGCCCGCTGTTACCTAGTTCAACCAACGCTCAAGGGGAAAACAACTTACGTAGAACCCGTTGCCCCCGGTGTACATGAGCGAGCCGCCCCTCCGGAGATGGCCCTCGTAGGCATCTAGGGACTCCATGGATGGATACTCGGGATGCGAGCCAGTTATGACAACATCGTACCCAGCCAAGGCAGCAGAGCCACGGAGATGCAGGTCGTGGTCCGTCAAAGTGTCGTAGCCGTCTCCCAGCAGCTTCTCCAGGAAGCCGACCATGATCAAGTCAGCAGAGAACTCGCGCGGCCGCTGGAATCCCCAGTGGATGTAATCAGGCCTCATGTTCAGGACTGGCCGCTTGGAGGTGCTGTAGACGACGCCCGACCCGTCGCTGTGCAGGTCGTAGATAGCCAACCCCAGGTCCCCGCGCTGCACCATCTTGTGGTAGTTGTCCGACTCCATCAGCTGCACGCCCTCGGGGAAGGAGATGTGCGTCGACTTGGTCTCGTCGTACATGTGCTCGTTGGCGTAGGCCAGGTACGTGAACGTCGAGAACACGAACGCGACCTTGGCCTGCGAGCGCACCTGCTTGGGCCGCACGAAGAAGACGATCGAGTCCTTGAGCCCGGACTCGGTGTCGCTCACCTCGATGGCGTACGCGCCGGACCTCGCGTCGGCCGGCACCGTGATCTGGAAGTCGGTCTCCCACGCGGCATCGTCGAGGTCGTCGTCGTGGAAGTGTATCGACCCGAACCCGTGCTTGGCGTCCTTCCACGACACCCCCGTGAGGCTGTGGTCGTAGTCGTGGCCGCGCACCGCCCGCGTCGGCGCGTTGATCAGCCTCCCGCTCAACCCGGATCCCGACACGTCTGTGATCTCGTCTGTGTCGATCCCCAAGGAGAAGTCGTACTTGGCGATGTCCCACGACGCCCGACCCAGCGCCGTGAACCGCGGCGAGTCGAGTCGTCCGTTGAAGAAGTGAACGGCGCGCGGCGAGTCGGTCTGGGGGTTGGCGGCGAAGGTGGCGGCGAAGAGGAGCGGCCTGCTCGACGATTCGAGCTTTGCAGCGTCCTTTAGCGAGGTCTGGACCTTGGTTGGTGGCGGTGCGAGCTCGTTGTCGGCAGGCAGGTGGATGATGTCCACCTCGACTGCCTTTTCCTTGACCGAGAAGCGCAGATGGAGCCAGCGTTGCTGGCGGACCGGACATGACACCTTGACGGTCTCGACCGCAGTCCCGGTGCCGATCCAGAAGACCAAGTTGTTCTGGGGGTCCAGCAGGATGCACACACCAGACGAAGTCTTGACGTCGAGCGTCGACAGCAGTGCTTGGGGATAACGCGCATCCAGCATCCATGGCTGGGCATAGAAAGAAATCTCAAGTCCCTCAGCCTTGTCCAGGAGCGGTTCTCTTGTCCAGCCGTCAACAATACCATACGAGCCGGGGTATGACGCCTGGAAGCGCCCCTTCAGCTCTCCCTTGGGCCCATTCTCCACCAATTTCCTCTCCGGGGTTGGGGCATGGGGCATGTCAAGCCCTTGCAGCAACCGCACAGTCTGGTACTTGAGATTGGGGCGTGTGGAGGATATCTGTCACGTTGTCACATTTGTTAGTAATTAAGGAGTACTGTGTACGCATACTGGGGGGAAGAAAAGATAGGGGGAGCAGGGGTTGGGCTGTAATGGAAGGAACAGGGAGGGAATGCTTCATCTACACTAGGCAGCTAGGGTTCCCTTACAACGTACTTTCACGTCACCGGTCTCACCAGGCGATAACACCCAAGGGTCAACATATCCGGTAATTTCATCCGTGTCCACGGTCAGATTGGGACGCACGGGATACTGGTCAACAGACATTCTGCTTGATTGCTGGGACGAGTGGTTATGACGAAAGGTTCTGCACCAAATGTTTGCAAGAGGAAGTAGTTCCTACTATTGATGAGACTCTCTGGCAATTACTGTCTGAGTCAGGAATCGCATCCCCCTTAGTTACTTACCCCTTATATGCGGCAGGACAGTTAAAGGTGGCTAGACTGTATTAGGAAACCAGTCGGTGTAATTGGTAGCTTGGCTTGGCGAACAAACTTCTCCTTTACAGGTTACTACTGACAGCGCTAGTCGAGTACCAGGGTCGTTCGATATCCTCTTTCAGTGTTGAGATTTTGCACGCCACGGCATTACTAGCACCTAATTCTTTTTCCTCTTCAGGGAAGGGTAGAGACTGAGGGGTAAACTGTGGGGTGCATTTTTCACCAGATTTGGCCAAAATAGGGATCCGTACCTTGCTGGGAAAGACAGCCTCGCTTTAGTCACATAATTACACATCGCACTCTCCAAAAATGATTTCCTTGGTCTGCCCGCACTTGACAAATAAGAGGCAAGGCATATAGCTGTTTATCCTGGTTCTCCTCTATTTCCCCTTTTTGGGTCCTTTTTTTGTGTGTTTGTTTCTTACATTTTCTTTAGCCCCGTTCGCTATACCAGACGAAGTTGTCCAGCCATGGCTTCCCAAGATTACGTAGCGTCCTTCAATAGGCATGTAACCGACCATCTTTCTTCTCATGAACGCGACCGCCACGCCCCGTCCTTCCGTCAGCATGCAACCGACTATCTCTCCTCGTATGAACGCGACCGTCAGGCACCATCTAGCCAGGCCGTCTACACCACAAGGTGAGTTAACCCAACAAGAACAACCATCTGCCGGAAGTCGACTCCTTTAACTAATGGATACACTTCGTGCTACTGCAGCAATGGAGCTCCTGTGGCGCATCCCTACGAAGCACAGCGATGTGGCGAGAACGGACCGCTCTTGCTGCAAGACTTCCACCTGATCGATCTTCTTGCCCACTTCGACCGTGAACGCATCCCCGAGCGTGTCGTGCACGCCAAGGGCTCCGGGGCACACGGGTTCTTCGAGTGCACCAACCCAATTCCCGACTTGACAGTAGCCGACCTCTTCAGCTCCAAGGGGAGGAGATGCCCCATCACAGTCCGGTTCAGCACCGTCGGCGGCGAGGCTGGCTCTCACGACTGCGCTCGCGATCCGCGCGGATTCGCCGTAAAGTTCCGCACCGACGAGGGCAACTGGGATCTTGTGGCCAACAACACGCCTGTCTTCTTCGTCCGTGACCCTGCCAAGTTCCCCCACTTCATCCACACCCAAAAGCGCCATCCCTCAACCCATCTGACGCCCGGCGATGATTCGACCATGTTCTGGGACTATTTCTGCCACAACCCGGAGTCGGTGCACCAGCTGATGATCCTGATGGGCGACCGAGGCATCCCCGACGGCTACCGAAAGATGCACGGCTACTCGGGCCACACGCTCAAGCTCATCAACAAGGACGGAGGCTGGGTGTACTGCCAGATCCACCTCAAGAGCATGCAAGGCACCGCCTTCCTCACCGACGACGACCTGGCCCACAATCCGCGCTCCCCCGACTACGCGCAACGGGATCTCTACGAGGCCATCGCCGGCGGCGACTTCCCGCGGTGGAGCGTCGAGCTGCAGACCATGACGGCGCAGCAGGCCGAGCGGCTCTGGGAGACGCAGAAGATCAATGTGCTGGACCTCACGCACGTGTGGCCGCACCAGCAGTTCCCGCTGTTCAAGGTGGGCGAGATCACGCTCAACGAGAACGCCGTCAACTACTTCGCCGAGATCGAGCAGGCGGCCTTCAACCCATCCCACATGGTCCCCGGCATCGAGCCCTCGGCCGACCCGGTCCTGCAGAGCCGCCTGTTCAGCTACCCGGACACCCACCGCCACCGCCTGGGCGTCAACTACCAGCAACTCCCCGTCAATGCCCCGCGCCCCACCGCCGTCCCGACCGCCAGCTTCCAGCGCGACGGCGCCATGGCCATCTTCAACCAGGGCGCCCGCCCCAACTACCTCAGCAGCATCGACCCGGTGCGGTGCCGGCCGCGCACCGTCGACCACGACCGGACCCACGGCCACTTCGTCGGGCGCGCCGTCACCTTCCTGTCGGAGATCCGGCCCGAGGACTTCGCCGCCCCGGGTGCGCTGTGGCGGCGCGTGTGGGACGAAGGTGCGCGCCAGCGGTTCATCGGCAACACGAGCCGCATGATGGCGACGTGCCGCGAGCAGGAGATCATCAGGCGCCAGATCGCAATCTTCTATGAGGTCGACCCCGACATCGCCGCCCGGCTGGAGAAGGCGACGGGCGTGCGGGGCTACCAGGGGATCGCGGGTTTGCGGTTCAATGGGACCCATAATGGCATGGCAAAGGATGCGGGCTTGAGGCCTGCTAATGGGGTTGCGTTGACGGTTGGGAAGGCGGCGTCGGATAACAATGGTGGTCTGTCATATGGAACACATACCCTCGCAAGCGAGGCTAGATTGTAGAATCATGTATTGTGAGAGAGAACCCAACGAAATTAGCCGTTCTTGTTTTGTTATTGTACCTCAATCTTACAATTTTCGAACCTCAGTGCCGTCAATGATTTCCCGTCACAAGCTCCAAAGTGAACCAACGGTGCTCTCACCATCACCTCTGCCACGGCCGTTCCTGTGACACCCTTGCCGCCGCCGCCACCACTGTGCGGGGCGGCGACGAGTTCGGCGTAGAAGCCGCCCGAAGTGAGCCACAGGTGTCGACGTCGGCGGACCACAGCGCGCCCACTACGTGGGCGAACCGTGCCATCTAGAAGGCGGCAGCGAGGTGCATGCCCTCGTCGGCAACAGATGTCGCCCGGACCTCGGCGGTCGAGCAGACCGCCAGGAAGGCAAGCCACAGGTGCGTCCCAGCAGTCGCCACCTGCACGACGACCAAACCCCCGTGCCTATTGGTTACCTCATAATTACATGTCGGCCGGTTCCGTGCTACCGTCCAGCTGCCTACCCGGATCTTACCTACCCCCTTACGTTGTGCAACAAGAACTAACCCGCAGTTCCGGCACTAAGTGCCGACCCGTGCTCTACCACTATAGCGCCCAACAACCCCGGAGCAACTGGCTTTGAACTGTTATGCAACTAAAGAACTACGCACTTCTAATGCATTTAATGTGGCGATAAATTGGAGTTTATAACGCGGGATGGACGGCACGGCGAAGTAACCGGCGATTAGGGGTCAGAGCACGTTGCCCTGTTGAAGAAATACGTACAAATGTCAGCGGTCTTCCTGTTGGAAAGACAAGATTTGATGGCATCGAGGAAATAATTAGATTTTTAACGTTAGTCTCTTCGTCTTCTTTGGAAATTCCACGGGTAGTTGCATTTGGTCCGCGACGAAAAGTCTATGGTGTGGTGGTCCTACTCAACTCACGGGCGTTCATGCTCCGCGGTTGAGACATAGAACCGGGTAACTGATATTGCAGAACTAATTACCGCCTGCGGATTCTGGGCTTCCGGTCGCAGCGTTGAGTACCCTCTCGCCAATCAACGACACTCTCTATACTATGAAGTATTAAAGCCAACCCACCATTACACTGTCCGGCACGTCGCGTGACTGGCATAACCCCAGGCTTGGCTGCAGAAGCCAAGAGTATTGCCGCGATTTCTAGAATGAATACTATTGCACAGTTTTATATATAGAGTGGTTGCCGAACCAGAACCTGTATGAATCTTCCATCTTATCCTGGAACTAGTTCAACGACTTTTCCTCGTCTAGCTTTTTGAACCAGCACACCTGTCACATCGTCAGTATGGTTCGCCTTGCGCTCACAGCCTCGCTCCTCGGTGCCGCAAGCCTCGTGGCCAGCCATGGCTATCTCAAGAACATAGGAGTTGGTGGTACAATCTATCCTGCCTGGCAGGTTGGCTCAGACGACTACCTCACCCCAGCTCCTGTCCGGTATGCCCGGAAGATCAAGGACAATGGCCCTGTACCCGATTTCACAAGCAAGGACATAACGTATGGGTACCTATCTATAACACATGGTATAAGCATGAACTAACGTGGCGTGTTAGTTGCAACGTCGGAGGAAACATACCTGCTCAGGGAATTATTGAGCTCAAGGCTGGCGACAACGTGTACAAGACTGGTCTTCTCTCAACTTGGGCTACATGTACTTTACTAACTTTGCGTCCAGCGAGTTTCTATGGGACCAGTGGAATAGCGCACACAGTGGCCCGGTATTTACGTACGTCCATCCATCCATCCATCCACGAATGCAGCATTCACGGCAGCTAACGAGGCACACATACGGAACACAGCTATCTCGCGCACTGCACCAACAACGACTGCATGTCCTTCAAAGGCGACACGGGTGCTGTGTGGGTCAAGATCGACCAGCTGTCGTACAACCCGTCCGCGAACCCTCCGTGGGCATCCGATCTGCTGCGCGAGCAGGGCGCCAAGTGGACAGTGACAATCCCGCCGAAGCTGGCCCCCGGTGAATACCTGCTGCGGCACGAGATCCTGGGCCTGCACGTGGCTGAGACGCGCATGGGCGCCCAGTTCTACCCGAGTTGCACGCAGATCCGCGTCACAGCTGGTGGCACGACCCAACTGCCCAGCGGCATAGCGCTGCCGGGCGCGTACAACCCTGATGATACAAAGGGAGTAAGTGCAGATTCGTGAATGAGACTTGTTGCGTTGGCAATTGGGCTTGGAATGCACGAGTGCGGAGTGTGCTGACACGCGTCCAGATTCTCACTGCCCTCTGGAAGATTCAACAAGGCCAGGTTGACTACGTCGCCCCGGGCGGCCCGGTATGGAGTGAGGCTGCACCGAATGCAAATCGTGCCGGCCCATAAGAGGTCGACCCGACTGCCTGGCTCGCGCAGATCCCCGCGGGGCCCTCCTTGTTGGCGTTGCGCATCAGTCCCGAGTTAAAGGACTGGGCCGCGTGCCCGAAGGTTTACGAAGGCAGGCTTCAATTGAAGTGTTGGCTGCGGGAGTGCTTGAGACAATTCCGTATCCAATTTGCCCACTCTCAGTTAGAACCTAGAACCCGTGCCAAATAGCCACCTCGTCTCGTCTAAGTCGCCCAGACCGATCACTGCCGTGCTACTGTCCAGCTGCCTACCCGGGACCTACCCGTTACATGCACACTAATTATGTGTAGCAAGAGCCTGCAATGACACATGTCCTCAGGATTGTGTTCTAAGAATAACTCAAGCCATTCCCATTTTATCATGTAAAATGGAGCGTAACCTTTCTATCCCATTCTAACGCTCAAGCTGATGAGATACCCAGCTTTGAGAGCCAAGTCGATGAATCGCTGCTTGATCTGATGGGGTTGGCTCGAGAAGCGACCGATGCCTTGTATGGCTCACCTCTGTCATCTCGCCCCTCCCAGAATGCCATGCTTGGTATCATTGACCGATTCGATGCGAGACTGAAGCAGTGGTTCGGAGGCCTTCTAGAGAAAACGAGGCGAGGACCAGTCGGGGGACAAGATTCCTATCACTTCCTCTTCGTCCTACATCTGCATCTAAACATAACCCGGATTGTCCTGCATCTCCACCGAGGATTTCCGGTCAGCGATCACCACCAACCAGGACCCACTGCTCCATCAACGAGTAAATCAACCCTGGCACGATCACAATCTCGAGCCATTCTTACGACCTCGGCTACCCGCATTGCCAAACTATTTGAGAGCTTTCGACGAAGGGAAGACATCTGGACGTTACAGTGCACTGGGGTGCAATGGGCTACTCTCGCCGCTAAAACCCTGACGAGGTGGATCGACACGTTACCGGTTGATGAAGCTGTCGAGGCAGTTGCACATCTGCAAAGCCTGAGCAGGACTCTGAAAGAAATGTCCAAGACATTCGAGTCGGCAGTTAGCAGCCACAAATCGACAACTCGAGATCTTCAACTCTTCATGCGACAGATGGAGGGGGCGAGGGCGACGACGACCATTTCTCTCTAGCTCGCGAAAACGAGATATCACCCGTGCAAACATGGGATGTCACGAACCACCAGGTATCGGGCGAAAACACGGCGAGGCGTGGTGCCTGCTACGACGACAGTGACCGCCATGAGCTGCTGCAGCCGGACTTTGAGGCAAATCTTACACTATCCGCCCCGACCACCACCCACACTGCTTCCGACTCGGCGACGGCTGCTACTCGTCGATCTATAATAGTGCCCGACGACTTCAACGTTATTCGCTGGGCATTGCCAATTCTCAGGCCGAATCCTGGTCTGACAGTAGATTGGGAGGATATTATCGTCACCTGATGAAGATATATGCATTGCCCGTCCCTAAATTACAACTTTGCCGCAAACAGCGTCTGTTCTGCCCTGCGCAATCCCGCCGCCATAACATCGCCGCCGAGCAGGAAGGAAACACCCCATCTCTTTCAAGCAGGCCAGCAGGCCCGCGTCGGCCACGGACATGCCGACGGGAAGCCCCATACGCCCGTCGGCAGCCGCTATCTTCTCCAGCGCGGCGAGTACCCGTCCTCCTCGCCGTGGGCGCCGGAGCTGAAGCCCATGGGCAGCCGGAGATCGACGGGGCCGACGAACGCGTCCCTCAGCCCCGGGACGCCTCCGTATTCTCAACGCCCAATACCGACTCGATCATGGGGACGACGGCGACGTCCCGAGCCGTCTGGCTGAAGTACCTGTCCACCCCGCCCCCGGCCCCGAAATCCGCATACGGCGCGTGGAACGGCCCGAAGCTCCGCTACCCCTGGGGCGGGTACCCTGGGGCGGGTACCCTGGGGCGGGTACCCTGGGGCGGGTACCTGGCGTGGCGGACGATCCGGCGCGCCTCATCGGCGGCGGACTGGACCATGGGCACGACGACGCCGCTGTCGAACGGGGCCCCACTTGACGTGACTCGACGGCGTGGGAGGGGACGCGCCACGAGGCGCGAGGGTGCGAGGCGGCCGCCACGGCGTGCACCAGCGCGGTCGCCGACAGCGGCGAGTGCTCCGTGTCGATCAGGACCCCAGTCGAAGCCCGCGCTGCCGGGGGGGCGATAAATTTTGCTAGTTTTCGACGAGCTTGTGGAGGACTCGTTGGAATTTCCCGGGCAACCTAGTTAATGAGGGGTGATGTGGAGAGATGCGGGAATCCACAACCATAGTTGAGAGTCTAAAGGGAGCCAAGGTGCAGCGGCAGTAGGCTGGCGCTAGGTTATTCAACTTCTGGTAATTTTCCCCGCTTCTCACCCTCATCAACCAAGACATCGGCCCCGACTCGCCTACACTTTCCCGTTGGCCGCCTTCCAAACCTTGGCGGGGCGGCTCTTGGACTTGTTCGGCCACTGGTGGTTCTTCATCGGCGGCTCAGCACTGAACCTGATCGGAGCGATCGTGGGCGCCATCTCGGCGATCGTGTGGCGGCAGTTGGTGTTCGGCATATACACCTCAGATGAGGAGTATGGAGGCTGGCTGGACTGCCTGGTCGGTGCTGAAACAAAAATGGGCCAGCTTACATCTGGCCTCTTCGCCCGCCATATCGGCGCGGGAGTGGCAGGTTGTTTGGGAGGGGAGACGAGGAAAAAAATGCTTACTGCTGAGTTTAAGGATTTCGTGGTATTTTAATACTTCGCGAATTTTAATCCCGCTCAGCCTCCTTAACCTGATTCTGCTGATATTGAGTAAACTTGTTCCAAACCCGGTCCTCAACTTCGACAGCAGCTTTACCGTCCCGAATCATTGACCTGCAGTAGCCCAGCGTGCTCATCGCCCGAACAACCGTCTTTTTCCCTGCTAGCCCTTCTCCACCCTCGTCGCTCTGGTCTTTGTCCAGCTGGCCCTTGTCGACGAAGTTGCGCTCGTCCGGCTCGATCACCTCTATGTAATACGGGTCCGAGAACGCCGCGAGGAAGCGCTCGTAGCTGTCGATGTAGAAATCCGCTGCGGCATTGAATGGGATCGCCGCGCTGAACGTCGGGTCCATCCGCGAGGCGAATATCTGACGTAGTTCGGCGGGAGTCTGGTACTGTAACTTTTCTTAGCTTCAGACCCTTCTTACAATTATCAGGGAAATGGGCTCACTTGGGTATATTCAAGAAACCCATATTTCATTGCCCATGGGATGACGAGCGGGCCATGGACATTTCCCCAGTGGTCGTAAAATTGATCCTCCGTAAGGTCGGCACGCTTCTTGAAAAACGTGGTTATGCGGTAGACCTTCGCCATTTTCACTATATCCGCCAACTATTATTTGTTACTGTCTTGCAGGTGGAGTGACAAGGGGTTGGCAGGAGGTACTTTATACATCTAATTACTAACAAATTGCGCATAATGTTACCCGAAAATTAGTGGAAAGCAACATCCGCTAAATCTTAACTACTTCTGTACAGAAAGTCTCCATTCCAAACCCACAGAGTCGTTGCCGCGTCAGTCTCTGTCCCTACTATCTCTGTTATCGGGTAGAAGTGGTGATAGTTCTAGCTGCAGGGGAGAGAGACCCTTACGCCGTTGTAGAAGAGCCTGGACTTTGGGTGCGCCATCTGCATGTAACTTTGTTAGAGAGTGGGCATTCCTTACTTCTCAGAGCTGTCATGTTTTACTGGGCTTTCTGTACTGCATACGTGCCGGAAACCGTCCCGTTGGCTGCTAGACTGAGGGTTGAATTCAAAGTCTCGTCGAAGATGCCGGGTCCGTACTTGATAATTTTGTGTTTGAAGTCCTTGCGCTTTAACAGCGCCGGACCGGGCACGTCGTAGGGGAGACTGAAAAATAGACACAAATGTTAGTCCAATTAGAATGTTTGAACCAGAAACAAAAAGAGAAGGTGGTGAAGGTGGTGCCCTCCAACATACCTCAAGGAGATGACCTCGCTGTTGGGCCGGCCGGGGACTCTGGGGGGAGGGCGATGGTTTGTCTTAGGCTACAATTGGCGTCGTAACAGCCTGCGGATGATGCATGCCATAGGCTACAGGAGCCTACTCTGGCACGACAGCAGCATTAGTTTCTCTTTCTTTTACCCCAAGCTGGATATCTGTCGATTTTGCCTTTGCCACTCATTGTTGTGTTCGACGGTTTCTCCAACCTAGAACTAATTAGTTCCCAGTCGCCCAAATCCCTCAAACCGTCTCCGTATCTGAAGAATGGACGGAACGGAAGTGTCAAAGCATCGGACAAGAAAATCCTGCTGGATTGTCATCGACCACACCATCTACGATGTGACGTCGTTTCTCAATTCACACCCCGGAGGACCTGCTGTGCTCCTGAAATATGCTGGAGTGGTGAGTCCTCTCTCCAGTTCACGTATCAATTGCTCTTTGCATTGTTGAAGGTGCAATGCAATATAGGATGCTTCGACCGCTTTCCATGAGGTCCACACCACCCAAGCTCTCCTAGACCATCTGCCAAAAGGCTTACGCTACTTTCCAGGCCAGTCCTCCCCGACAACGCTTGACAAGATATGCTAAGCCGCTATTTATACAGACAGATGCTTGGGTCCATTGCAGGGTGACCTGTCCAGTCTCGCTCGCACCGAGGGCCATGATGGGTCAAGCGACCTAGACACGGCAGCGGCCAAGACAACAATCCCGATCTGACGACGTGCGTGACACTTGGTGACCTCCATGACGTTGCAAGACCGCTCTTATCCGAGAGAGCGTATACCTATGTCTCATCCTCAGCGACCGAGTCCAGTCATGCACAGCCGTTATTATCATGCCCAAGTCCTTGGTCGGCTCTCTCTTTCCGACCGCGGGTGCTGAGAAATGTATCTAGCATCAGCACGTCGGTGAGTATGCTCTCCCATGACTGCCGCTATCCCTTCTTCATCCCCCCAATGGGGCTTGTGGGGACCGCCCATCCCGACGGAGAATTTGTCTTTGCTCGCGCAAGTACTTGGTGTGGGATCCCCTACTGTGTCAGCACTGCAATAAGTAAGCTTTACGAGAAGATCATGCAATGTTTCATCTCCGAGCAGAAATCGGTGGCTGCAAACTCGAATTCCGCCATACCGCCTGCCAACCTGTTCTTCCAGCTATACGTCCACTCCCGAGTCGACGTGACGGTTAAATCTTCTGCGCCGGATCCGAGCGCTCGGCTACGATGGACTCTTCATCACAGTCGATACCCCCGTCATCGGCAAACGCACGGCAGACCGTAGACTCGCCGCCAGAGAGATGCTGGAGGCTGGTCCTGCCGACAATTCCACGGACTTCCCGAGGAGGTAGAAACAGGGCGTGCACCGCCCAGCGTGCTCCGCCCAGCGTGCTCTCCCAGACTGTGAGCTGGGACGACTTGGCATGGATCCGGAAAGAGTGACGCAGGAAAAACGTCATCAAGGGCGTCCAGAGCGTCGAGGACGTGAGGCTGGCCGCGCAACGCGGCGTCGACGACGGCGACCTCATCATGTGGGACAACACCGCCGTCATGCACCGCGCCATCGGCGGCGGCAGCTATCTCGGCAAGTATGCGCGCGACATGCGCAGGGACGACTAGCTTCGACATGAGGCCAGAGGCGCATGGGCTCAACGACCCGGATAATTCCTTTAGGCAGGGTCTTAACCCGCTGAATACGGACTTGAAGGCCTCGTCGGACAAGGTGCCGATCGGCCAGGTGGGAATCAAGGTGTAATTAGTTAAAATCAAGGAGGTAGAGGACAGAAGATTGTTAAAGGGTCTCTTCCACTCCGGGGAAGTACCTAGTCACTGACCCACCATACAAAGAATGCTACAGCAACTTCTTATTCAATACCGTTCTGTATTCCGCGATCGCTCACCTCAAGATTGTAGGCCAATTCAACCGCCGCAGAAGCGGAGGTTGGCTAAGCTCTACGCATAGCAGAGGGTTAAGTGGTAGGTAGACAAGCCCCACCTTAGTGTCTAGGATAATGTTAACCGCTGGAAAAGCTCCAAACAGACACTAATATAAGCGTAGCGGCACCCATCTGACCAGACGAAGGGAATCTGGGATGTCTAAAATACACGCTGTAATTAGCTGATAAGAGGGCTGATTGCACAGTACTCTGCATCGTTGCCACAATGACAGGGCTACCACTCCGAATGTCTGGGTCTCTTACCCGGGCCGGTAACAGGGCGATACTAGCTCCAATACTTCGCTCCCGAGACCAGAGAGCCTCTTACTCATCTCTGCGGGGCAAAACCGTCGCCATATCCGGCGCGGCTTCGGGAATCGGCCTCGCAACAGCCAAGCATCTGTACTCCATGGGAGCCCGGCTGTCGGTCACAGACATCCGCAGCGAGGCGCTCGATGCCGCAGTGGAGATAATACGAAGATGTCCCCCACCCTCAACCGAGCAGGAGCAAGGAAGCACCAGCAGCACCAGCGGAGAGGACGAACCCGGCATCCTCGCCACCGTCACCGACGTCAGGTCCAGCCAGCAGGTAGACAGGTGGATCGATGCGACGGTGGCGCGGTTCGGCGCGCTGGACGGCGCCGCCAATCTGGCGGGGATCGTCGGGAAACACATCGGCGCGCACGACGTGACTCAGCTGTCCGACGAAGAGTGGGGCCTCGTGACCGACGTCAACCTCACGGGGGTCTTCTACGCGGTGCGGGCGCAGCTGCGGGCCATGAGGCGCCTGGGCGGGGGCGGCAGCATCGTCAACGCGGCGAGCACGGCCGGGCTCGAGGGGAACGCGAAGAACGCCAACTACACGGCTGCCAAACACGGCGTCGTCGGGCTATCAAGGAGCGCGGCTAAGGAGGTGGGGAGGGAGGGTATTAGGGTCAATGCGATAGCCCCGTGAGTTAGATCCGGCGGACTGCTACCTGCGTCCGTTTGTTCTTTATCCAAAGCTGCTGCTGACCTTTTTAATTCTGTTTGCCGGTACTAGCGGCGTCATCGATACGCCTATGGTGCAGACTCTTCCGGTAGCAATGGAATCCGGCACGGCGGCGCTGATTAAATACCACCAGGCACTTGGGAGGAAAGGAACTGCAGAGGAGATTGCCAAGACGGTGGCATTTTTGTTGAGTGACGAGTCTTCGTTCATGACAGGATCTATTGTCACGGTAGATGGTGGACAGGTATGTTGAGGTTAGGCTCAACCAGAACTCGATGGAAAGAGACTTATAGGGATGCGAACCTCGAAGTGCTTTAGTCTCTAATCCAACTGCCTTATTTGCTATCTGCAGCTTAGGAACTGCTGCTTGGCAAGCACCGAAGAAGCAAAAGTCTTTGTCAGCTAGCAGAGAATCTTTCTAGTAAGTTGTTGCTCCTCAACAGAAGGAAGAACGATGATGCGCCGCCAAAAAGGGGCAATAGCGAGGCGACGGAGCTGAAAACAACGGTCAATGCGTCCGACGACTATGTCTTCACGTGGGCCTCAGGCCGTCATCTCCTAGCTGGTACAGACATTTCTTTGCTACAAGATATGCTGCCAGACCAACTGCAGCAGTTCACGCGATACTTCCCAGACATGAAGCTCCATTCTGGCATGTGGCCGAACGGCAGACTAATTACCTGCTGGCGGCCTTGTCATCCTTAGGCTTCCGGCCGTCGGCTGTCACTGCAAGAGAGAGCCTGCTGAATCTGAGCCTGAAAGACTAACAACTGATTTTTGCCAGCCAGACCCCTGCGGTTATGTCTTGGCTGATTATGGCGAGGACTTGTCACCCTTAGCATGCCACCAACAGGGCCCTCGAGATTCCCAATAGAGCTAAGGAAGAGCTCGATCAGGCAACTCCAAACTAACAGCTGAAAACCTAAAAAAGGGGTTGCGCATGGACCTCAATAAGCCAGTCAGGGATTTGCTCTGTTGGGTTCCGTTCTGTGCCTTGAATTGTTATTGGGTCTTCATCAACACGTGATAAGTGAAGAGAGATTGCAATCTGCGGCTCCATCTGACAACATTCAACACGTCAATCGGGATACAAAAGCCGGCCTTGAGACTGCTGTTTCAACCGACATTTGCCCACGATCCCGGGGCTTGCGACAAAGGCCGCAATGGTCGACAAGTTTCCACTGGAGACCTTTGATCAGGTATTTTCATTCCTGAGCACCGCCGACATCTGCCGCGTCCGTCTCGTTTGCAAAACCTTTGCACAACTCGGCTCACGATATCTCTGCCCCAACGTCTATACAGACCTGACCCCGGCAAGTCTGGCGAAACTCAGATCCCTCTCCCAATGCGAGAATGTCGCCGTCAATGTCCGATCATGGGAATATTGGCCATTAACTGGGAAACAACCAAAGATGTCCTATGCCGAGTACCGGGAAATTCTTGACTACAACCCCTATGAATCGCTCTGGGAATCATACCTAAAGTATGGCGCCCTCGTCCGCGGTCAGGTAGCAATATTGGAAGCGGGATACGACTATGACACATGTCTTCACGCCCTCCCCAGATTTCCCAGACTCCGACATATTACCTTGAACTTCGGTCACCGCGACGACGATTATATATCGCCCTGGGCATTTGAGCGCGCTAGGCCTCAACATTTGGATACGCTACTGCGTGTCCTCAATCAGGCAGGTCAAGAAATCCGACTGAGGACTCTCGTGGTCCGCGACCTAGACTGGCATTTCTTCGACCGCGACGACTCTGCTCTTGCGCGACGACTCTGCTCTTGGAATTCTCCTTGCACCTCTTGCAAATATCAAGAACCTGTGTTTCGACATCAACGACTGTTACGTAGCGACATTGGATGACTCCTCCGGCGACGACTTCCGCGCATGTCGCCAACTGATGCGGACAGGTGTTCTTCGAAAATGCCTTCCGGCACTGAAAGTGCTCGACGCTCTCGAAATTGGATTCCAGTATTGAGACTCAGAGCCCGAGGAACTAGTTCGCAGTTGCCCGCTCCTTCAAATCATCCCCCCAGGCTTTACTTGGGAGTATTTGAAGTCGTTGAGCCTCTGCCATATCGACTGCGACAGACACCAGATGATGCGAGTTCTCGTGCGGCACCGACAGACTCTCCGGTGTCTGTGTTTGAAAAATGTCTATCTACGGAACACTTATTGGATTTATTTCCTCAGAGACATCCAAAAGCAGATCTACCTAACCAAGGCGTGCATCTGCGGTTTTCTACAAGGATGTCATGAAGACTTGGAGGTGCATCAAGAACCCCAGATCTGGTATTTTCAGTCAGGCGATACGCTGGGTCCAGCTGTCAATCTGTATATTCTTGAAGGAGGGAAACACTGTGTAGATCCCACCATATGTCCGCTTAGCATTGAAAACTGCATAGAATGTCTCAAGCTCATGAGAACCAGATAGACGGGTAGAAGAAGGGGGGGGAGACCGGAGGGGGGAGAACGTGGGGGGTGGGGGGACGGGAGAGAAATCCACGATAAGAAAAGATTTGCTCGAAAGCAATGCCATTCATTCTCTTCCATGAGCTCTTGCGAATCTTCGCGAACACTGGCACTTGTTGCTGCCAAGAGAATGGGAGATTTGTGTTGAAAGATCACACAAGAACACCAGAGCATGTCGACAAGGCCCTTCCTTGCCATGCACACGGCCTTGAACGGGCAGCTCTCTAGCGGCGTGGCGCAACCTTGCCGAGCTGTACGAGAAGCATCAGCTCTCAGACCATGCCATATGACGATTCAGACGCCTACAAGCCGTGCCCCCTGTGGTTCCTCGACGAGGTCGGCGACACGGACCAGCGGCTCGAGGCCCTGCTGATCGGCATCTTCCACGACAAGCATAGCTACGCCCACGCCGACGCGCAGATGCGCCTCCGCTGTCTGACTAGACATGTTGACTGCTTGGTCTGGCGACTGGGCCTTGCTCCTCGGCCTCTCGGTTGCCTTTTCTTCGCGCACCTTCCGATCCCTCAGCCCCTTTGTCTGTGACCTGGGGGCTAAACAGCCCTATTGCCTCCCATCCGAGTTCCTCTATCTGCCCGCATTACACGGTCAGCAGACTTGTTTGCACACGTCACATTAGCTTCGTCTTGATATGCGCACTAATCCCCATCATTATCATTTGACCTACAGAACCACACTAACTCCGTTCCAATAGGAAAGCCTACCAGCCTCTCTCCTCCTTCGAGCCAACAGGCTCTGTACCCCGACTCCCAAAGTTCTCAACCCAGACAACCATGAAGTAGTTCCACGCTAAGGCTAACCTCTGCAAGCAACTCCTCCTCAAGAGATTACGGACCACCGGGATTCGCGGGCATGGTGCTCAAGGCGCCAAACGCATGTTGTTGATATGAGATCTGTCTAAGGCGGGCAAGTTGCAGCAGGCACCTGCAAGTTGTAGGGAATGTGTTCACCGAGCCGCTAGGACTGTGGATTGATCTCGGGGCGGGGGTCTTTGAGAACGTGCGCTTCCCAGAGAGGAGCGAGGGGCCTCTGGCAAAAGTGGTTGCTGCTGTCGGACCAGGGATGGATCTTCCGGAGGAGAAGGCTGTTTACCTTTTTCTTCATCCGCAACCTTTGTCTTCGGGCTTCGGCCATTGAAGAGCTTCAGTGCCTTCTTGAATAGCTTGCTCAAGCGAGCCATATTGAAGGCAAGGACGACGCAGGGAATGGTAAACCCAATCGATATCGAGACTGTTTGCGTATTTTGTTAGATATAAACAGGAATGTGGGTGTAAGGTAATAATGTACTTACACGTATATTTAGCAACGAAGGCGAGGGAGAGACTCTCAGGGTTCTTGTGAGGAAACTCGGCAATGTTGATGGCAAGAAAGCTGGTCATGAAAGAGAGAGGGAGCTACGACATGTCGTATTAATCTTCATATCCGGTCCCCCAGACCATCAACGGGGTGGGGAAACGTACAAACACAATGGTGATAAATGTAAAGGCCATGAGAGTCTTGCCTTGTTTGTCGGTTGCCTTGTTAAGGCTGACAATCTCTGTGATGAGGTGAGTCGTCATGTGTTGCTCCATAACATTTGCCTGCTTGTTTTTGAGGTCAAGTAGCTGCTTTATCTGTCACACATTTCATGAGTCCCTAGGATCTGTAAAGACAGGTAGTTTGGCAAGTACGTACCGCGTCGGAGACCCTCTCAGCAAACCTACTCAAGTCCTGAACTTCGCGAATATTCCTCTCTGCAACAGAGAGAGGAGATGCGAGGCCAAGGATTACCCCGGCGCTGGAGGTCGCCTGGGCCTCTTCCTCCTGGATGATCTTGCTCATTGCCTTGAAGACCTCCGTTTGTTTGGTAAACACGGACAACATCATGTTGAGCTCATCCTGTATATCCTTGATGATTCTCAAGTCTTTGATGTCTTCCACGATATCGATGAGCTTCTTCACAACCTCATCGTGTGGCACAACCTCGCTTGAGGTCTCGGCGGCCGGCTTGATTGCATGTTGAAATTTGCGGAAGCGTTTTGTCTCTTGGTCCGCCTGGAGTATTTTGAGTCGTTAGTACTGCTATGTGTGTCAACAAGATTAACTAGTTAGCGGCACGTACAAGAGCAGCGATTGACTTGGAATATATGTCCGAAAACTGTATCGAGTCATCTCGACCACTTGCGCTGTCAAAGTAGATCCTCGAGCATTCCGCCGCAATCATCCGGGCCAAGTCATAGCCGTGTCTCGGCGGTATCGCACCCAAGTACCTCGCGATAATGTTATCCATCAGAGCAGTCGTGGGTTTCTGCCTCTCTCCGCTAATTCTGTTGCTCCTTTGCGGAAATGCCGTGATGACCGTGGCAGGCGACTTTCCGCATTGAGGAAGCACCCACATCCAAAGCTGGTCCACCATTGTCAAGACTTCCTTCGTCTCGACTCCGGGGCTCTTGACTCCGGAGTTGTGGCGTCTTTTCTGGAAATATCTCGAAACCGTTTGGTCCGCATCTCGCTCATCGGTATTGTCAAGATTGTGATAGTAGTATTGATCTAGCGTCCGCCGGGGGTGCAAGGGGTGTTCCTCGTCAAGGTACATCCAGTAGAGCTTTTCCGTTCCGTTCAGCGTGGTTTTTTCGCTCATCTCGGTGCCTTTTATCCTGCTGGCAGATTGGCCATCTTTTTTGTCCTTCTTCTCTTTCATGATCTTCTTGAGCTTGTCTAGTTCTTCTTTCATTTCCCAGTGTAGGAATGGCATCTTGACACCAGTGTTAGGAATGACTGGGGGATAGCGAGGAATGGATATCTTTCATCTTACGAATAGCACACAGCCTTTTAGAGGCAAGCTACTTGGCTGTTGATCTAGGTTGATCGCATTCTCCTTCATATCATGCTGTGGCTTTGCTGCCTTTTTCTCTCCTTCTTTGTCCGAGGTCTCCTCTTGGACCAAGGTACCTTTCTCTGCTACATTAGTCAACTTATCCCTTCTTGTTTCTGTCCTTGGCTGTCTTTTTCCTGAAGCTGTAGTCACACAATAGAATTTAGTTCGTCATATGGTGCGTAAAGCTAGGTTCTTTCAACTTACGCAGAGTGAGCGAATGGCAGTCGGGATGCATGTATCGAGCATGGTATGACCATTTCGTATCAGTGCGATGCTGGTGACCGGTCCAGGTCTCGTTTAGGACATCCTTGTAATGCATCTCATATTGAGCCCCGGCCGTTCTAAAATGCTTGGCCATGAGTATCTATCCGTGTGAGTAGATGCCTGTATGCGTTCTCGTGTCGTAGACCTAGTTCGAGCTAGACATACCTCAACCCATCTCATCTTCAGTCCCAGTTAGCCTCACACAAGTTACAGCACATCTATTGGTAGAGAGAACGTACGTTGTTGGCTGGCAGGTGTAGCCATTTGCAGCAAAGAACTTGGTCGGTTGGCGCAGATTCCCTTTCATCAAGAAGCTTTTGAACGGACAGCAGGTCGTAGGGCAGTGGGCCCTCGGTTCCTTTTCGGAAGTAAACCACCATGGCCTTGAACTCGCTGTCAACACTGTCGCTTCCTTCGATACGCTCTGTCAGATTGTCGTCCTTGCTCTTTCTTTTAATGGTGTTCCTGACGGCGGAGAAGGTTCCATCTTTGTCGTTAAGAAGTTGCAGCAGCGTCCTCACTCCGAACCGTCGCTTTGGGTTCGCTCCGTGGTCAAGCAAAGCGCCTACTGCCTGATCGTGTCGATTCATCGCAGCGTAATACAGCGGCGTATGCTCTTCGTTGTCCACAGAATCCACTTCGACCAGAACTCTGATTCTCACGCCTTCTCCGTCGTCTTTGCCTCGGCTTTCCTGGGGTTTTGCGACCTTTAGCTTTCCAGTCACAGCCTTTCTCTCGTCAGGCTCAGTCCGTTTCAGTTGTACTTGCTCTTCCTGCCTAGGACCGGCATGAGTGCCAGTAGGCTTGATCTTGGACGAAACACGGCCAAGCAGTTCCTCAACAACTGCTACGTGACCGTACTGGGCAGCCCATGATAGTGGTGTTCGACCACTCCTGTCCTTACTGTCGGCCATTGCACCCTTCCGCAGTGGTGCCTTCCCAGCTGCTTTGCCACTCTTTTCCGGCGCTCGAAATTTGGAGTGCGTCGCATCCACGTTGACAGCAGCAGGCCACTCCAGAAGAGCCTTTACAATTTCCCTTGCTTCTTGTGTCTTGTTGGTCGCTGCCCACGAAAGTGGAGTCCGGTCATTCTCGTCCTTGGAGTCTATAGCAACTTTGCGTTGGTCGTCCAGAAGGAAATGGACGGCTTCGGCGGTCCCGCGCTCAGCTGCCCAGGAGAGAGGTGTACGGCCGATGTCATCGGGCAAGTCCCAGTTAAGATCCTTCGTGCCCAAGACTCGAAGCTCGTCCATATCTCCTCTCTCCGCAGCCCAAGACAGAACTGTTCTCCCGTCCTTGTCCAGCGCTTCAAGGTAGGCTTCGTTGCCAATGGCAGCTTCCTCATCGCATCCCGGCGAGCAGCTGTACCAGATAGCCTCTTCGGCGGCGTGAGTTCGAATCCGGCCGTCCTTGGTGTCCTTGCTCGGGTGCTCAATCATCACCTCTAGCATATCTGGGCCATCGAGCTCCACGGCAAATGCCACTGTCGTCCTTCCACTCAAAGCCCGGGAGTGAATGTCGCTGCCAGCGCCGACCAGGAGCTTGACCACGTCCAGATATCCGTTCTCGGCGGCCCATGCCAGCGCTGACTGTCCCCAGGTATTGTCTTTGAGCTCCAGATTCGGACCATGACTGAGGAGAAATTCGACACACTCTGAGTGGCCATTTTTTGACGCGTTCAAGAGTGCAGTGTACCCGTCGTTGTCTTGGAAATTGACATTGCTCCCCTTCTCAACCAGGACCTTTGCGGACGCTGTGTGGCCCTGCCTTGCAGCTAGGGTGAGAGGCGGTCCCCCAGACTTATCCACAGCGTCGATTTTTGCTCCGGCGTCGAGGAGGGTTATAATTGAGTCGACTTGACCCCCCCGTGCTGCATAGTGTAGCGCCGTGCGTCCAATGTCGTCCTGGGACTCCACGTCATGCGAAGAGACAAGTTTCTCAACAACCCTCTCTGGGGGGCTTGGATACTCTGCAGCCCACGAAAGCAGAGACCTGCTGGACTTATCGACATAGCTACCATCTTTGCTAACTTGACTAAGGAGAAAGTGAACGACGTCGACATGGTCATAGGTGGAAGCTATGTTCAGAGGAAGTCGGTTCTCAGTGTCGGGGATATTGATGTTTGCCCCGGCGTTGACGAGTTCCTTGACAACATCAGTGTGGCCATTCTCAGCCGCCCAAGATATCGGTGTCTGGTGATATGCCAAGTCTGTCTGATCGAAATTCGCGCCTTTTTCGATAAGCAACTTGACTACATCGACTTCGCCGTTTTTTGCAGCCCAGTGCAACGGCCCCTCTGACGTGTTATCGAGGATGTTGACGGCATCCGGAGTTTTTCCAAGGAGGAGATTGACAATTTCGGTGTGGCCTTTCGCTGCTGCCCAAGATATTGGTGTTCGACCGTCGTCATCCTTTGCATCCAAGCTGACCCCCGCCTGGATAAGCAGGCGTACGGTTTCGATGTTGCCTGACCACACAGCCTCGTGCAAAGGCGTTTGTGAATAGTCATCAGAGGCATTGACATCTGCAGAGTGTCCAACCAGAAGCTCAACAACCCTAGGGTGGCCGTTCCTTGCCGCCCAGGAGATCGGGGTTTGACCTTCCTCGTCCTTGACATTTAAGTCGACGTCAGGGTCTTTGAGGAGCTCAATCAGCCCATCCAAGTCCCCTTCCTTGGCACATTCGAGGACGGACATGGCTGTGTCTGGCGCGCCAGACTTGGACGGACTAGGGGAATCCTCCTCCATCCTGTCAAGACAGGTGCTGGGCTGGGCCTTTGGGAGCGCTGTTGCTTGCGGTTACGAGTAGATTGGGAAACTGGGGATCAAAAAAATAAAAAAAATTGGAAGGTGGGCTAATCTTGGGAGTCGAGGGAGTACTCGTCAGGTCTAAAAATCGACTTCGGACGTTGGTTGGTGCCGCAGTTCCTCAGTCGTGGTTTTTTGTTGGAGGAACAGTCACGCAATGCTTGGCTGGCAAAGCATTTTCGACCGCTGACGCTAGGATTACTTGAGGGGGTTCGTGTAGAAACCGGTCAGTCAATTGAAATAAAACGATTGGGTCCTTTTCTACAATTGAGAAAGTGGCTGCTCATACACCTCTCCATTGGATGGCCGATAATGCAGACGGTATTGATCGGTCCCGTTTTCGGCCTGACAACTTCGCAGCTGAGGCTCAGGGGGCTTGGCGAGCGCTGGTTGGAAGTAATATTTTATAACATGTCAGATTATGAGAGCCAATAGTGCGAAGTCGCCATGCAGTGACAGGCAATAGGAGCGTAACGCGGCTGTCGTTTCGGAAACTCGGCAGGAATGTGCAGTTTGTCGATTTTGGACACTGCCTTGGGCCCCTCCGCGGAAATGGTTCCATCAACAGGCCGCCTTGTTTTGGTCAGGGTTGGCAGCTGAGGAACTAATATTTCTTAAAGGCATCTGTGGGTTACACGGCGCATCTCGGCTATCCGTGCGATGCATAAGGAAACAGGGTGAAGCAATTAGCAGCCGCCGGGCTCCTGTGGCCATTGCGTAGATGCCCAACCCCTCCCACATCCTAGAAGACACGGAAGATGAGGCTAACAACAAGCTCATGTTGTGCGTAAGATCCTGCAGGCGCACTTTACCTGCAGCATGTCGACTGAGATGCTGTTATCAATGCAGACCCGTCTGATGTGGCCTTGGCGTTGGACGGCCTTGCGTGCTGGCCGCTGTGTTGTCCAGCCGCACCGCCAGCGGGAACGTCGCTGTCAGGACTGACGTGTTCCATAGGCGTCGCCGCCGCCTCTTATCCTCTCTACACAACCCACCCCACCGGAAAGCAGGGAGCCCGGGGGCCGGGGGCGAGCCTTAGGAGGGGTCTTGCCGTCACGCAGGACAGCGACGACGGCGACGTTGTTTGGGCTTTAGAGGATGTTGGACACAGTTCAGAAGGAAGTCCTCAGTTTTTCCGAGCATGTTCGCACCGCACGAGCAGTGTTGGTGTTACGGGGTATCTCGTGCAGGCCGGCGAAGGCGTCTAATTTGGAGACAAGAATGAGGAGGAACGGTGCGCTTTGCCGTGTGCAGTTCAAGCAATACAATCCAATAACATAACGATGTCCCTATCTGCGGTAGATGATTGCCTCATCTAGCAGGAGAACTCTGTCCCTGCAACGCCCTGTGTACGGAGGATGCGATCGCCCTAAAGCATTTCGGTGCTATGCGGGTAGACTAGGCGTTTGTGTTCGCTGTCTTGGAGGTTCAACCCAGGTGGCAGCTTTTGGACGCTGGACATCTCCATGTCTAGGTAACCATACAGCGACGCGGTTGTTGTTGACGATGTCTTGGCCCACGACGACAAGCTCCAGCTTTGAAAGAGACGTGGCATAGCGCCCATAAATCATGTATAACTCCTCCTAATTGTGTATAAAAGCTGTCCACTTTGCAGGTGGAGAGGGAACAGGACGAGGAGGCTGAGGAGGACGACCGAGGAACATGGCATTGGCTGGGCCTCTTTGTTCTCGCATTATTAACGGTGGAATCGCTCAAAGCAATTGCGTGTCTCGGTTTCGAGAACAACGAGCTCAAGTAGCAGCAGGTTGTGGCGGAGGGGTCGCCGCGGATGGCGAGGTCGTCTTTGTGCGCGAGGGCGAGGAACTTAGACAAGGCGTTGGCGATGGGTTCGTGCTTGTCGTCTGAGTTTGCGATGATAAAGGCGGTTGCTTCTTTGCAGAGACCATTGAGATCAAAGTGGCCGTAGTTAGACCAATCTTCTGTGTTCTTGACTGTGGTCATGAGGTGGACAGTGTCTGTGAGGGCTAGGTCTGGGAAAACCGCCAGTGGGCATGGGACGCCTGTGTCGTCTAGCCATAGAACCACCATCGCTTGTATCAGCCTAGCACGAACGGGTTGAACGGATATACCGAATATCTTTGTCAAATTTTGATGCTGTGAGATCCAAGAGGGAACATGGTGTAAAATGATGCTGGCAACACATCATTCGTTCGCTTACCCCGCCTCTTCTATACAGCGACACTTACTCGCTTAAAATATCGCACACATTACGCGAGTGACGGGAGAGAACTGGGGGCTGCGCGCGAACCTGCCGCAGATCAACCAACCACCATGGCCCAGACGCCCGCACAGGCGGACGCCACCGAACCCTCCAAGCCTGGTCCACCGAATGATATCGAGAAGAGCAGCCCGAAGATGGTTGGCGTGTCGACAGGACACGAGCACCACTATGTTACGGGTATTGCGCGGTGGTAGATCCTGGGTCCTGTGACGCTGGCCTAATTTATATTCTTCCTCGACCTGCCGTCTTGTCTACAGCGACTCTGGCAATCATGTCCCAGTTTAATTCGATACAAAACCTCGTTCCAGCACCCCAGATCCCCACCGCAATGGCCATTGTCCTTTTCTGCCAGCCGATGGGCGACGCCGTGATTCTGGTGGCTGCAAATGCTATCTTCAGCAACACTCTGCGAAATGAGCTCCGGAAACACGTCGCCGAGACGGGTGTCGACGTGCCGACGTCATAATCAACGCTGGCGTTCGCTCCGTCCGCGACGTCGTATCGGGCGACGGTCTCGCCACCGCGCTGCAGGCGTACAGCACCCGTGTTAGCTGCGTCATGTATCTCGGTATCGGCGTCAGCGTGGGCGCTTCCGGAGGAACTACGCTAACGGCTCTTACACCGAGAAAGGTGGCCAGGTGTACAGCCGGGCACAGCACCGTGCCACCATCCATATAAGCAGGCACACTTTGCTGGAGGATTGCTTGCATGGGGGCTTGAAGGTACGGTCCGGGGCAACTCCGAAAAGTCGCCGTAAGGAATCCTTGATTGCCACCAACTGGATACATGTGCGTGCTGCCACCGAGCCGCCCGAATCAGGACCAGCCCTACGGCTGATACGTGCTTGTCGGCCGCAGCCCCAGCCCAGACTTCTCGTACGCCATGTCTGTCGCGCGCATCTGCGCGATACTGTCCTCCCCCGTGCTCCACTTTCCCGTGTCAGGCCGTCCCCGGATGCGGTCCACGAAGGCGCCCAGCTGCCACCGGTACGGCTTCCAGTAGGCCTCGCCGGGAAGGTCGAGACCGGCCTCCTGCCACGTGTACGCCTTTTTGGTCTCCTTGACCTTCCACGTATTCGCGACGGGCCCGTCACCGCCGCCGCCGGGCGCCTTCGTGCAGATGACGAACTCATCCTCGATGTCGATGCGGTGGTACACTGCCGTGGCGAGGGGGTTTGATATACGTGGCCTTCCTCGTGCGCATCTTGACCTGCCCCTCGGAGGAATTTGCGTCGCGCAAGAGCACGGGCTTGTGGGTAACCTCGATGCGCGGGAACCCAGCCTTGGTGTTGCCAGCCCGCAGATTCCCGTGCGTCTCGGCGGTGACGCCGTTGGGAAACATCCAGCGCGCGTCGAACTTCCAGTCGCACTTCCCAAAGGCCTCGGTCTCGCACGACATGCACTCGAGCGGCTCGGCGCCGACGGTCCCGCGCACCCACGCCAGCGGGTACATGACGTCCATCATGGCGCCGCCCGCAACGCCGTACTCCCAGCGGATGTCGTCGCGAGCGATGACGCCGCGCGGGATGATTATCTTGGCGTCCACATGCGCGATATTGGGCCGGTCGACGACCGACTCTCAAAGGTGCCAGCTGGGCGGGAAGCGGAAGAGCGACGCCTCGAGGAGCACTGGCACCTCGGGGCCCCAAAGGAGCGGGGAGTGGAACAGCCGCTCGGCCTCGATGGCGTTGGACTTGGCGGGCTTCTCGAGGAGGACGTGTTTCCGCTTGCTGAGGGCTTTGAGGGCCCACTCGAAGCAGCGAGTTGGGGAGGGGGATGTAGACGGCGTCGATGTTGGGGTCATCGAGCAGGGCTGCGTGTGCGCGTCAAGTTAGTTCTGTGGAGGGTGATGCGATGGGATTGAGACAAGACTAGAGAAGGGGGGTCACGAACCTTGGTAACTATCAAAGACTTGAGGGATGCAGTGCTTATTCGCGAAAGCCTCGGCCTTCTTGCGATCCCGGGCCGCCACTCCCTGCACGACCACCTCGGGATGCTGTTTCGCAGGAGTGATGAGGGACTGGGGGCTGGCCGTCCACTCTGTCAGCGCATCACACCACATTGCTGGATACTCAACACACCCCCCCCCCCCCCCCCCCCCCCCCCCCCCGGGGGGGGTTGTGGGGGGGGGGGGGGGGGGGGGGGGGGGGGGGGGGGGGGGGGGGCGAGCGGGGGGAGGGGGCG